TGAAAGGCACCTGGGGTGAGTCTGACCCTCCAAGGCCCTTGGTGCCTCCAGGCCGCACAGCTGTGGGGCCCTCCAGGCCCGGTGCAACCCCCGTTCTCCTCCCTCCTACAGCGGGAGGAGAACGGGGAGGAGTTCTCCTCCCTCCTACCGCTCAGCGACCCACCCCTTCGCCTCTTCTGTGGAATGAATGGAAGGTTCTCAAACCCAGGTGGGGGTTCTCAAACTCCACTCTAGTGCCACCAGGGCCCTGCCCAGAGACACACCCAGAAGCTGCAGAGAAAAGCTCAAGAACAGAGGAGACTCATCCACACAAAGAGGAAGAGAGACAGGCAGAACCCTGACCTGGGAAGACAGGGGGCCAAAGTCAAGCGCACAGTCTGCAACCCCTGAAAAACTCAAGGTAAAGAACGTCCCTCCCCAGAAAGACAAGCAAAAAGGGTGAGGCCGCTCCGACTGGCTCTGACAGCCCAGCCTCCCCCAAGAGCCCACAGAGAGCGTGGCTTGTCCCCAGCACACCTCTGGGCCAGGGAGGTCTGGAGGGCAGTGCCAGGTCACACGGCCTGCGCCTTCCCCACTGCAGTGCCACCAGTCCCCAAACACCCCCAGTTCCGCCCCCTCACCTGCTGCTGTCCTTGGGGGCTTTTCCAAAGAGAAGCTTCTGGAGACAGCCAAAGAGATCTCTGACACAGAAGGTGACCAGTGCGTTGAACACTGCAACGAGGGGCCACAGATGCCGCTCTCAGGGCAGGAGGCTAGATCGGGAGACTGTGCCCCAGGTGCCCTGGCCCCAGCTCACCAGCACTGTCTGTGACCTGGAATTTGCTGGCCTCAGCCCCGTCCTGGTCGCCCTGTGTGGTGGCCACAGCTGCCCGGAACGCCTGCACGACCTCGTGGAACAGCTTTGGAGTGAGGCGCTGCTGCAGGGGCGACAGAACCCAGAGCACTGTGGGCACCGCCAGCTGTGCTAGACAGGAGGAGAGGCAGCCAGGGCTCCCAGAGCCCACCCTAGGAGAGGAGGGCACCCCTTGCCAGGTGCCGGGAATAGAGTCGAGTACGGCCCTGGCTGGTGTGGCTCACTGGACTGTGTGCCAGCCTGCGAACCAAACAACCGTGGTTCGATTCCCTGTCTGGGCACATGCCTGGCTTGCAGGTTAGTTCCTAGCAGGGGACGCACGCAAGGCAACCACACATTAATATTTCTCTCCCTCTTGCCTTTCCTTCCCCTCTAAAGGGAAATACAATTAAAAAGCAAATTTAAAAGAGTCAAGTCCTCCTGGGTGGGCATGGAGCCCCACTCAGGGGCCACGGGGGAGGAGCTGAGGGTCCAGGGTGCTCTCTGCCCTGCCCTTCCCACCCCCACAGAAACCATGGGGAGACTCTCTGGAGAAGGCACCTGGCTTGACCACCTAGTAAAGGCGCAGAAGGCATACCCTGCCCACAACAGACTTCAAGGAGCAAAAAGCCGGAGAGAGAGGCTGAGAGCAAAGGAGCAAGAGAGCCCTGACGGCTCCGAGGGACAGAGCGAACGCAGCAGCCCGGGGACCTCCTGGCACAAGGGAGAGCCACGCGAGACTCTTCGTGCCCAACAGGACTCCAGCGCCACTGCGCAGAGGGTCCTCCCATCGGCATGGCCCCAGGCCAGCAAAAGGGGTGAAGGGGGAGAGTGCCCTGCTGCTCATCCTGTGCTGCTTCTCACTTTTGCAGCCTGCTTCCATCTCTCCACCATGGCCAGGGTCACTGGGAGAGAATCCCTCTTCTTCCCCTTCGGTCCTCTGGAAGCCCCATCCTCGTCCTCCTCACCTTCCTCCTCACTCGCTTCCTGCACCAGACACAGAAGGCCAGACCTGAGCAGGAGCGAGAGGCCCGGAGTGTGCCCCAAGCCCCCTGCCCCCGCTCAGCCCTGCCCAGGCCCGCACCTCCAGCGTGTCGGGCAGGGAGTGGAGCTGCTGCTCTTCCTCCACAGAGCTGTCCGAGTCGCTGAAGTCCAGCAGGCTCCGGTCATTCTCCTGCAGGAACCGGTAGAACTCGGGGTCTTTGTCCTTCAGCCGAGAGAGCTGGTCCTTGTGCTCAGACACCTGGCCCTTACGCTGCCTGGGGGGGGGGCAGTCTCAGGCTGGACAGACAGGCAGGGCCACACGGTGGGGGGAGGGGCAGGGCTTGCTGGGCTCCTCTGGGGAGACGAGGGCTTTGCCTCCACAGCTGTACTGCCAGCGAGCTCAGGGCAGGCTTCCGGCAGATCCCTCTCCCCACCAACCCCTGCTCTCTGCACCAGTCTCCCTACACGCCCCAGCACACGTGTCCTGAGCCCAGCGTGGCAACGCTGACCTGGGTCCGCAAACCCTCTCCACCTCAGTGGTGGGGAACGCCACCTCCCCAGACCTCAGGTGGGAGGTCAGCGTGTCAGCCTCTCACCCCCAGGGTGCGATGCCCTGGGCTCTCACCAGCAGTGTCCTCGAAACGCCGCCCGCCTCCTCTCAAACCAGCACCATCTCTCCGTTGTGATGGTCCCTTCCTACCCCCATGGTTGTTGCCCCTAACCCACTCCTAACACAGCTACCCAAACAACCCTCACATTACTCCGTCACCACTCTCGCTTTGCTGCTCAAAACCCTTCAGCGACTTCCCATTTTACAAGGACACCCTTTCCTCTAAATCCTCCCCAGAAAGCATTTTTTGAGAGAGAGAGAAGGCAGGGAAGAGCCATCAATGCTAAAGAGACAGGTCGATCGGCTGGCTGTCTCCCGCACACACCCGCAGGGGGGACTGAACCCACAGCCTGGACAGTGCCCTGACCAGGCCTTTCAGTTGGTTACCTAACCACACTCACCCAACCGGGCCGCACGGGCCACATTATGAACCATCACCTCTCTAGGTCCCCCCGCCCTGGCTGCTATTACCCCTCCTGCCAGACCACACTCACCTCTGCGTCAGGCCTGGTCCCTTCTCAGGGCCGAAGCTGTTCCCGCTCCCTCAACCGCCAGAACACTTCCCTGTGGTCTGCACGGCTTACTGCCTCAGGTCTTTGCTCCACGTTCACCTCCTTGAAGGACCAACCTTCCCCACTTCTCTTAACACAGCAACGGACACCCTGGCTACGCAGTTTTCCCTCCTGTGCACAGCACCTGCACCTCCTGACTTACCCGAGGCTCCGTGCGCTCCCCAGAACACAAAGGAACCTTTGCACCATCCCCGCGCACGGTCCCCTCCTAAAACCAGGCTCGGCCCAGAGCAGCCGCTCAGGAAGCATCAGATGAAAGGACCAACCAGCACGAGGCTCCGGGCCGGGCGACGAAGGGGGTTTTGCTTCCACACACACATAGGACACGCGCCTCTCACCTGGCCGAGGGGCTTCCGCCCGGCCCACCCGGGATCCGGGAGGCTCCGCGCGCCACCCGCACCTCGGCTTCTGCGGCTTCTTCGGGCTCCGACTCAGACTCCGAATCAAAGCCCGAGGCCAGGAACTCATCCACCGTCAGCTCCGCCAGGCGCCTGCAGGTCACGACACCGGAGTCATGACTCCCCACCAACCTGGGGTGCCCCAGCCCCGCTGCCCAGGCGCACGAGACACCCCTGCGGAAACAGGAACCGCGAGGAGTCCGAACCGGTCCCCAGCCCCTCAACGTACCGCTTGCGGCCCCTGCCCGCTGCCATGACCGCTAGGCCGCTTAGCCTCCGCGTGAGCCCCACTTCCGGTCCCACGATGCCCTGCGCCTCGCGCTCCGCCTACTGTCGGCCCCGCCCCCGGCCCCGCCCCGCCCCGCTGGCTCTCTGGTTTTCCTGCCTTGGTCCCGTGGTCTGCGCTCGGGAGGGCGTGTTCACAACTAATGTGCCGCGGACGCTCTCGGGCTCTTGGTTGGTGGGTGTGATGCGAAAGCCTGGCGCAAGACCTGCTTCGGTCACCGCTCCCGAACGCATCCGTTCGAGCGCCGGCTGGACGTGCTGTTCACATTCTGTGTCCTTCTCCATCGGAGGCAGTGATAACATTACCGGCCTTGGGGGAAGATGGGACCTGGGACCCATTGGGGGCCGGGACACCCTCCCCCAGCCTTGCCACAGCCTCCCTAGGAGTCCGTAAACGGGTACCCGTGAGAGTGTCCATGCGTCGACAACGGACAAAATGCATCAACTGTGCACTCCTATACAGGCGGCTCTTACAAATAAACGACAAAAAGCCAACACTCTGGTAGGAAAAAACGAGCCAAACAGAAACGGTGATGCTATAGATGGGCAGGTTCGTCAAAAGATAAGTGACACCCTGCTGGCCAAGCCGGCCCCGCCAAATCAAAGGAGGATCCGAGCCCTGAGAGCATTTCCATTTCACCAGACGGTCCCACGGTCTCTGTGGGGAGGAAGCGGGTAGGGGGGAGGCGCTGTTATTGAAGCCACTTGGCTGGATTCCCCTGAAAGTACTATGCCCAATACTTCATTCATTCCAGCTACTCTCCCTCCGGTGGGAATTCGCCCAGGAACGCCTTTGCCCAAGTCCATCCGTGCACAGATGGCCACTGTTCCTTTGCTGTCTGTGGGAAGAACCCGCAGGTACAAAGGCCCAGAGGCTAGAAGGTTGCCTTAGGGAGCAAGGAGCAGAAGCCAGTCTGTGCCCTCCTTCCCGCCCACTCCTGCCTAAGGGTGAGGGTAAGCGGGGCGGGCGCGGTTGGCTACACAACACTACAGTGGATCCTACAGCCTCTTGGGCGCGAGCGATGCTCTGGTTAAGCCCCTGAGGCCGTACGCCCTGCTCCACCTACTCCCGCCCCCCGCAACCAGCGCCCAGCTCTAAGGCCTGATATTCGTGAGAGGGGATGAGGAGGGGAGCTTCTTGAATGAGTTAGACGGGGCGGTAGACCCTCGAAGCTTCTTGGACAGGAGCGGCAGGTGGGGCCCCGGGGGGTGGGGGTGGGGGCTTCCTGGAGGAGGAGGCAGGCGTGGCGCCGGGAAGTTGAGAGGATTCGCGTTTTACTTTGGGTGCCCGAAACCGATGGGGGGCGCGCGGGAGGCGGGGCGGGCGGCGCCGAGAAACAGCGGCTGCGGGTAAGCGGCGGGAGCCAGAGACGCTGAACCGGCTGCTGCCGCCGCCACCGCCGCCGCCGCCGCCGCCGAGCAGCCCTTCAGCGGTCCGTGCACCTGTGAGTCTGGGCGTCCTCCGAGAATCGGCGGGCGCGGTGGCCGAGCCCATGCAGCCGCGCAGCGAGCGCCCGGCAGGCAGGACACAAAGCCCTGAGCACGGCAGCCCGGGGCCCGGGCCAGAGGCGTCTCCACCGCCTCCGCCGCAGCCGCCGGCGTGAGTGGGCCGGGGGGGCTGGGACCGGGGCCGGGCCAGGGGCTAAGCGAGTCCGGGAAGGAGGGAGGGAGGGGCGCGCGCCGACCCTTGCAGGCTGCCGGGAGGGGGCGGCCTTGGCGCCCCGCGGGCTCGGGTTGCCTGGGATGGGTCCAACCTGCTCCCTCGGTTTATCCGCACACTCATCGGACGCGGGGCAGTGTGTCCAGAGGCGGCTGCGCCCGGAAGCTCTGTCCCTTCCCGCAGCCGTTTAATCCAGCCTGGTTGCGCTGCTCATAGATTCTGGCGGCCTGTCTGCAGAATGGCGAGGGTGGCGGGGGGGGGCGGGGGGGGCAGGAGGGACCGGCGGAGCTGCTCCGGATGGTCAAAAGAGGTCACGCCTGCTGGGGTTGGGGCGCTCAGGGTCTGATCCAGAGCCGCCTGCTTCCACTGACCAGTTTCACTTCGTGCACTTCCTGTGTGCCAGCCGGGTCTGTGGACACCGGACTCCGAGGGGGGCCCGGGAAAGGTGGCCAGCAATGGGCAGAGAAAGGCGGGTTCTGACCGAGGCACCTGGGCAGCAAGAAGTACAGTGCTTGCAAGGGGCCGGCAGGGAGGGCAGAGGAAGCTGTGCAGTTTCGACACTCCAACCTCCTGAGAGAAGCGCAGGGGAGGCTCCTTGGAAGTGAGGGAGCAGAGTGGGGTGAGCCGAGGCCGCAGGTGAGGTCCCAGATGGACACCTGGTATGGGCCCTGAGGGGACAAGTGGCCCCCTGGGTGCCCCGGCCCTGATTTGGCACCCTGACCTGGCACTGCCTATCGCAGCCCTGAGGCCGAGCGTGCGAGGACCCGGCCCGCCCGGCCCACGGCCCCCATGGAGGGTGCCATGCAGCTGCTGAGCCGAGAGGGTCACACTGTGTCCCACAATTCCAAGCGGCACTACCATGACGCCTTCGTGGCCATGAGCCGCATGCGGCAGAGGGGCCTCCTGTGTGACATCGTCCTGCACGTGGCCGCCAAGGAGATCCGGGCACACAAGGTGGTGCTGGCCTCCTGCAGCCCCTACTTCCATGCCATGTTCACAAGCAAGTACCATCCTACCCAGTGGGCACTTGGGGGCTCTACGGGGCTCTGCAGACGGGGCTGGCCTGACCCACTGTCCCCACAGATGAGATGAGCGAGAGCCGCCAGACCCATGTGACACTGCATGACATTGACCCTCAGGCCTTGGACCAGCTGGTGCAGTTTGCCTACACGGCCGAGATCGTGGTGGGAGAAGGCAACGTGCAGGTGAGGCTGCCTCACCTCTCCCTTCGCATCCCATCCCCCACCTGTTCTCTGGCCTCAGCTCTCCTCTCGCTGTTTCTCTCTGTCTGCTCTCCCGGCCCCTCACCCACAGACACTGCTTCCAGCCGCCAGCCTTCTGCAGCTGAATGGCGTCCGAGACGCCTGCTGCAAGTTCCTCCTGAGTCAGCTCGACCCCTCCAACTGTCTGGGCATCCGGGGCTTCGCCGACACACACTCGTGCAGTGACCTGCTCAAGGCGGCGCACAGGTACGTGCTGCAGCACTTCGTGGACGTGGCCAAGACCGAGGAGTTCATGCTGTTGCCGCTGAAGCAGGTAACGTGCCAGCTGGGGCGCAGCCGGGCCCGTGACCCAGTCCCTGGACCCCTGGCCCCATCACTTGGGCCCTTAAGACCTGGGCAGCTGCTCCCTAGCCCTATTCCCAGTTTCTGGTCTAGTTCCAGCCCACCACCCACTCCTCGCCACTTCTTTGTCCCCATTTTCTGACCCCACCCAAGTCTTCTCCTTTGGTTTCTGACCACGTCCCTGCCCGCAACCCCAGTCCCTGGTCCATGTCCCCAGGAATGCCAGGGCCCCCAGGAACCAGATCGGTGGTTCCTGACCCTGCTTGGCCCCTCCTCATAGGAACACTGGGCCCCCCGTTGGCACCTTCCCAGGCACCATCAGGGCTCCGTGGGCCCCCAAGACCCTCCCCAGATCTCAGGTCTGAGGGTCCCCACCCCCAGGTGCTGGAACTGGTCTCTAGCGACAGCCTGAACGTGCCTTCAGAGGAGGACGTCTACCGCGCCGTCCTGAGCTGGGTCAAGCATGATGTGGATGCTCGGAGGCAGCACGTTCCGCGGGTGAGGCCAGCCCCTCAGGGCCCGCAGTGTCTGTGAGGGGCCACCGTGCCTCCATGTCCAGGGACACCCCAGGGGCAGTGCAGTCACATGTCTCGAGAAGTGCCCAGCGTACAGGTGGGCAGGTGTCTGAGGGGGCTCTCACTGGGGGGACGAAGTGTGCTCACGGGTTCTACCTGCTTCCTGACCGTGGCACCCCTGCACCCCAGCTGATGAAGTGTGTGCGTCTGCCACTGCTGAGCCGGGACTTCCTGCTGGGCCACGTGGACGCAGAGAGCCTGGTGAGACACCACCCGGACTGTAAGGACCTGCTCATCGAGGCCCTCAAGTTCCACCTGCTGCCAGAGCAGAGAGGTGTCCTAGGCACCAGCCGCACTCGGCCCCGCCGCTGTGAAGGAGCCGGCCCCGTGCTCTTCGCTGTGGGTATGCCCATCTGTCCTACCCCCCCTCTGCCTCCACATCTCTGTTCTGCATCTTTGGTTCATGAGCCTGGCACCAGCCACCCCCACCCTGTTGGTCACATCCTGCACCCATCCTATGCCCCCTCTCTCTTCACCTGTGAAGGAACCTGTGTGGTGTGACCAACTCAAAAATTGCCCCCCTTGGAGCCCACAGCCCACTGCCTCCCTGGGCCCCTCCTGCTGCCCCAGCACCTCCCCCTCCCTAGGTGGTGGGAGCCTGTTCGCCATCCACGGGGACTGTGAAGCTTACGACACGCGCACTGACCGCTGGCATGTGGTGGCCTCCATGTCCACGCGCCGAGCCCGAGTGGGTGTGGCGGCAGTTGGGAACCGACTGTACGCAGTGGGCGGGTAAGCGTGGCGGCTCCTCCCGGGTCAGGGGCTGAGTGTGAGCCCACTGGGCCAGCCCCGACGGCAGCGGGCCCCTCTTCTAGTTACGATGGGACTTCAGACCTGGCCACCGTGGAGTCCTACGACCCTGTGACCAACACCTGGCAGGCTGAGGTGTCCATGGGCACGAGGCGCAGCTGCCTGGGCGTGGCGGTGCTGCACGGGCTCCTGTACGCGGCCGGCGGCTACGACGGGGCCTCCTGCCTCAACAGGTAGCGGCGCAGGTCAGGTTGGGCGGCTCCGCAGTGGGGGGTGGCATCAGGACTGCAGAGGTCACTCTGAGGAGAGCAGAGGGGGACCCTGCCTGACTCCAGTCCCCGAAGCCTCGTCACCTGTGCCAGCCCGCCTGCCCCGTTCCTCTTGGGCTCCTCGCCACCGGCCCAGGGGCCCGTGCACACACACCAGGCCAGCGTCCTGCTCCAGGGGGACACATGTCCGTCCCTGTGACTCCCCCACATGGAATTTTCATCCTCACCGGGGGGAGCAGGCCTGGTCTGCTGTTGCTCCAGGTCAGCGGCGACCCTGTTGTCCACAGTGCCGAGCGCTACGACCCCCTGACCGGAACGTGGACGTCCGTTGCTGCCATGAGCACCCGCAGGCGCTATGTCCGTGTGGCCGTGCTCGGTGGGTGACAGGTTGGTGGGTGACAGGGCTGGCTGGCTGTGGTGCCCACCTCTGCCTGCCCCCGCCCTGAGGACCCGCCCAGCAGGCACACCATGGGCATGTTGACTCCCCGCAGACGGTAACCTGTACGCAGTAGGCGGTTACGACAGCTCATCCCACCTGGCCACTGTGGAGAAGTACGAACCCCAGGTGTGAAACGCCCCCGTCCCAGGTGTTCCACTCCCCAAGGGCTGCCTGAGGTCATCTCTTTGGCTCCCCACATCCTGCAGGGCGTCAGCCCTTTAGATCCGTCTCCCCCACCCCCCAACGTCCCACAGACACTGCCCTGGAGTGGGGGATCTGTGCTGGGGAGGTGGAGGGAGGCTGGTGGTGGGTCTGCCCCCAGCGCGTTCCCTCAACCACAGGTGAACACGTGGACGCCAGTGGCCTCCATGCTGAGCCGGCGTAGCTCAGCTGGTGTGGCCGTGCTGGAGGGGGCTCTCTACGTGGCCGGTGGCAACGATGGCACCAGCTGCCTCAACTCTGTGGAGAGATACAGCCCCAAGGCTGGAGCCTGGGAGAGTGTGGCACCCATGAACATCCGAAGGTGCGCTGTGTCACGGCCCACAGGCAGGGTGTGTGTCGCCCTGTCACCACCACAGCTGGTTGGTCCCCTCAGAGACTGAGCCTGAGCAACGAGTATCACGCTAGTATATCCACCCTCCCTCCCAGGACTCGTGGCTCCACCCCCAGGGGCTCCTCCCAGGACTCGTGGCTCCACCCCCAGGAGCTCCTCCCAGGGCCTGTGGCTCCACCCCAGGGAGTCAGGTGGGCCTCGTGGCTCCACCCTGCCTTCTCACCTACCTGCCCTACCCGCAGGAGCACCCACGACCTAGTGGCCATGGATGGATGGCTGTATGCCGTGGGGGGCAACGATGGCAGCTCCAGCCTCAACTCCATCGAGAAGTACAACCCGAGGACCAACAAGTGGGTGGCTGCGTCCTGCATGTTCACTCGGCGCAGCAGCGTGGGCGTGGCGGTGCTCGAGCTGCTCAACTTCCCGCCACCGTCGTCACCCACGCTGTCTGTGTCGTCCACCAGCCTCTGACCCCAGGGGGCTGTGGCCTGCCACATGCCTTAAGCCCCACAGGGGGCCCCAGCGCCTCCCTCCCCCAACCACGTGTTGGGGCTGGGGTCCTTCACCTGCACCAGGGACAGCCTGCACCGTCTGTCTGCGTTTCTGTGTCCGGTCCTCAGTGTTTGTTTATGTGTGTGCAGTCTCTACTCGTCTTTTTATTTATTCAGTATTTATTAATCGGTGAGCAGTGCTGCAGCTGCCAGTTCCTATGTTTACTCTGGAAGGTGTCCTGTGTCCTGGGACCAAGCTGCCGACCTGGGTGCCCTCCCACCCTGCTGGGGGCACCAGGGAGTATGGGGGTGGACATTCGTTGCTATGGGTCAAGGCCAACCCAGACTCTGCAGACCTGGAGGGACCAAGAGGTAGATGGTAGATGCAGAGCAGCGGTCCGAGGGGAGAGGGGGCGGCCTTCTGAGCAGAGTAGACCCCCAGCCTTTGTTTTGCACACTGCCCTTGCCTCGCCGGGCAAGGCACCTCCCAGGGTGGGCACAAGGGGCTTCCTGCCTGTGGACGGGGGTCTTTCCTGGCGCACACAGGTCGCTCCCAGCAATACGAGCAATAAACTCGGACAATAAACTCGTTTCTCGGGCTCCGGGCCTGAGTCTGCGCATCTCTGCCTTTTGGGGTCCTGTCTGGGGGTGAGGACACAGCTGGGCAGAGGTGCTGTGCTGGCATCTGGGGCCTTGGAGGTGGCACCACCACGTCCAGCTGTGGCAGGACTGTGATGTCCTGGACGAGGGCCTGAGTGGGGCCCCTGTCAGTCCTGTGCTTAGAGGGCCCTGTGGCCCGTCTGGCCCTGGGGTCCCCGTGATGGTCTCCTTTCTGGACTCTGGTTGAGCCAGTGGGGCCCTGACCTTGGCCCCTTGGCAGGGAGTGAGGGATGGGCCAAGGAAGGAGAAAAGGTGGGGGAGGGTCCAGGTTCCCCCTGCCCACTTCCCCCTTGTATGCTCCTGCTTCAGGAGTCACTGGTGACTCAAGTTGGCGTGGTGGTGGAAACAGGATGTGTGCTCACGTGGGGTGCTTTCAGAGGGGTCCCCAGGCCTTCTGAGCTCCAGCCCAGACGCCCCAGCCTAAGTTCTGGCAGGTCACGTGCTCAGGGGCCAGGCCTGAGAGACCCGTCCCATTCATACTAGAGGCTGAGCCAGGGGGTCCTCACCCCACACCCCCAGGCTGGCCTGCTGGTAGGGAAGACCCAGCTCAGAGGACTGAGAGGCTCCGCGCAGGTAGAGCCGGTCTCTCCCAGAGAGGCTCCGCCCTCGCCCAGCCCTTGGGAACCGGGCTGGACGCCCGGCCCGCCTCCAGGGGGTGGGGGCAGGAGGCTCAGGACTCGGGACCCAGACCCGTAGTCCAGCTCGCTGGGGCCAGCCACTCGGCCGCCACCGCAGCCCATGGGGAACAGCCACTGCGTCCCTCAGGCTCCCAGAAGGCTCCGGGCCTCCTTCTCCAGAAAGCCCTCGCTGAAGGGTAGTAGGTGAGAGGCGGGCGTGGCCTCGGCGCTGGGTCCCGGGGTCACCCTCAGCCTGCCTGGAGGAACAGGCTGTGAGCCCCCCTCCCCTTGTCCCCAGAGAGGATGGCACAAGGAAGCTGGCTGGCCTGTTTGGCACCGAGGCCCGTGCTGAGGGGGACACCACCACCGCCGACAAGTTCTTCTACTACATCCCTGGGACGGTGAGCGGCGGGCGTGGCCCAGCCCCGGGGCGGCCTCCCAGGGGTGCAGTGGTGCGGCCTGAGTTGGGCTGCGAGTGCCCCACGTCTGCTCAGCTCGGGGTCTCGTGGCTCAGCCGGGGAAGGGGGGACACGGGGTGTCAAACCCAGAACCAGGTGAGGAAGTAGGAGCAGCCCCGCCCCAGGAGCTCCTCCAGCCGAAAGTCTGAGCGGAGAGCGAAACCCGGACAAGCTCTGAGTCAGTGGGTGAGCGAGCAGCCGCGGCGCTGTGGGCGGGGCCTCGGAGCCGCCTCGGAGGGGGCGCTGCCACCGGGCGGGCGAGCCCCGGTGTCCGCCTGCCTGGCCCAGGACTGGATAGTGAGCGTGTCCAGCCGCGTTTGGGTTGGACCAGACCCACATATCTCTGATCTGTTGCTGTGTGGGCTTGGATGTCGTGTTCCTAATGTGGATGTGAATCCCACTTACTCGGGGGAGGGGCTTGGGTGATCAGTGAGTGGGCCTCTCGCCCAGTCTGGGCCTCAGTTTCTTCCAAGGAGTCTTCCAGCACCCACCACCGCCTCCTCCCAGAGCGGCGCCCTGTGTCCCCCACCCCAGGGCCACACAGCAAGCCCTGCCGACCTGAAAACCACCCCTCCCCCACCCAGCTCCTCTAGGGCTGAGAGGCCGCTGAGGGGGTTTGGGCCAGGGCTCCACCCTGCACTCCTGGTCCCGTTGGCCTGGGCTTCCAGGGCTCCCTGAGGGCAAGCACCGGCTTTAGAAGCCAGGTCCCTCGGAGGCACAGGGTGCTTCCGGGTCCTTCCATGTGGCCACATCTCAGACCTCAGCTCCTGCTGTCTGGGCCCCAGACACATCACAGGACCCTGGTGGAGTCCCTTGAGGTGTGGTGGTCCTCTTTTGCCAGGACTGGTGGCTGGAGAGGGGACCAGGTGTATTGCACCTCTGGAGATGGGGCTGGGGAGAAGCCAGCTCCCCCTGGGTCCTGCCTGGGTGGCTCTGAGCTGACTCCTCCCCAGGCCACAGGGCCATCTTCACAGCCCTTCCTGCTCCTTGGCCTATTTTTCACGATCCCATCCCAGTGTCGTTCCCCAAACTGGGTGTGGGAGCAGGAGGCCCCACCCAGAGGCAGGGAGGCCGGGAAGCTGCAAGTCTGTCGGTACACATTCCTGGGCTTGTCCGTGGGGCACAGCCACCAGCGGGGCAGCCTCTGCAGGTCCTGGAGGGGGCACGGCCCCTCCACAGTGCAACCTCCCATCCCAGGTCAGCACTCAGCCCTGTCTGACCCCAGTCTGGCGATTAACCCCGTTTGCGGAGGCCTCTCTGTGCCTCAGAACTGGCTGTGTGTTTGTGGGTACCAGCAGACAGGCCCTGAGCCCCCAGCACATCCCAGGAGGCCCCAGCGATACAGCGGTGCGCAAAACAGACAGAAGCCCTGTTCTCAGGGTGTCTCTGTGCCTGTGACAGAGCCCTGACCTCACCAACCAGCAAAAGACAGGATCAGTAAGGCGTGATTGGCACAGGGGCCCAGAGGTGAGGGCTTAGAGGGCACCAGACGGTCTTGCCTGGGATGGGGGCACATGAGCCCGCCCTGAAGGAGGGGAGAAGACAGCCCAGGCAGAGGGAGCAGCCAACCCCAAGGCCCTGAGCCAGGCATGCACCTGGTGTGTGGCAAGAGCAGGAGGGCCGGGGGCAGGGAGCAGGTCACAGAGGACCCCTAGGCTGTGGCCTGGCCTCCGCTCAGTGACATCAGGGGTCAGGGGTGCTTACTCTCTCTCCAGCCCCGCACTCACAGACGTCACATTGGCAGGTTGAAATGGGCCGTGGAGGGGCTGGCAAAGACTACAGATGGTTTCAGATTCTTTTTAGAACCAGGTGTCAGACATCTCCCAGCCAACACCGGAGACTTCGGCTGGGGGGGGGGGGGGGGTTGGGCATCATCTCTCTCAGACACCAAACTCTGTGACCAGCGAGTCCTGGGGGCGCTAAGTAACCAAAGTAAGGACACAGTCTGAGTCCAGCCATCACTGTCTCCACCACGAGACCACACACGTGCTCCACGACTGGCAGTGAGGCCGCATGCGTGCATGCGCGCTCCTGCACGAGCCGGGGCTCAAGCCCCCCCCTGAGCGCCGCTCCCCACAGGACCTCCCGGGCCTGGAAAGCCAGCGAGAACACCTGGACCAGCCACTGCTGAGCGTTTTCAAGAAGGGGCGACGCAAGGTGCCCGTGAGGAACCTGGGCAAGGTTGTGCACTACGCCAAGGTCCAGCTGAGGTTCCAGCACAGCCAGGTGGGGGCCGGGCCAGGTGGGCACTTGGGGCCCAGCCTGCAGCCTGCCCCCCCGCCCCGGCACTCAGACTGTGGCACTGCTCCCCCAGGACATCAGCGACTGCTACCTGGAGCTCTTTCCTTCCCACCTCTACTTCCAGGCCCACGGTTCTGAGGGACTCACTTTCCAGGTGAGGGGTGTGGGCAGATGGAGGAGGCTGGCAGGATGGGGAGAAGGCCCCTTGGGAGGCCGTGGCTACCCCGGGGGTGTCCCCCAGCTCCCCTCCCACTGTGCTCCGGCAGGGGCTGTTACCGCTGGTGGAGCTGAGCATCTGCCCGCTGGAGGGATCCAGAGAGCATGCCTTCCAGATCACAGGTGCGAGGGGACATGGTCGGTCCCGGCCCCGGGAGGCCCAGAGGGCCAGGGCTGCTCAGTGACCTTGGCCTGTGGCCAGGCGCCTTGACCATATTCAGGTTCCCGACATTTCCTCCAGTGGACACACAGCCACGTGCCGCACTGGGGCGGGAGGCAGCAGGTCTTGGACGGCGCCCTAGGCCCCTCCCAGCTGCAGCCCCGGGGTCCTGGGGGGGGGGGACCTGGGGAGGGCCCTCTCCTGTGGGCTGCTAGCCTGCCCCACTGCTCCTCCCACAGGCCCGCTGCCCGCCCCCCTTCTGGTGGTCTGCCCCAGCCCGGCCGAGCTGGGTCTCTGGCTCTACCACCTGGAAAAGCAGATGGCTCTCCTGGGAGGACCGCAGCGCTGCCACTCGGCACCCCCACAGGTCAGTGCCGGGAACCCCGCGCCCCTCCCTAAGCCCCGCCGCCTACCTGCCCTGACCCCACTTTCCCAGGGCGCTCCCGAGGACGAGCTCCCGTGGAGTCTGCAGCACAGGCTGACCCAGCTGCGGACGGCGTGGGGGCGCCCAGCAGTGGGCAGTGCCATCTGTGCCTCGAGGGTCAAGCTGCAGCACCTGCCATCACAGGTCGGTGGGGAACGTGGGGTGAGAGGGTGGGGGGTGGCGGCGGCCAGTGGGGACCAGGCTCGTGTTGTATGTCTGCGGAGACCCCACGCTGCCCTTTGACCACTGCTAGGAGCAATGGGACCGCCTCCTGGTCCTGTACCCCACGTCCCTGGCCATTTTCTCTGAGGAGGCTGACGGGCTTGGCTTTAAGGTGGGTCCTCCCCACAGCGACCAACCCCAGGGTGGTGCCCTGTGCGTGGGGGTGGGAGGGGGCAGTGGCTCAGGAGAAACCTGTATTTCGGGGCCAGTCGGGACAGAGCGTCCTGGCCCCACCCACCCAGCTGGCTGCCCTGGTCAGTCTGGTCTCGGCTCTGATGTGGGCAAGAGGGGCCCTGCCAGGCACCCAAGTTGCCCAGAGGAGCTGGTGGCTTCCAGTTGCTGCTGGGGGGACACATGTGTCTTAGCAGTGAGGGAGGGGACCTGTCCCAGTAAGCCTGGGCTGTGTGTCTGTCTGCCATTGGTTGATGAAGGCCCCACCCAGAGGCGGGGGAGGGGCGTAAAGATGCCCCCGGGGCAGATGGGGCGCACCTGGCCCCCTCAAGGCTGTCAGCCTGGGCCCTGCCGCACCCCGCCTGATGTCCCCAGCCCTGAAGGGCCATCGCAGTGATGGGCCCAGACAGCGGCCCCACCCTCCCCTGCTGTCCCTGCAGGGGGAGCTGCCACTCAGCGCCATCCACATCAACCTGGAGGAGAAGGGGAAGCAGATTCGCTCCTTCCTGATCGAAGGTGGGCTGCGGCCGGGCCTGGGAGGGTGGGCGTGAGCCCAGTGGGTGCCAGCTCCTCCGTGGGGCCCGGGGGCGCCTCACAGGGTCTGTGTGCTGTGTGCCAGGCCGCCTCATCAACACCATCCGCGTGCTGTGCGCCAGCTACGAGGACTACAGCCACTGGCTGCTCTGCCTGCAGACCATCTCCCACGGGGAGGGGGTGCCTCTCCTGCCCGGCCCCGAGAGCCTCCCGGGGCTGCGGGCACCCACCCAGGTGAGGGGTCGGCAGGCCCTGGACATGATGGAAATGGGGGCAGGGGGTGGGGCTTGGCGTGGGTCAGTGAGGCAGGGCCTGCCCTGCGGCTTACCACCCGCGCCCCCAACACCAGGTCCTGGGCGGTGGCCGAGGCTCACTCTCTTCAGATGGACAGACCAGCTGGGACTCGGGGTGCCCAGCACCCCCTTCCACCCGTACCAGCCGCTCCCTCCCCGAATGCTCAGCACCGTCCACCGCTGGCTGCCCCACCCAGCCTGCACCTGTGAGTACGGGGGGCGGGGGGGGCATGAGGTGAGTTTGTGCTGGGGAGTCTGGGTCCCCGTGGTACCTCATTCCTCACGGGAAGCTAGCTCCTCAGGGGCTGCGTGGGAGACGGAGACTCTTCTGAAAGACTCTGTCCCCACAGGACCAGGGCAGCCCTGGCCGTGGCAGCGGCAGTGTGCAGAAGGCAGAGCTGAGACGGGCTGGCAGCAGTCGGTTTCCCAGAAGCAAGGCCAGGGGCGAGGGGCCCGGCTCAGCCTCCCCGCTGCACCTGGACCTGACCAAGGTGGGCCCAGCCGTCGACCCCAGCTCCGGGTCTGGCTCTCCCTCTGCCTTCCACCTCCCTGTCCTGTCTGTCTGGCCCAGGAGGTCCTGGAGCCACCCAAAAACCTCTCGAGGAGGAGGAGAAGGAGGAAGGAGGACCTGGGCGTGTCCAGCTTCAGGAGACCCATTTCTGCCTCGCAGGTGACCAGGCTGAGCCTGGAGGACGACCCGGAGGCCCCGGACCACTCACTGGAGACACCACACTCCCCCCTGTACGCCGACCCCTACACACCGCCTGCCACCTCTCAACACAAAATCAGAGACGTCCGGGGCCTGGATGAGGTCAGTTCTCTGCTGGTGATGGAACGGGCCGTGCCGCTTGGGGTCAGGTGCTGCTCCCCCAGGGCCTGGGGTTGCCACCACCTAAGGGTCAGAGGAAGCCTGAGGTCTGTGGGGCAAGCCCCTCCACGAGGGGAGCAGGGGCCTGTGGGCAAGGGTCTCAAGTCACCAACACCGTGCCGGCAGTTCCTCACCGCGATGAAGAGCTCCCGTGGACCCGAGCCCGCGAGTCTGTTCCCTTCCGTCCCCGTGTCCGTGCCGGTCTCCGACCCCAGCTCTGCAGCCTCCGGCCCTCACTTGCTCTCCAGGAAGGGAGCCCTGCAGGGCCGAGCCTCTCAGCGGCACCGGGGCTCCGCCAAGGGCCGCGAGCCCCGGCCCCCCGACTCCCCGAAGCAGCTTGTGAGTAGCAGCCCCCACCCTGGGCAGCGAGACCACGGACAGGGCGTGTGGGCTGGGCTCTCATGCTTGTGTTTGGGCCTCCAGGTCGCCCCTCCCAAGGAAGTTTCACTCAAGCCCCTGCTGCGCCCACCAGGTGAGTGAGAGACCCTGCCTCTGTCGGGGGGGGGGGGCTCTGGGTGTCACTTCCTGAAGGCACACGCTCCTCTGCCTCTCCCCCAGATGGCGAACCCCCCAGGAACTATGACAACATCTGGGACAAGGCTCTGTCCCCCCACCACCAGCAACGGCCCCGTGGAGCCACCGAGGCTGAGGGGGGGCTCCCCCAGTGGATCTGATGGGCCCGGGCAGCTGTTTCTCAGGACTGCCTGCCAGTGCCAGCCCTGGGGGGTCTCCAGCAAGGCCTGGTTGCTGTGGGGCCACTGGCCGACCACCCCCCACCCAACACTGGGCAGGGTCTAACCCCAGGGGTGCGGAGAGGGTGTCGGATCCCTGAGTTTTCTAGGCTCTGGAGGGGCCGAGAGGACGACCTTACCCTGAGGGTGCCCAAAACCGGTGCAGCCGGACCGCAGACCAGAGCGGGACACCCAGAGGGGCCAAATCCTGGCCTAGGCCCAGGGAGAGAGTGAGGGAGGGGCTTGATGGGGGCTTCACCAGGGAATGGGAGAACGGAGCAGGGGTGAAGGTCAGAGGGCTAAGAAAGTGGGGTTAGTGAGGGTCGGAGTACGTGAGGTCATGAGGTCAGAGGTGGCAGAGGGTTGGCCGGGCACATGTGAGTGGGGCAGTGACGCGCAGGAGAAAGGACAAGAGACTGAACAAGAAAGAAGAGAAGGAAACTTTATTTGTCTGTGTCCACACGTTCTTCCCTCGGCAGCCAGGGGCCCCTGCTGCGTGGAACCTGTGCCCGCTGCCCCTGGCCATGTGCCCCTCTAGCACCTCCCCCGCGCCCTGCCCACCTTCCTGCCCCGTCTCTGGCTCCTCTCAGCCCTGGCCCAGTCCCAAGTGGCCCGTCCCTCCACCTGATACCACCGAACTCTGCTGTGCACCTTGTCCAGGGCTCCCCTGAGCAGGGGCCCCAGGCTCTGCCCTGCAGACCCCCACCCTGCAGGGGCCGCTGGGGTCACCTCCGACAGCCCCTGGAGGTGCCTGCTTGCTGTCTCAGGCAGGACCCTGGGAGGCCTTGGCCACAGGCCCTTGGGCTTGGGGCTCAAAGAGGCCTCAGAGGCCCTGCCAGCCCAGCACTCTTGAGAACAGGGCAGAGAGTCCCTGGGATGCCCCCCACCCCAGCGTCCCCAGACCACCCTGCCCCTCACCCCGCCCCCTGCCCAGATATCCAGGCGGGGCTCCGCTGCTGCCAGCGCTCTGGCATCCTCTAACTCCAACACTCCTCCTGCTGCTCATCCTCTAACAGACGACCAGACAAAACAGACCCAGTTACATTTGACTTCAGATAAACCACAAACAGTTTCCTGGTATAAGTGCAGTGGTACTTTGGTACTCGTTTTCAATTTGCTCCAGGCGGGGATCGGACAAGCGCCGAAACCAGCAAATGCTGAGAGATGAAGCGTCTCCCCTTGGGGGGCGCCGGTGTCTCGGCCCCCACAAGTTCTAGCAATGCGACGAGTCCCAAGCAGGTGCCAAGTGCCGAAACATGCTTTTCTCACCGAAATGCAATGCGTGCAGGGTCCGCCGTATGCCGAGGTACGACTGCACGTCTCTGGCACTGACTGCAATTCCACTTTTGCTGGACATCCCGTTTTTTTTTTGGCAAATCTGTCCAGCTCCCTGCTCGGCCCCAGCCACCCAACCTGCCAAACCCACCCCCCCCTCCCCAGGGTATGGAGCACAGCCTGGGCTTCGGCCACTGGCTTGAGCCGTGGGTGGAGTCCAAGGAAGCCGGGACTCAGGACCCTGGCTCCTTCCTAGATGCTGCCGCAGAACACAAGGGTCAAAGGGCGAGGCCAGAGGGCAGCACCTCATCCTGAGTGCCTGTGGCCACTTCCTTGTCCTGCATCTTCCTGGGCCAAGTGTGGGTCCTAGGAGCTGGGGCTGGGGCTGGGGCTGGGGCTATGGCGCCCACGCCCCACCTGCCGACGGAAGTAGCGGATGGCGGAGATGGTGCCGATGTTGGCCAGCAAGACTGCGAGGGAAGAGGAGGCTGCCTGAGTCACCACCTGCACCTGCAGGGCCCGGCCCTCCAAGGGCGGGAGGGTGGGGCGGGCAGTGGGTCAGAGAAGAAACCTGTGCCTCCCCTCATCCCTGTGGGCACCCCAGCTGACTTCTCAGCACCAGCCCCTCTGGCCCCCAGGGCCCCCAAACCTGTTTTCCAGGCGTCGGGGGTGTGCAGGTCTGATGTCCTCACAGCCCAGGTAGCAAAGGCCACGAACACCAGGCACATGTCATTCTGGCTGAAGGTCAGTGAGGTGAGGGGTCCCCAGGGCTTTTCTAGGAAAGAAGAGTCTGTTCTGAGCTCCAGCCACCACCCCACTGAGACACATCTGCCCTGCACGCGTCTGTCTGGGGACAGTCTACCCTGCACACGTCTGTGCGGAACATGCCTTCCCTGCGCATGTCTGGGGACATGTCTGCCCTGGGACACACTTTCTGAATCACATCTTCCCCGCGATACCTCTGTCCCAAGACACAGGGCAGCATGTGGCACAGCTGAGTCAGGTCGATGTGGGTGAGTGGCCTCTGGGACACCGTTTCCTGGTTTCTACAGGAGCCTCCAGAAGGAGTGTGAGATGAAACCCATCGAGCGCCCGCTGCCCGGGGCCCCCCTGCCAGCAGCTGGGGGCAGGGCTCGAGTATCGTCTGGCCCTGCACTCAGGGTGACAGTCAGTGCACGGCCAAGCCCCTGAATGACCCGGCCTGGGCTGCCCCACCTGGACTGTGCCCTGGGGTGGCCAGGAACTGGTTCCTCCTTCCCAGATCATCCTCGGGGCCCGCCCCCAGCTCCCGACCGGGGTCCCGGCCTGCCCCTCCCCAGTGGCCGTCCTGGCTGACATCCCTGGACAGTGTGTTCCCGGGATGTGGACAGGCCATGGGGCCCCCACGACACGCACCTGCTGGCCTGAGCACCATGTCGAGCTGCTCTGCTGTGGCCAGGCTGGGCTCCAGCGGGGCGCCAGGCTCTGCTCCCTGGGGAGTGGATGTGGGGGCCTCTGCGGCCCGCAGTTGGAGAGGGTCAGCCGGCCCCAGCACGCCCCCTAACCTGTCCTCCCCAAGGAAGTGTTCGTAGACCTCAGGGATGGAGATGGGCATGGGGGCTCCAGGCAGAGCGGCTGGCCCAGGCTTGGCTTGCAGGGCTGGGGCTGGGGACTGGCGCCGCCGGTGCCTAGATCTCTGGGCTCGGCTGTCGCAGAAGAAGAACTCACACACTTCCGGCCACTGGGCTTGGGCTGGGGCCTTGCTGGCCTCTGCGGCCTCCTCGGCATCTTCGTCCTCCTCCTCGATAGTGTCACAGAAGAAGAACTCATAGGCTTCGGGGACAGTCACCGCGAAGCAGCTTCTGTACCCAAGGCCCTCAGAGGCGGAGGGGGCAGGGGGGGGCACGTGCTTCAGGATCCGAGACTGGGGGGCCCGGGGCCCCACAGCTACTGCGTCCCAAGCTCCAGGCCCCCCACGGCTCCCCGAAGCCGTCCTGGGGGCTGAGGACCAGGCTGGCCCTGGTGAGAGGGGTCTCGAGGCCTCTCCTGACCCCGGCTCCTCGGGGCTGGGCACAGTCACTGAGAACCGCACTTTCTTCTTCTTGGCGGCTTGGACGGGCCCTGGGGAGGGCTCCTCCAAGGCATGTCCAGGGGTGTCTGCTGAGGGCTCCCCTGTGGGCTTCTCTTGGTGCCCCCCTGAAGACACAACAGGGCTCGGATATAGCTCGGCTGGTGGGGCAGCCCCTGCCTCCTCCAGGTCAGGCGGGGTCTGGGGGACAGAGGCAGGTGCAGGTACACACACGTCAGGCTGAGCCTTTCGGACGGGTCTGGATGCGTCCACCTCCAGTGTGACCTCTGGGCTCAGCGCGGGCCGCTGCACGTCCAGTGGAGGCTTGTGGGCGGCTGCAGACCCAGTCGTGTCAGGATGAAGCTCGGAGGCAGTTTCAGACACAGCCGTGTCGGACTGAGCGGTCGAGAAATCCGGGCAAGGGCCCTGGGCAGGTGTGGACACAGCGTGTGGGCCAGGTCTGGGGGTCGTCCTGAGCAGGTCTGCACCTTGCTCAGCAGTGAGGAGGGGTGCAGACGGATCCGGCCCAGGCCTGGCCACCAGCTCAGGGGCTGCCGTAGACTCTGGCCCCAGCTTGTCCTGCTGGGCTCCTGTCGTCTGCTCCGCCGTCCCAGCCGAGGGTCCCTTCCCCATGGTCCCAGCTGGGCCAAGGTCGTCCTTGGGCCTGGCCTGAGTGGGCAACGGGGAGCCCGGCGGGGTGGATGCAGGGCCTGCGGCCCCTGAGCGCCCACCCCCCTTGGCACCTGCGGCACGCCTCTTCTTTCGGCTGGGGCTTCGGGGCGGGGCTCCGGGGCTTCCAGGGGGCCTCTGGGATGCAGTGCTGTGGGCTGCAGTGCTGTGCCCTGACCCTGGGGGCTCAGGGCTCGGAGGAGGCTCCCCAGGGGGCTTAGGGGGAGAGTCCCGGGGGGCCGGCCCCTGCAGAAGCCTCTGCATCTCGTCTCCGGAAGATACTGGACCTTGGAGGGGTGTGCTCTGGCCAGGAGGGGCAGCACCGGAGCTGAGGGACGGCTGGGCTTCTGACCGTGCTGACGTGCCGGGCATCTGCTGACCAGCCTCCGGGGCCAGGACGGGCTCTTGCCAAGACCTGCTGACCAGCTGCTGTGGGGCTGCCTGGCCCTCCTCCTTGAAACCACGCCAGCCACTGCCCCCAAGGAGGGGCTGGGGCCCAGGGGGACTGCTGCCACTGCTGTCCCCTTGGTCAATGTCACTGGACAGAAGCTCATCCCCTGAGGCCAGGCCGGCCTGCAGGAGGCCACACTCCTCGGCAACGGCCGAGAACTCAGCCCAGTCCTGGTCGCTCAGCTGGACGCTGTACTGGAAGTTCTCCATTTTGGGTCAGTAGGGGCACGTGTGAGGCTGAGCTCGGGGTCTTCACGCACTGCCACGCCCTGCCCCGGCTCGGCGCTAGGCCAGCATCGCCGTCCTGCACGGGGGCCCAGCAGGAAGCAGGGGCAAGCTGGCTGCTGCCTCCGGGTCCGACTATCCGCAGCCCCACGGTCTGTTTTCAAGCTGACCCCAAGTGGCAATTTCAGGGCACGTTGTCACACTCCGTCCACCAAACGCAGCTCTAGATCGGCGAGGTGCGTTGAGAAATAGGACCCTCGTGTTCTGATTTTCTGCCCGAGAAGTGGCTTTCCTTCGTATCTTCGAGCATTTTTGGTTCAGCTGGGTCAGCCCTCTCCTGCAACCTGCCCTCAAACAGGCTGACTTCACACAGCAAAGCCCACCTCACGAGGGTCAGCCCTGCCCTATCCCAGCATGCTCCAGGTGGCAGCTGGCCATGGGGGAGGGGCCACAGTGACCAGCAGGTGACCAGCCTTTGACGATGACCTTCCAGGAGCCTTGGCTGGGACTGGCTGCTGGGCTCCCTCCAGCTCCCCAAGGTCAGGGTGCACTCGGTCATCAGGAAGACCTGAGCAAGAGATCACAGACCAGAAGTGGGGCTTCTGCCTCCCAGCAGCTCCCTAGGTAAGGTTTCCCAGAGGGTCAGGCGGGGCCCCTGACCCGGACCTGCCCAGCCAGCAGAGGCCCCTCTGCCTGCCCCGTCTCGGCGACCTGCGGTGACCCTAGCTGGAGAGCCTCTAACTCTCAGGCCCCCGTGGGGGCTGCCCTGGCCTTGGTCAGCCCAGTTCTGGGATGCAGACGCCTGGGCGCCAGGGTGCCGGGGCTTCCTGACCAGTGAACTTCGCCCTCTCCTCTAGGTCTAGGGAAGGTCCCTGTGGGGTCTGGCCACCTTTGGGACCCTTCAGGACTGGAATGAGAGGCAGCTGGCGTCATACCTGGGACCCCGTGGCCAGCCGGGCAGCAGAGCGGGGCGTCCGAGCTGCCTTTCCCAGAGCGGCTTGGTGCTAGGCTCGCCGTGTAGGCCCCACCCCCACAGCCAAAAATACCGTCCGGGGGTCACATGTCTTCTGCCAGCTCTCAGGGTCCAGGCCACAAATAGATGGCATTTGAGGGGCCTCCAGCTACGTGAGGGACACCTTCCTGGTCAGGTGGGACGCCAGCCAGAGAATGCTGACCAGCGCTCAGCACCTGCCGCCTCCTTCTGCCTGGCTGAAGTCCGCTGCTTCCTCTTAAAGGGGCCCCACGTCTGTGAGGTCTCAGAACGCCCTCCCGTTGCCTCACTGCCAGCAGCCCTCCAAGACTAGCTCAGGCCCCCTGGGTCTCGGGGCTTGACCCTGCCGCCTGTGGGGAATGGAGGCAGTTAGAATGACAAGCTAGGAACTGATGGATTCCAGAATGTTCCTCGAGGTCCTTTGCAGGTGGGCTGCTGCAGACCCGAGGGCAGGGCTTGCACCTCCCCCTCCAGGCCCAGGGGCACACCGGCCCTTCCCCGGCAGCTCTGTCCACCCTGCTGGGGCTTGCGGGGCCCGTGGGGCATTAAAGGCTTCTCTGTCGGGGCACCCCCACGGGCATGGCCCCTGGGCCTCTGGAGAGGGTTGGGAGGGGCCGAGGAGGATAGTGAGCTGCTCCCCCCTGGCACCTCCCCACCTGGCTCCTGGGGATGGGACCCGAGGGGGCTGCCAACCCCCAGGTGTGCCAGTCACCAAAGAGAAGGCAGGGGTGATGTGCCTCCAACAGGGGCTGGAGGGTGGCAGCCCCTCCAGGACCCCCTGAGCCCTTTCCCGAAACCGTCCATCCTGGGGGGCTGCCAGAAGGACCCTCAGTTCCAGCTGAGCTGCGTGAAGCACAGAGAGGGTGAGTGACCTGTGCCAGCCCCACAGCCACCAAGGGGCAGAGTCCGGCCCCAAAGTCCCTGCTCTTGGTGGTGTCCCAGGCCACCCTGACCTGACTTCAGGGCTGCACTGCCTTTCCCTGCGCAGGTCACTGTGACACACATGCCTCCAGACTCCTGGTGGGGGACACGAGGGAGGAGCAGCGGGCCAGACACACAGGGAGGTAGAGAGGCTCCCTACTGCACCACGTCGTGAGGAGGAGGTAGAGAGCCTGGGACGAAAGTCGAGAGAGTCTGAGGGTCAAGCCTCAGGGGCAAGGACAGCAGGGCCCCGGCTGTGAGGGAGACAAGGAATCCCAAGGAAGAGCCCGGCAGGGTGGCCGAGCCTCGGTGAGCCACTCCGTGTGCCACACGTGCAGGAAGCACCCAAGGAGACAAGCAGCAGGTGAGCGGCCGTGTGGCTCCCACCAGACGCCACACAGGAAGGTGGGAGCGGGCCTGGCCTGGGGCGACAGTCACCCCCGAGGCTTTCTTTGTCCTCGCTCCCGTGTCTCCTGCGAGGGCTCCCCTCCTCGCCACACCACCCACGCCTCTCTGGTCCAGAAGTGGGGGCTCGCACACCAGGCAGTTCTGCGACCCCCGCTTCAGTTGATGCTCATGTTGCCACCTGGATGCAGACTCAGATCCCAGGTTGAGGGCTCGGACCCACGAGACTGCTGCCCCTCTGATGCCAGGTCCCAGGATATCTGTCCAACTGGACACAAATCACTGGTTCCCTGGTGGCTGCCCTTTAGACTCATTTGCTGGAGCAGCTTGCAGAACTGAGGGAAACACTTTACTTTTACCAGTTGGTGACAAACGGACGTGACAAAGGTGACAGAGGAGCCCCTGGATAGGAGAGAAGTGATCAGCAAGGCAGGCAGACTTGGCCGAGCATCTGCATCCTCTGGGCCCCCTCCCCGTCCACCCCGTTCACTCTCCCGGAAGCTCTGTCACTCTCTGCAGGGTGCCTTTGTGTGAACAGAAGTTTGAATCGATAAAATTGAAATTGCATCATAGTTCAAGGCGTCAACAGTTTCCTTTCTGGTTATCACGAGTTCCCTTCCCGGGCACCCCATGGCAGCCCCAGGTGGGCCTTTCTCAATGCACACAGGGAGGGCAGGGGAGAGGCTGGCTCCGAGGCTGCGGGCGTGGGGTGGACGACAGCGGGGGACCTGCAAAGACCCGGACGGCCTTGGGAAGACCACCTGTCACAGGAGTTATTTCCACCCCCATCACGATCATCAGGGCGGCCTGGGGCCCGACAAGGAAACCAGGCAGGGCTCCGCCGCAGGCCCACGGGACCCTAGCCCAGCCCCTCGGTGGGCGGAGGCGCTGAGTCTGCGGAGACCGGCGCCTGGGCCGGGGTGCGAAAAGGGGAGCGCACGCTCGGGCGGGAGGGCGCACGCCCCACGCAGGGGGCACCCAGGCAGTCGTGCAAAGAGGGGGTGGACGGCGGCGCCGCCTGCTGTACCCCTAGTGGCCACCAGAGGGCACCAGGACTCCACCGGAAGCCGACAGCCAGGTCCCTCTGGACACTTCTCTGGTTGCCAGGACCCCTTTCCCGAAGACTTGTGGCTCCTTGAACCCTGGGCCTTGAGACAGCGAGCTCTCAGAACACAGCCAGCTTCCAACGAGCAGCTGTTGCACGCCAGGCAGTCTTAAGTCTCAACAGGTATACACGCAGGAAGCCATCACCACGGTCCAGAGAGTGAACTTGCCCGTCGCCCCTGAAGGCTCCCCGCCCCGGGGAAACGCCCCCTCCCTGCTCCCAGCGGAGCACCACCGGCTTCGTGCTGAGCGGCAGTCAGGCGGCGCTGCTCGGGATTTTGTACAAATGGATGAGGACAACAGGAGGGTGTGTCTGGTGTCCGCTGCTCTGCATCCACAGCACTGTGCGTATCGGTAGTTCCTGTTTCTTCTTTTCAATGTGGAGTGTTCTGTTGTTGGACGCACAGTTGGTTTACCCACACTGTGGGTACAAAGCCGCGGTGCGCGTTTGCGATCCGGTCTCGGTGTGGACGTGTGTTTTCACTTCTCTTGGGGCGGGATGGCTGGGCCTCAGGCAGCCACACGTTTAACTTTCTAAGAACCTGCCAGATGGTTCCTCTGGCTGATGTGATTCACGTAAGTGGCGGCTTGCAAAGGTCGCTGGTTCAATTCCCAGTCGGCGCACGCCAGGGTTGTGGGCCAGGTCCCGGGTTGGGGGATTGGGATCCTGTGAGAGGCAAACGACTGATGGATCTCTCACACAGGGATGTTTCTCTCCGCGTCTCCCTCCCTTCCCTTCTCTCTAAAAGTGAGTAAACAGAATCTTTTAAAAAATAAAGAAACTGCCAGACTGTTTCCCAGTATGTCTAGGTCTCCCTCCCACCATTGGTGTGTGAGTCACATCCTGGCCCACACCAGCTGTGACCGTGCTTTTACCTTCCTAACCATGAGCAGTGGTGCCTCACTGTGGTCTCCACCTGACCTTCCTTGAGGACCAGTGATGCTGGGCACCTTTTCATGTGTCTTCTGCCATCCATGACCTTCTGTGAAGTGACCCATTTTTTGGCCCATTTTCTTAATCGGGTTATTTCATTCCTTATTGTTGAGTCTTGAGAGGGTATTTTTTTTTTTTATTGATTATGCCATTACATTTGCTCTATTCCCCCCTCCCTTCCCCTCCACCCTGCATACCCCTCCCCCACCATTTCCCCCTTTAGTTCATGAACATGTGTCTCCAATTCTAGATTCTGTATTTCCCCTACTATTCTTACCCTCCCCCCTATGTATTTTCTATCTACTGTCTATGCTACTTATTTTCTGTACCTTCTCCCCCCTTCCCCTCCTCCCACTCCCCTGCTGCTAACCCTCCCTGAGATCTTCATTTCTATGGTTCTGCTCCTGATCTAGCTGTCCTCTTAGTTTGCTTTTGTTTTAGGTGTGGTTCTTAATAACTGTGAGTTTGCTGTCCTTTCACTGTTCATCTTTTTTATCTTCTTTTTCTTAGGTAAGTCCCTTTAACATTTCATATAATAAGGGCTTGGTGATGATGAACTTCTTGAATTTGGTCTTATCTGAGAAGCACTTTATCTGTCCTTTCATTCTAAATGAAAGCTTTGCTGGATAGAGCAATCTTGGATGTAGGTCTTTGGATTTCATGACTTGGAATACTTCTTTCCAGCCCCTTCTTGCCTGTAAGGTCTCTTGAGAAATCAGCTGACAGTCTGATGGGAACTCCTTTGTAGGTGACTGTCCCCTTAGCTCTCGCTGCTTCTAGGATTCTCTCCTTCATTTTAATCTTGGCTAATGTAATTATGATGTGCCTTGGTGTGTTCCTTCTTGAGTCCAACTTCTTTGGGACTCTCTGAGCTTCCTGGATTTCTCGGAAGTCTATTTCCTTTGCCATCTTGGGGAAATTCTCCTTTATTATTTGTTCAAATAATTTTTCAACTTGTGGGTGTGCCTTTCCCCCTTCTGGTACCCCTATAATTCGGATGTTGGAACGTTTAAAGATGTCCTGGAGGTTCCTAAGCTTCTCCTCATTTTTCTGAATTCTTATTTCTTCATTCCTTTCTGTTTGATCATTTTTTTCTTCCTTCTGGTTCTCTCCCTTGATTTGAGTCCCAATTTTCTTTCCATTACTATTGGTATCTTTTGTATCCCCATTCATTTCAATTAATTTAGCTTCCATATGTTTCTCTAATTTGTGACTAAAGTCAACCAGTTCTGTAAGGATCCTTATAACCAGTGTTTTGAACTGTGCATCTGAAAGACTGGCTATTTCTTCATCACTTAGGTCTATCGGTTCTGGGGCTCTGAGTTGTCCTAGAGCCATTTTTGGTCTATTCGTGCTGTTAAGTGAGCGGAGCGAAGCCTTAGTTGTTTACCAGGACGGGGCGACCCAGGTCGCTGGTTTGTGATGCTGTGTGTGGGGGCGGGGTCAGAGAGGGAGCAATGGTGTTCCTCTCCGCTAGCCCAGCGCATCCAGTCACTCACACGCCTCGGGCTTGTAATTGTGCGAGCCTGCTGCACCGCGCGGTTTTCCCTTCTCACTGGTTTCTCCCCACGTAAATGCGCGCGACCGACCGACCCACCGCGCCTCTTCCCTGTGTGCTCCGGCAGCCAGCTCACTGGCGATCAGCGCCCTCGGTTGCCTGCGCGCACCGCGCACCGCGCACCGCCCCGGGAATTTTTTCTTGCTAACCTGCTCCGCTGCTGGCCTCGCTCCTCGTACGGGTCCAGCCGAGTATCTAGTTGTCCTTTGGACTCCGTATTGTCGATTTTCCGTGTGGCTTGGTTGTGACTGCTGTTAAAAATAGTTGTTCTTAGATTTGGTTGTGCACAGAGGCGAGGTGGATCTTCCATCTACGTCTCCATCTTGGCGGAAGTCCGAGAGGGTATGTTTTGCATACAGCTCCTTCATCAGACATGTGATTTGCAAACATTTTCTGCAAGTTTATGGCTCATCTTTTCATTTTCTTTTTTTTTAAGATTTTATTTATTTATCTTTAGAGGGGAAGGGAAGGAGAGAGGAAGAGAAACATCAATGTATGGTTGCCTTTCGTGCATCCCCTGCTGGGAACTGGCCTGTAGGGAACCAGCCTGCAACCCACGCATGTGCCCTGACTGGGAATCGAACCACGAATGTCCGGTTCGCAGGCCCATGCTCAATCCACTGAGCTACACCAGTCAGGGCTTCATCTTTTCATTTTCTTAACAGTGTCTCTAGAGGAGCAGAAGTTAATTTTCTCTTTATTGCTTTTTTTTTTTGCAGGGAGAAGGATATCAGCTTTATTGATAAAATCCATCCATTTCAATTAAGTGGGTTTTAATATAATCTCAGACTTGTACAACCAGTATCATAATCAAGTTTAGAGCATCACCCTACGAGGGACCCCATTCCTATTCCCCTCAACGTCCCCCAGAAAACCACCAACCCACCCTCTATCAATCGGCATATTCTGAACATTCTGGGTAAATGGGTTCACACAACACGGGTCCTTTAGTTTAAATAATTAAATAAGATACATGGGACAAGGGTTCAATCTCCAAAATACATAAAGAACTCATACAACTCGCCATGGCTGGTGTGGCTCAGTGGATTGAGCACCGACCTGCTCAATCAACCTCACCGACTTCAAAGGGTCTCCAGTTCAATTCCCAGTCAGGGCAAATGCCTGGGTTTCGGGCCAGATCCCTAGGGCAGTGGGGGAAGGGGGGGAGAGGGGAAAAGGGGGGAAGCACACATGGATGTTGCCCTCCCTCTCGTCCCCTCTCTAAAAATAAATAAATAGGACCTTAAAAATAAAAAATTCATACAACTCAACACCAGGAATACAAACGATCCAATTTTTTTTATAAAAATATTTTATTTATTTATCTTTAGAGGGGAAGAAGAGAGGGAGAGAAACATCAATGTATGGTTGCCTTTCGTGCATCCCCTGCTGGGAACTGGCCTGCAGGGAACCGGTCTGCAACCCAGGAATGTGCCCTGACTGGGAATCGAACCGCGATTATCTGGTTCACAGGCCCGTGCTCAATCCACTGAGCTACACCAGCCAGGGCTTCAAACGATCCAATTTTAAATGGGCAAAGGACCTGAATAGGCACCTCTCCGAGGAGGACACACAGATGGTCCAGAGACATGTGAAAGGATGCTCAGCGTCCTTAGCCATCAGAGATGCAGATTAAACCACAGTGATCAAGTGCACTGTTGGTGGGACTGCAGACTGGGACAACCACTGTGGGAAACAGTATGGAATTTTCTCAGGAAACTAAAAATGGACCTGCCTTTTGACCCAGCAATTCCACTGCTGGGATTATATCCTAACAACCCTGAAACACCAATCCAAAAGAACCTGTGCACCCCAATGTTCATAGCAGCACAATTCACAGTAGGCAAGTGCTGGAAGCAACCTAGGTGCCCATCAGTAAGTGAATGGATCAAAAAACTATGCTACATGTACACAATGGAATTCTAGGCAGCAGAAAGAAAGAGGGAGCTTGTACCCTTTGCGACAGCATGGATGAAAAGCATTATGCTAAGCGAGATAAGCCAGGCAGTAAAAGTCAAACACCACATGATCTCACCTTTAACAGGAACCTAATCAACAAAACAAACAAACAAGCAAAATATAACAAAGACACTGAAATAGAGAACAGGCTGAGTGACCAGAGCGGAGAGGGGAGGGAATTTCAGGGGGAAAGGGGAAGGGTTTGCAGGAACTAGTATGAAGGACACATGGACAATAATGGGGGGGCTACATGGAAATGGGAGGGAGGTGGGGAGAGGTGGGGGACGGACTGGGGTGGGGGCAGAAAACTGTACTTGAACAACAATTAAAATTTAAAAACTTAAAAATAAATAAAATCACAATGAGATATCACCTCACACAGGCCAAAATGGCCACCAGTAATAAATCAACAAACAACAAGTGCTGGTGAGGATGTGCAGAAAGGGGAGCCCTAGTGCGCTGTTGGTGGGAACGCAGACTGGTGCAGCCACTGTGGGAAACAGTGTGGAGTTCCCTCAAAAAGCTAAAAAGTGCTTTGGCTGGTGTAGCTCGGTGGATTGACTGTGGACTGCAAACCAAAGGGTCACTGGTTCGATTCCCAGTCAGGGCACACGCCTGGGTTGCAGGCCAGGTCTTCAGTGGGGGCCATGTGAGAGGCAGCTACACATTGATATTTCTCTCCCTCTCATTCGCCCTCCCTTCCCCCTCTCTAAAAATAAATAAATAAAATCTTATAAAAAAATTAAAAGTGAAACTGCCTTTTGACCCAGTGATTCATTCCACTGCTGGGAATTTACACTAAGAATCATGAAACACCAGTTCGAGGGAACCCGTGTCCCCCTGTGTTCACAGCAGTGCCGATTACAATAGCCCAGATTTGGAAACAGCCTAAGCACCTGCCAGGGAATGAGTGGATCGAAAAACTGTGGTACCTTTACCCGGTGGAGTGCTACACGGCAGAAGGACAGGAGGAGCTCCTACCTCCTGCAGTAGCGCGATTGGAACTGGAGACTACTATGCTAAGTGAAAGAGGCCAGTCGGTGAAAGACAAATATTATATAATCTGACTTATATGAGGAATCCAATGAACAAACTAAACTAAGGAGCAAAATAGAACCAGAGGCGTAAAATCCTGGAGCAGACTGACAGCTGTAAGAGGGGAGGGCGGGGTGGGGACTGGTTGAGGGAAGGTGAAGGGATCAGCCGAAGAGCAGCCATGAGACGTGGACATGGTGCGGGACCGACCCTGGGAGTGGGGGTGCTCCGGATGGGGAGGGGTGCGGGGTGGGAACGAGACATCTGGGATAGCGCAAACAACAAAACATCAAAAATGAAATGAAAAACAAAAATAAAAGTAAATAAATAAAATCTACCAAAAAATTGGAAAAATTCCAGTCGTTACTTCTTCAAATGTTATTTTTCCCCTCCTTCTGGGACCCCGATTCCACGTAAATCAGGCCCCTCGAGGCTGTCCCGCAGCTCACAGATGCTCTCCCTGTCTTCTTGTTTGTTTGCTTTTTAATGTTTTATTATGAATAGCTTTCATGTCTGCGGTCCACGGGTCCCTCCCTCTGCAACGTCTGACCTGCCGTCCGTCCAGTGCAGTCCTCCCGTCAGACACTGCTCGCCTCAGCGGGCTTCTACACCTCCCATGTCCCTGGCAAGATTCACCCTCTCCTCCCGCTCCGCGAGCACAGTCGGTGCCACTGCAGGAACTGTCGCAGTGTCCCCGCGCACTGCTTCTCTTCTGTGACGTTTCCCCTCCTCACGGGTGACGTCTCTGCTCCTTTGTGAGCCTGTCACTTTTACGGGGGCTGGGTATCTTTGTGCTCTTACGAATACTCTTGAGCTTTGCTCTGGGTGCAGCTGAATTACCTGGAAGCCGTTCGATGCTTTTAGGCCTTGTTTATAAACTTGTTAGGCAAAGAGAAACTCTTCACTGAAAATTCTAAGCCTGGGGTGTGACTCCCCACCAGGACCTGCCCAGTGAGCGATTTGTGATCGGATCACCCTGCAAGGTCACTTCCCATGAAACCCCTTTTCATCCTCTGAGCCCTGGTTGTATGGGTCCCCCTGACTGACACCTCCCTCCCCTCAAGTTGGGCTCCACCTGGCACCTGACCTGGAAAGGGGTAGTCATCTGGGGCAACGAGGCTCACCCCGTTGGTCCCTTCTCAGGGACAACTGTGTCTCACGTGTGCTGTTTCCGACAGTTTTGTCCAGTGTTTCAGCTGATGAAGGCAGGAAAGAAAACCCGGCCCCAGCCACTCCGTCTTGGCCAGAAGGGATGGTCACAACACAGATCACACATCTTACCTGATGCTCCCCACCACGCGGCGCCGAGGCAGGTGCTCTGACTGACCCCACGCTGCACTAGAGACCTGAGACTCGCCCAGGGCCACACGGCTGGGGGACAGCACACAAGGAACGCAACTGCAGGCGGCACAGGGCGCCTTCCTGACGGCTCCACACTGCGGGGAGGCTGCGAGGTGGGGGCGCAGGAGGCAGGTCTACAGGCTTCCCAGACCGAGCAGACTGAGGGAGGCCGGGGTCGGTGGACAGGCACGCAAGTCTGAGGGTCTCGGTGGGGCCTCTCTCTGTCCAGCTCCATGTGTGTCTGCAACATGGATTGTGCGTCCCCCTCACTTACCTGCCCAGGTGAGCCTAGCTTCAGGCGGGATGGTTCCTGGGAACCCACACTTTCCCGAACACCATGTCATGGACCTAAGAGGACCGTGCACTTGGGACTCATGAGGACAGCAGCCAGGACACCTACAGCCTGGTCACACAGTCAGGGCCACGGCCTGCGACCACAGCTGCCGTGCTCTGAGCACTTCTCAGGGACTGGACGTTGGAGGCATCGCTCCCTTCACTCCATGCCCCAAGCTCCAGGCCAGGTGGCCTGACTTTCCCGAGGGCTCCCGGCCCACACTGAGGGCGGTAGGTCTCCCCAGCCGGGAGGAAGCTGCCTGCCGAATTTGGGCAGGAGGTCCAATTTGACACTGAGGAGAAGGCTGGCTGGGGGTGTCATCTGAGGGAACCTGCAGACCTTCAAGCCCAGGGCCCCCAGCCAGGTGTGCCTGTGGGCTGGGAGGGTCCCCGTGTGTGGCCCAGTGCCTGGGAGGGGCCACATATGCAAAGGAGCATCCGCCCACGCCACCAACAGGAGGCAGGACTGCTTCCCTACGACTTCTGAAAGGGTCTGCGTAGCCCCTGCCCCCAGTCTGCTGGTGCCATTAAGCCCTGGGCCTCAGATTGACACCTGGACCACCTGAGGTCGTGCTGCCAGCAGGTCCGGTTTTGTCTGGTCCCCACCCTGCCTCCCCAGGGGGCTCTCTCCCTTCCACAGGGCACTTCCTGCGGGCGCTCAGCTCCTGGGATGTTACCCTCACCTCTCGGTCCAGCAAAGCAGTTCCTCGGTCCGCAGAGCAGAACTTCCTCCTCCCCCACAGCTGAACCCACAGAAGGACCTGCACACGCACAGCCCGGCAACGGTCTGGCACGTCCCTTGGGGCCCATCTTGGCCTGGACCAGGTAAGGGAATGACGGGGCCAAGGCCAGAGTGACAGTTTCCAGATCTGAGTTGACAGGCAGAGCCCGAGTTCAGGGCCCTGAGGACAATGAAAGGGTCCGGAGTCGGGGGTGCTCAGGCCCGCCAGCCCCCGGCCCTCTGGGTGGGGGTGTTTGGCCCAGACTGTGGTTAGTGTAGAAGTTGGGGGTGGGTGTGGGGACCAGGAGAGGACAATGGCACCTCCCCGCAGCAGGGCTGCTGGGCCCATCTCCTCACGGTGCTGGGACAGGGCAAGGGGTGCTGGGGGGAGCCCGTCCCCTCCCACCAGGGTAAGGATGGCAGGGCCAGAGAGGAGAGGCTCCTGCTGGCTCAGGTGTGGGCCCCTCCGTGAAGGGGCCAAGCACAGGGCTTCAGGCTTCCAACACTGACTTCCACTCTGCAGAGCCAGCACCCACCCCCACATGGATATCAGGCCCCTCACTCAGTGGGGGTCCTGGAGGTGGGCCCAAAGCTGCCAGGAGACAGGTTGGTGTTGGGGTCAGGGGAGGCCCAGGAGGTGACAGCTTTGAGGTCGCAGCAGCCAGGTGCTTTTTGCCAACCCCGGAGACCAGGCTGTAGGACTCACTGTGGCCCGGGAGTGTCAGTGCCTGCACTGTGGGCGGCAGAGCCTGCTGAGGCCACGGACCCCGGGTACCCCAGCGTGAGCACCCCCTCTCCCGTCCTCTCGTGAGGCCCGGGGCCTATGCACCCCCCACCCCTGCTCTGATTCAGGCTGCCCTGTCAGTTACCACCAAAGCAACCCAGCGCTGTCGAGGTGCCACTGGGGCAGGCATGGGCTGTGCCCAGTCAGCACCCACCCTCAGGGCTCAGGAACTGCTTCCAGGTCAAAGTCAAGCCAAGCCCTGGGCTCGCCCCTCGGCTGCAGGGCTGCTTCGGAGTTTATTCCCACCATCCAACCGCCTTCAGAACCTGTTTCTGCGGCAGGCGGTGATGATCCCTGCATGGCTGTGGATGTATTTGTTTACTGCTACTGTTTTTTATACTCATGTTAAATTTTACACAAACTTTATTGTTTTTTGCATAACAAATTAACCTACATTTTAGCAGCTTACAACCACCAGCATTCGTTGTTCCATGCAGTGCCTGGGGGGCGGGAATTGGGAGCTGCTCCCCGGGTTCCGGCTCAGGGCCTCCACATCGGGCCACAGTGGAGGCTCGCCTGAAGGCTGGATGGGGCTGGGACCTGCGGCCACGCACGCTGTTGTGGCCGTGACAGCGGTTCTCAGGGCCACGCTGCTGGCTTCTCCATAGCCAAGCACAGCTGGTCTCCCCCGAGTGAACAGTGTTAGACAGACAGACAGACAAGAGAGCAGGAAGCACCTGAAACCTCATCTCGGAGACAGGAGCTGCCAGGTCACTATGTTCACTGGCTGAATAACAGGAGGGGGATGGGTGGGGCCTTCTGGGAGGCTGTCAAGCCGGGCCCTGCTTCCTTGTCCCAGGGTGCATCCCGGAAGGGGTGCGGCCCCAGAGATGGAGTGGCCTGGCACAGCTTGGGGGTCAGGAGGTGCCAGTGGAGGGGAGGGGGCTGTGGCCCCTGAAGAGAATCAGGCCGATGCAGGAACCTTGGTGGGGAGCGGACCCAGCCTCGTCCCACCTCGAATTTCCTGGGCTCTTTCTCCAGACTTCGCACCTACGATTTCCTGTCATCGTCCTGGCCCCGGCCCCGGCCCCACAGGCAGACAGACTGACCCAGATGCACAGGGCTCTGACACCCAGAGGCAGGCACACCAGCTGATGCTACACATGAACTCGGCAAACTTTTACTGACCTTTGGTCCTCGAAGGAACTGCGCTGGAAAAGGGGCCAGAGATGAGCAAGCCCGTGTCATCGAGGGGAAGTGACCAAGAGCCCCACCCAAGTCCTGGTCCCTCTTCACCCCTCCACAGGCCTGGCCTGGAGAAGGGGTTTCATCACTACTTAGCAGGAAGTGTTTGCGAGACAAAAGCCAAGATAAAAATAGCTGGGGTGGGAATGACCCACCCAGAGCCCATGGGAGACAGAGAAGGGGGCGGGAAGTGGGGGAGGAAAGAGGGCCCCCTGGGTAGAGCGCTCCATGGTTTGGGCCCTCGCGCTCCACTGGCCGGCCTGGGGAGGGGTGTGCTTCCTTCCACAGCTGGGGGCGAGGGCGCTGTTTCCGAGACCCAGCTGCCATCAGCTGCTGAGAAGGGGCAGCCTAGGGTGGGGTGGGGGGCAAGGAGACAGCCCCTCTTGTGCTGCATTATGCCCAGGGCCCCCACTGTGGCCCCCACTTCAGCATCCATGACCCCCTAACCTAACCAAGGGTGGTGCCCTCCCCAAACCTCCTGGTTCTGGCCTTCCTGAAAATGAATCGCCTAGGTCAGTGTGGCAGAATCCCAAGTGCCGGGCCCAGCTCTGAGCAGCCCCTGACTCCCCCGACCCACCCAAGGCTCCACCCCCCATGCCCCACGCCTCCCCTCCCTTCCACACCGAGGCCCCTTGGCTTCCTTCCCCCAACCAAGTTTTTAGCTCCCCCAGCACAGGCCACCTGCAACCCCCTGCTCAGCAGGGCCTCCCTGGCCTAACCAACAGCTCCTCCCTTCCAGGGCTGGGCCCCCGAGCCTGTGTGTGTGTTCAACAGTGCAGCCCCTGACCCAGGCCCTGGACACTCAGGGCAGCCGGAAGGCAGGGGAACACGGGCTTGGGGGGACTTGGAGGTCCCTGCCAGGTGAATATGGCCCTGTCGAGGAGGGCCCAGGTGATCCCTGCCCATGGCACAGACCTGGAACCTTGACAGAGGGACAGACCAGTCTCAGGCAGTGACTCGCTCTCCAATGCCACAACGGGCCCTGGCCAGATGGACAGCAGGACGGCAGGTAACCTGTCTGAACTGTGCTTGGGGAGATGAGTCCCCGCTTGGCCTCAGGCAGGCTCAAAATGACACACTCCAGTGTGGGCCCTGACCTGGGGGGGCCGGACGGCAACTCCAGGGCTGACGCCCAACACTGCTCAGCTGGTGTCACAGCTGGTAGTGTGGGGCTGCCACACAGCGGGTGCTCAGGACAGACGCACGGACACGATGAAACCCCAGCCCCTGCCCACTGTTGGGGGGTATGTGTGTAAGGCCCCTCCCTTCCCAGGCACATCGCAGGACTGGACTCAGGCGGGAAAGCCCTGTGCATCCACACCCCGTCCCCTGACCCCCTGGGTACTTTCTCCTTTCCTGCTGGCACTCTTCTCCTGGGGAGACACTGGCCTGGGGCAGGCTTGTCCACGGACAGCAGGACAGCCAGTTTGGGGCAGAACCCTGAGAACATAACTCAGCAGCTGGGGACCCATCCAGGGTCCAGGGAGCAGGAGCAGGAAAGGTGCAGCCGGCCCAGTGGCCCCAACGCGGGGACGCGTCTGGAAAACGCGGTTACTGTCGCCTCCTACATGGGCCTCCCGAGGAACCTCACACCCCGACTTCAAGGCAGGTCTCTGGCTCCGGAGCAGGTGAGGGCAAGTGCAACGCCTGGGCGGACCCACGCGAGGGCCACCTGCCAGGAGGTGGACGCTGAGCGCATGACTGAGCCCGGGAAGGGGCGGGGCCTGGGGACGGGGGCGGAGCCCCGCGGAGCCCGAACTTAGGAGGACCGCAGCCTCTGGCGCTACCAGACTAGACCTTTCACAGAAAAGACAAAAACAAACACAAAACTCTCGTCGCGGTCTCTGGAAATAAATATTCCCTCGTACAGTCCCAGCGACGGCCGTGGCCCTAGAACGGGAAGCTTCACCGCAGCCACGGCCTCCAGGGCTCGCCGGGGCCACGCAGCCCCGCCAAGGAGGCGGCGGGGGAGGCCCCGGTCAACCGCGGCAGCAGTGGCAGCGCGAAGGCTGCCCAGGGCCGAAGCAGCGGGAAGGGGCCTTCAGACGCCGGCCGTGGCTGCCTGCCCGGGTAGACCCCAGGCGTGGGCGGCTCCGCGGCTGGGGGCCCCAGCCGGCCCAGGCAGGCCGCTAGGTGGCCGAGCAGGCGAGACCGCACGTCAGCCGGGACGTCCTCGCAGCCGGCCAAGAAGCGATTCACCTCGGCCAGACACTCGTTGAAGCCGGCGCGGTACTTGCCCAGGACGGCGGGGTCGGCGCTGAGCGCGGCTGCGGAGGCGGCAGGAGGGAGCAGGTGGTCGGCGCCCGCGGCGCTGGTCCGCGCGCCTCTCCCCGCCCCTCCGTCGGGTCTCACCTGTCATTTGCACGCGCCGCAAGCCCTGCAGGTGCCTCACGGTCATCTCCAGGATGTCCGCCTTCTCCAGCTTCGAGTGGCGGGAGCTCTGCGGGCAGGGCGGGTGTGAGCGGCTTGCAGTCCGGCAGAGCCCCCGACTCGGGACTCCGCGCCCCGGCCCCTCCATCTCCCCTGCCCCCGCCGGCGCCCCGACTTACATCCTTCCTCAGGGCGTCCAGGATGAGGGTCTTGAGCTGAGCGAGGCTTTCGTTGATGCGCGCTCGGCGCCGCTTCTCCATGACGGGCTTGGAAGACTGCGCGGGTCGGGTAGCAGCTGAGTCCCGCGTCCTTCCATCCCCAGCCCACACCCCTTAACCCTGACCCGACCAAGTCCCACCTTGCGGTGCTCGGCCGCGCTCCGGGGCTTATTTGGGGTTCGGCTGGCGCTGGCTGGCGCTCCTGCCAGCGGCGAGCCTCTCGGCTTCCCCGGGGTGTCTGCAGGCATGGTGCGCCCCTGCGTCTCCCGGCGCCCGGCGGAGCGTGCGCCGAGGGCCGGTGGCCGAGAGCGGGCCGGCGGGCGCGCGGCGCCCCGAGTCCCGCGCCAGGTCGGCGCGCGCGCAGCCCGCCTCCCCGCTCTTTCAGGAAGAGCCCCGCCGGCTGTGTGAACGCGGCTCCGCATTCTTTCCCACACTCGCGCCAGCCAATCAGCGGCCGCGCCCTCCCTCCGCCCCCGCCCCCGCGCAGCGCCGCCCGCCCCCGGCCGCGGCCCCCGGCAGCTGCCAGTCACGCGGCGGCGCACGGCCCGCCAACGCCGCGGGCTGCGGCTGGGGCCCGCGCCCCCTGCCTGCGCCCGCCTCTGGCACCGCCGGGGCCGCGGGCGGGAAAATCGCAACGCCGCCTCCGCCGCTGGGTGGCCCCTGGGTTAGCCGCGGACGCGGGGGCTGGGCGGAGTCGCGCGGCTCACCTTCACCCGAGCGGGAAATCTGAAAGGAAAATTCACGGGGGGAACCGAGCCCCGCCTCCCACACCCCCCAGAGTGGGCGAGCCTCGGCCAACACGCCTCCTTCCTCCCCCGCGGTTCCCTGTCCCCGCCAGGGCCTGGGGCCTCCGCACGGCCACCGAAGCTGACCTGCCGCTCCCGGGACCGCCGCGGCCAGCAGCACCTCCCAAAGGTCTGCGACACCGTGGATGCGGACGCCAGCCCCTGGGCAGGAGAGAGCTCTCGGCCGGCCAAGGTCACGAAGCAGGCGGGGTGGCCTCACAGCACATTTAAGTAATGGCACAGGCCCAATGAGGGTGACACCGCTGGGCAGGTAGAGGGTTGTCACCAGTGAAGCAGGATGACGCCATGGGACAGAATGTAAACATGTCACTGGTTAGGCACACCATGTCACCAGATAATCAGAATCCATGTCTCAGGGTGAAGGTAGGTGATGACACAGCCAGACAGGGTGACATCATGGGGCGGGTGATGTCACGCTCCTCTAGATGACTCGACATCAGGTCAGCACCAGCAAAGTAAGGCTTAAAAAAAAAAAACAAGGGACAGCTGGTAAAACTTTATTTCAAGCGGCACAGCGGGGAACACAGGGTTGCGCTTATTTTCGGTGTCTGATGTGGCCTTCATGTTGAATTCTGTAGAGCCCTCGGGGTCCTCAGCCCACCGCCTCCGTTTTTGGAGGCCACAGACCCTTGGGGCGGGGGAAGCCTCTCCTGGGGCTTCTAATCCAGCACGGAGGCACCGCTGGCACACAAAATAATTGCTCCAGGTCTGAGATGGACATGAATGAGTGGGTTACTGGGGAAGCAGAAGCCCTTCTTTTCACTGGGTGGTTCGGGACTGCTTGTGATCCTCAGGGAAGAAGGTGGGGGAGGGTCACTGTGGGATCAAAGGGGCCGCAGGGGCCTAGGGGCCAAGGGGCTTCTGGTCCCCTTTGGAGGGTTCAGTAGAGCCCTGGGGGGCCTTTCTGACCAAGGGAAAGAGTTGTCTGGCAGCTCTGAAGGGGCACCTTGGCTGCTGGGAGTTTGCCTAGTGGTGGCGTCTACCTGCCCAGCACCCGTTTCCTGGGGTCCCCGTGTCATATCCCAGCGCTAAACTGGCCATGCCGAGCCCCCCCTGGGGCGCTGGGTCGGGAGTGAGGAGGCTCAGACCCTCCCCAGCAGCACGCACGTCTACATGGGGATGCGCCTTTAAGACTGACCTCAAGGCTAGCTGCCACTCCCCCCGGGGAAGCCGCTGCCTCACCCTTTCTCTGTCTCTAGAGCAACAAGCGCAGTTAGACGGGGCACTGGAAAACGGCAGGGGGCTGACAGGACCCTCTCAAGGGACCCTGCTGCAGAAAGTCCTGAGAGCACTGATTGGCTTCTGGGGCCTGCTGAGACCAGCCCTGCTGTCCAGGAGGTCCCCAGGGTCGTGAGCCTCCACTCCGTGCCCCAGCGGTTACCTGGCCTTCTCCTGGTAGACGTTCTGGCTGGAGGCTCGACCAGAGAGCTTCCTGGCCAGCGGGCAGGCACTGGGCCACCTGCAGCCTCGAGGACCAGATAAGCAGGGTGTTCAGATGGAAAGGACAGGCCCAGGGAGCCATGCTCCTGACCATTCTTTCCCTGGTTGTTGTCAGATGGGCCAACTTACCGCCCTGCCTGCCCCATCCCTGCCTCCTCACCTGTACTTCACTTAGCCCAGTGTTATTGGGAAGGTGAATGGAATGCTACTTTGGAAGCACCAGCAGGTAGAACTAGGTACACTTCTGCTACAGTTGTTACTGCCCCCAGAAGCAGGCAGGAGAGGACTGAGCAGAGGGGTCAGCAGGAGGCCCTGGCCAGGCTGGCCCTCCCCCGAAGCCAGGAGCCCAGAGCAGCTCAGCTTCTTTAGTGTCTTCCCACAGGGCTGCACCTCGGCCTCCCGTATGGTTGTGTCTGCCTGGGCCCCGTCCCTCTGACTGTCCCCTCCCTGCCTTTCACACATGGACTTGGTCTCTGGTGGGGCCCTCGGAGCTCCCTTGCTCGGAGCAGGAGGGTCCGGGCTGCAGTGGAGAAATGGTCCTGAGACCCTGGTCTGGCAGTTGGCGTTTTCCAAAGATAAACATGGCAATACCTCCCATCCCTCGGGCTCCGTGGGGTATCCTGGGTGGACTGTGATGACATGGACTGGGAAGGACAGGGGTAGTGAGATGTGGCTTCTCAGGCTGGACACTAAAAATGCTACGCACGCCCCCTGGCCCTCTCAGGACTCCCACTCTCCGAACCCAGACGCTGCACGGAAGCCCACAGTGGCCTGCAGGAGAGGCCCCTGCAGAGGTCCGGGTCGCAGCTGGGCCCCAGTGGAGGTCTCAGCTGTGAGACACCTCTAAACGCCCCCAACAAGCCGCTCACTTCACATGACCCCCACTGCCCCTGCCCACTCAGTTCCAACTCTCAGTTCACCGAACAGGACCCACCTTGCTGGGGCCTTCGGGTCTGTGTGTTGGTCGAGGCAGTCACTGGGCAGCCGGGACGGACTAGGCTCTGGACCCTGAGAGAGTAGCCTCTCCTCCCACGGCCCCATCCTCCTGCCTTTACTCCCTTCTTCCTCCAGCATCTACAGAGGCTTCATGGCTTTGAGACCTGCCTTTCTGTCTGATGGGGTGCTTTTGGGGAGCCATTGAAGCCAGCTGTCCCTGGGGGCTGAGTCCCAGGGCAGAGTGGCTGAACCCCCTCACCTCTTCTCCCCTGGAAAGGGGGTGGGACCTGCCCATGCTCCCCACTGGCTTGCTCTGTTCGGGGTTCTACTTTGAGTCTGTCAGGCACCTGTGCTGGGTCTGGGGTGGGGTCAGGGAAGTCATTTAGTGGCAAGGGGTATCAGGATGCTGACGGCACCAGTACATCCAGCCCTGGGTGTCCTTGCTGCAGACCCAAGGCCCCCGGCTCATGTGGGTCTGAACTCAGAGAAGATGGGCTTGGAGGTGCCCTGGTCCTGACATCTGCCCGGATGACCGCACAGGACTGCAGGGTGTGCCCGGCCCGCATCCCACTGGCAGCTCTAGCACAGGAGCCACATGGGTCAGTGTCCAGCTGTGTCCAACTGGCTGTGGACCCTGCTGGGTTCCCTCTCTGTGCCTCCCTCGATCACCGTCACCAGGTTCTGTGGGTTTGAACTGATTGAGTGCCCCCACACTCTGCTCCTGCCACACCCCCACTCCAGCTCACTGCCCTGCCCCCTCTTGTCTCAGGTCTTCCTTCCCCCTCCCTCCCTCCCTCCCTCCCTCCCTCCCTCCCTCTCATGCAATCCTGATGCAGCTAAAGGGATCCTGCTCATCTCTAGACCCCGTCCCCCGCCCTCCCCGAGGACCAAGCCCCCCACCCAGGGTCTGCTTTGGTGGGAGCCAGGCTGTTGGAGGGCCCGCTGGTCCTGCTGACAGTGTGAAACCAGCAGCCTCCTTTGCACCCTCTGCCCTGCACAGGGTCCTGCTGCCCATAGACAGGGGTTCCAGGGTGCTGTGGCCAGGAGGGGGACATGCCCGCCAAGTGCAGGGTAAGGCTCTGGCAAGGGAAGGGAGGGGGTCCAGGACGGGAAGGCTGTGGCTGAGGTCGGGAGGCGGCAGCTGCTGGGCCTTCCTGCCTCCAGGTGGAGGGAGAGGAGGGTCCTGCTCTGTGACTAGTGTGGCTCAAAAGTTCCCCAAAGTGCCCTTTCTTGAGAAATGAGACCCGCCCAGGTCTCTGAGGACACCTGTCCTCGTGGGCCACGGGCTGCCTTCCCAGCCAGCCACAAAGCAGCTGGAGCCCCCGTAGGGCAGCCCAGCCCTGTCCTCAGGGGGACAGTCCAGGGGGACCAAAGGCCTTCGGCCAGCAGGATGTGGTCCAGGGAGATGGGCATGGGAGTCCTGACAGCCAGACAGAAAGGCAGGCGACAGATTCAGATGCACGGGCTCACCACATCTTGTTGAGTTGGGAGAGGTTTGGGGGCCGGGAGGCAGAATGGTCAAGAGCTATGGCAGAAACATTTTGTTTTTGCCACTTTGATTTTTAGCCAACTTATGTCTGTTACATGCTGTTTGTAACACAATAGTAAGAATTTGGGGCATAAATATCCAACAGTATGGGGCTGGGTAACTAAATCAGGTCCCACAGAGCGTGACACAGGGGTTCCAGGAGGCACGCAGGCAGCCACTCACACAGCCACACCCTCGTATTTCAGATGATCGTGAAGGGTGCGTTCAGGTGGGGAGGCAGTCATGAGACACCGTCACACGTGCAGCAGGTTTCTTGTGGTGATGTTTTTTATTGGGGTGACATTCACAGAATGTAAACTTAAACCCATAGTTTAAGCATGTAACTCAGTGCTATGTATTTACAAGGCTGTGTGACCATCACCTCTGTCTAGTTCCAAACATGTCACCCCCGTGAAGGAGGCCTATGTTCTAAGGCAGTCGCTCCCCAGCCCCCCACAGCCCCCCAACGCCAGCCCCTGGCAACCGCTGATCTATCTTCGGGTCTCTGTGCACCTGCCTGGTGCGGACGTGTTACCGACCAGCCCTGAGGCACTCCCCGCCTCTCCCGGGTTCTTGTCTTGCTCTCAAGAGATTAATTGGATCCGCAGACAACACACACGTGAGGTGGAAATGAAACAGCAAAGCTTCCTTATGAAACACGTGGGCACGAAACCACAGGCAGGCACCCGGCTCGTCTGAAGGCCCCGTGTAGGGAGGGCATCAAGTCGTTAGTGAGTTTCTTTTACCCACTTGAGCCGAGGCCACAAGTGCGTCCTCTGCTTAACCTGAGTGGCGACTGCGGGGACTCAAGGCTATGTATTTTAGTCAGTTTCTAGGCTCCTCCTTCTCCTCTCTGAAACCTTGGGAATAATGCACAGCTCCAAAGGCTTCCCTCTCAGCTAGTAAAGGCTCTTTGTCCTCGTGAAAAAGGCTCCGGTTCCCAGTGCAGAGTCTCAAGGACTCCCCTCCTGCTCTGTCCCTGCTGTGGTGTTTGGACACCCGGCCACCTTATCCGACTGGGCTCCGGACTGCTGACTCAGCCGGCGAGACGTGTCCCCCTTCTCCTCCCTGCCCTCCCTGTCCTGTACTTGACAGGTATTTCCGATAGACAGAATCACTGCAGTGCGGCGCCTGTCAGGTCTGGCTTCTGCCACTTGGCACCGCCTTTTCACGGCTCCCTCACACTGTAGTGTGTCAGTGCTTCATCCCTGTCTGTGGCTGCGGGACAGTCCCCTGTGACAGTGGCCCACATGGTGTTTACACACCCGCTGCTGATGGGTTTGGCTGTTGCCACGGTTTCCACCGTTCTCCTGTTGTAAATAGGGCTGCTGTGCATACTTGTGTACAAGTATTTGTCTGAACGCCCGTTTTCAGTTCCTGGGCATATACCTAGGAGCGGGATCGCTGGCTCACGTGAAACTGTTTGCCCTTCAGAGGGACGCCCAGACTGTCCCGCGGGGGCTGCCCCATCTCACGTCCCCACCGGTGAGGCCCCAGCCTCTGCTCCCTCGTCAGTGCCTGCTCTGTTATTGTGGTCGTTATCGTGGTCGTTGTTGTGGTCCACGTCTAGTTGGCGTGACCTCTCACCGTGGTTTTGATCTGCGTCCCCGAATGATGCTGAGCATCTTCTCATGAGCTCGCCTCCCACTTGCGTATGTTCTGTGGAGAAATGCCTGTCCAGGCCCTTGGACCAGTGTGTGACTGAGTTACATTTTTGTTGTTAGGTTGTAAGACTTCCTTAGACATTATGGACACCAGACCCCTATCTGACACATGGTTTACAAATATCTTCTCCCATTTTTGTGGGTAGTCATTTCATGTTCTCGGTAATGTCTGTGAGTTCCTTGCTGTGGGAAATAAAAGATACATCTCTTTCATAAAGAGAAGACAATTTGAACAAATATTGCACTAGACCCACGGTGATCACGTCTGGGTAGTTTGGATTGTCACTATTTTATGTTATATCTGAATTAACGGTTTCGAAGTTCCCTGACTTTGTAAGTTGGTAAATGGAAAGTGAAACTTTTCCGTTGTTACTTCAGTGCACCGTGTCCGGACCCAAACGCACGCTCCGCTCCCCGGAGCGGGTGCGGACCGTTTCCCGCCCTGGCAAGGTCGGTAGAAATTCCCTCCGCCTTGCGCATTGTTTTGTTTCCCCTGCTGGCTCTGACGCCACCCTTTGGGAAACGGAAACTGAAACCGAGGCTGCGTTACACGGCTGGGGCTCGGCTGGCCCCAGACACGCCCCCTGACGCGCGCGCGGCACAGGCTTTGAAAAGGGCTGAGCGCGGGCGATCCGCTGCAGCTGCGGCTGGAGCAGGGACGCGCCTGGAGCCCGGACGAAGCGAGCTTGTCACTGCCTCGGAGGACCTGGCTGCAGAGCCCACATACATGGTGAGGCGGCTTGATGGATGGGGCAGGTGGGGCGGCACCAGTCCATTTTCCTCCCCCTCCCCTGTGGGTCAGGAAGCAGAGCTGCTCAGGACGCCCAGCTTCTGAAGTGCGAACGGAGGGGCAAGACTCCTTCCGAGGTCAGGGTGTGGGTCTTGAAAGGTGATTCTGAAGTCCCTTGAGGGGACATCTTTTTTTAAAAAAATACATATTTATATACTTTTAGAGACAGGAGAAAGAGAGGGAGAGAAGCACGGATCGGTGGCCTGTCATGTACCCCCAACTGGGGACCTGGCCCCAGGCATGTGCCCTGACTGGGAATTGAACCCGCGGCCCTTTAGTTCACAGGCTAGTGCTCAGTCCATTGAGCTACACCAGCCAGAGTCCTTAGGGGGGACGTTTTAGCTGGTGAAAAGGAGTCAAGTGATGATCATGGGCAGCTGGCCGTTCCTTGAGAAATGCCCCCTTGTGTGTCTCCCATACTTGGGGTCCCTGCCCTGGTGATGGAGAGAACCCAGAGGAGAGAGCTGTGCCCCTGACACTAGGCGCCCGCCCTGTGCCAATGCGTGTAGCAGGCCCCGGGGTAGTGCCCAGGTCTCTGAGCTCCATGTGATGCCCGCAGGACGGGAACCTGAGGGTGAAGCTGCTGTCGGGCGAGGAGTTCCAGGTGCCGCTGAGTGAGTCCATGCTGCTTGAGGACCTGAAGCGGCTCATTTCCCAGAAGATCGATGTGCCTGGCTTCCTGCAGCGCCTGGTCATCCAGCAGAGCGGTGCAGCGCCTCGGGATGACGTGCCCCTGGTCAGGCAGGGCCTGGGCCCCGGCAGCACGGTGCTGCTGGTGGTGCAGAGCTTCAGCACGCCCCTGAGCATCCTGGTGAGGAACGAGAAAGGTCGCTCCAGCAGCTACGAAGTTCAGCTGACACAGAAGGTGGCTGAGCTGAAGCAGCAGGTGAGCTCGAAGGAGCGCGTGCAGGCCAGCCAGTTCTGGCTGAGTTTCCAGGGGAGGCCCATGGAGGACAACGCGCAGCTGAAGGAATACAAGCTGACACCTGAGTGCACTGTGCAGATGAATCTGTACCTTCGGGGCGGCAGGGTGGGGCCAGGAGGGCAGCAGTGAGGCTCACTGGTGAGTCCCCGACCAAGGGCGCAAATAAAAGCTGATGCAAAGCTAACTGGCTGCCTTCATGTCTGCCCTCACCCCTCCCTCAGCACCCTCACCTCTGTCAGCCCTTCATTCAGGACCCCTGGTGAGGAACTTGTGGGGGGGGGGTGGAAAAGAGAACAGGGCGAGGGGACCCAGAGCTCCTGGGTGGTCACAAGGCTGGTGTTGCCAAGGTAAGGGACAGCCTAGTGGGATCAAAATAGTGACACCCCCACCCACCACCGAGAAATTGAGATGTTCCCATATCTTTGGGAAATGAACTTCTGGAGAAAGAAAAACGAGAACTCCCTGGAGCCCACCTCTGGCTCCAGGCAGCCCCCAAACAACTGGGCCACACCTGACATCTTGGTCAGCAGGTAGGACAGCTGGGGGGGCAGGGCAGGTCCCAAAGTCCACAGGGGAGGTCCCGGCTGGGCCAGGGCCCATGGAAGACGTAAGGGGGTGAGTCCTAGGGCCTGTCTGTGTGGGTTGGGAGGTGGGGCCTCTCTGCTCCCCAGGACCCACCAGCTGCCTTGCCCAGCCTGCATAGGTCCGGGGAGGTTTGGGGGCAGGGCCTGGACATGTGTCACCACCCAGCGAGCTGCTGAGTGGAAAATGTTCATAACAAATGCACCTGCCTTCAGAGTTTCACTGAATGGAGAGGCCATGGCCAGCAGAGGCGGGGCACCTGGATGGGGGTTCCTCCAGCCCATGAAGTTTGCAGAGAGCACTGTTTGGTACAAACTACACGTGCTTCCACGGCAGACGCTTCCTCCCTGCCCAATTTCCCAAATGGGCCCAAGGGAGCGGGCTGATCAGCCTTGGATGCAAATGAGATAGGAATGAGAGAACGGACACCTCTCTGGGCGAAAGTCCAAGATGCTGGGGACACTCGGACCTCAGCTTTCAGACTCTTCAGGGGGATTTATTTTGCTGGAGACCCAGAAGCCCCCTTTCTGCTCTGTGGGAGTCTGTATTCGGGCTGGGGGTCCCAGGTCTGCCTTGCCCATGATGGATATGTGGACATGCATAGACCTACAGGGGTGCCTCTAGGAGGCTGGCCTGGTCCCACCGTTTCCTGGGCCCCACCCTCACCCCTTGGTCCTACCGCAACTAGGCAAGTGTAAGTACACGCCCTCGAGGCCGCCTCCTTTCCTGAACCTCCCACCAGCGTCTGGAGAAGTAGAGTCCTCCAGAGGGGTCTCTGCTGAGCAGCCCCTTCATCACTTCTGGCCCCGAGCTCTGCGGCTGGCTTGGGGTGAGGGGTGAACCTCAGACCCAGCCCTGGAGCAACTGGAGGGGTCGCCGCCCCTCCCCCCATCTACAGCTAGGCCAAGCTCTAATTTGGATGCTCTGGATCGCACTTTACCCCAGTACTTAGCCTGGAGAGGCACCTTTCTGGGAGCCGGGAGGGGGCGTGCCCAGTCGCCCCACGACTGACCCAAGATTACGGTCGCTGGCCTGCAGGGGGAGCCCTGGGCCCTGCTATGAGGCCAGAGCCGGGAACGGAGGTGGGCGGGCTTGCACTGCTCTGACCAATGGCCGCAGCGCCGGTCCCGCATTGGCCCGAGCCAGAGGGGGGCGCGGCCCGCTGGAGCGGCCTCTACTCCGTGACCCGCTGGGGGTCCCGGCCCCCTGAGCTTCCGCCTCCGTTGTAGCTGGGGGCTGGGGTCCGGAATCAGGTTCCGCCCGTAGGGGGAGGGGCGCTGTTCTGCGGCGCTCGACGGACCGGGGGGGGTGGGTCTCGGAGTCTGGCAGGACGTTCCCGCGGCCGAGCGAAGCCTGGAGCCCCTTGGAAGTCCTGTCACGTCGCCTCCAGATTATGCATTAACCCGATTTCAGCCGCATTTCCTGGGGGCGGGAGACGGCCGTGCCGGCGGGGGAGGGGCGTCTGTGGGGGGCCGCAGCAGCAAAGAGAACACCCCGGGCCGCCCTCCGCCCTAGCTAGTCCCACTACCCACCTCCGCCCGGCCCAACCCAGTCCCCTCCCTCCCCCCAGCCCGGCATCCGCCCGGCGCCGCAGTCCCAGCGCTTTGTTCCCGGGGCAGGCGCTGGGCGTCGGGCGCCGGGCGGGCCGGAGGCGGTGCAGGCGGTTGGGGGGGCGGTGCTGCCGGGGTGCCGCCCTCGCCCCGCCTCCGTGCCGCCCGCGCTCCCACCCTCCGCCTGGGAGCTGCGTCCCGTCCTGTCCAGTCCGATCCGCGGCGCGGCCCGGCCCGTGCGCTTGCTCCAGCCGCCTTCCGCCGTCCGTCCCCGCCATGGCCAGCCTGTGGCTGTCCCGCCCGGCCCCGCTGCGGCCGCTGCTACTGCTCCTGGTGGTGACCGCGCGCGCCCTGCACGGCGCCGACGGGACGTGCCCGGAGCGCGCGCTGGAGCGGCGGGAGGAGGAGGCGAACGTGGTGCTCACGGGCACAGTGGAGGAGATCCTCAACGTGGACCCTGTGCAGCACACGTACTCGTGCAAGGTGGGACCCCGCCGGGACCCCCGGGGCCCTGAGACCTCCTACGAACCCTTCTGGAGCCCTGCGGGGGCCTCTTTCCCCGCGATCACGGCCCCTAGTCCCGAGGCCCGCCCCTCACAGTGCTGGCAGCCCCGCAGAGACAGACCCTCGTCCCAGGCCGTGGGAACGAGCCCCAGACACTCAGCAGTTCCTGCTCCCGCTCCCTTGGTGACCGCCGAGGCCCCGGGTGGGGCGCCGGGTCCCGGAAAACTCGCGAGCGCCGCAGGGAAAGTTCCTGCGGTACCGTTGCAGTCTCACCTGGAGGTGCCCAGGCCCAGGGGACCGAATCCCATCGGCCTCTCCATCCCAAACCCACTCCCTTGTTGGAAACAACTAGTCGCCCCCCCAGGGAGAGTGTGTGGTTACCGCACCGGCTCCCCAGCAGCCAAAGAAAAGGAATAAGGGAAGAAGGGAGGTGACGGTCTCTGTCTGGGTGGGAGGTGGGGGTTCCGCCTGTGGTCAGTGCTCTCGTCCCTCCCCAGAGGGCTTTATCAGGGTGAGAGGGGGTGATCAGAAGAGAGAGGTTCACAGCTAATCTCCAGACCTCGGGGATCCCGGTCGGGGGTACTGCAGTGCCTGGGGGTGGGGGCTGGAGCAGAAAAGTGGGCGGGGCGTTGTTGAGCCCCAAGTGCTCGCGGTGGGGGTGGGAGGCAGGGGCAGGTGCCCCATCCGCCCTCCCCCAGGGCGAGGGTGGCGGGGTAGCTGGGTGTCCTCCAAAGTGCTACTCGGCAGCCTCCTGGGATAGGTATGACGGGCTTTAAACCACAATGCAGTCCTGGGATGGGCTCAGGGGACCCAGGCCCGGTCCCTGCCCCGGCTTCTATCCCCTAAAACTACCTCCCCGACCTGGAATCGGATCAATCCTCTTCCTTGGAGGTGGCGAGAGTGGCAGCTTCTTTCAGAGGGGCCTGTGAGGGCTACAGCTGGGATCCCCCGCTGGGCCCCCTCCCCTCCACCTCAGGGCACTTTGCCAAGTCCCTGCAGGATTTTCCCGACTTCCTCCCTGCTGCTCCTGGGTGTGGCTGGGGTGGGGGGAGGCGATGAAAGCTGCCCGGCCCTCCCCCCTGCTGGTTACCCTCCTTCTGAGCCTAGTGAGTGTCTGGAGGTTGGAGGGAGGGGGCTGGACACCGCTCCACCCAGGCCACTGGAGGGTGAGGGGGTCTCTGCAGATGCTTCAGTCCCTAGGTTCCCAGCAGCGGGAGGGAGGCAGGTGGACTGGCCACCATTGTCTTTCATCCCCTACTTTGGAAGCCCCAACTCCCCAGAGCTCCTGCAGGGAGGGTGCTAGGCTCCCCTGGCCACATGTCCTGTGGAAGGGACCTGTTTCCTTGAGGACAGCCCGCTGTTCAGCCTGCACTTCCTGAGACCCTCCAACACCCCCCCCACACAGGCTACAGACATCCCAGGGCCCAGTGTGTTAGAGCAGGCGCCCTCAGGGCCCCCGGAGCAGGAGCGGAGGGTGCGGCCGCGGGTGCTGCCCAGACTTGATTCTGTGGTTCCTGGGCGGCCTGGGCTGTAGGAGCCCGACCCGAGGAGGGGGCTTTTACCTCCTGGGGGTGGGGAGTGTCTTCGCCCACCCACGGGGCTGCAAGGAAACCCTGCCGGCTTGGAGCCCTGAGCCCATCACCCTGAAATGGCACCATCCACGTCAGCCACTGCCGGCCCTACCCAGGGTGGGCAGGTGGGAAGAGCGGGGCAAGGGAAGCCAGGCCAGGTGGGTCCCCTCCCACATCCAGCCTGTGCTGACTTGGCCGGTGTTGGAATCCGGCGGCTGGTATCAGACCTGAGGGTGGGGAGCTGCTTCCTAGGGGAGAGGGGTGTTCACAGATCTCGTGCCTGCGTGACACTCCTGGTCAGCCGCATCCGTCCTGCGTGTGCGTCCCTGCATCCTCCTCCTGGAGGCCGACGAGGTCTCCTTACCCTCTGCCCAGGTCTGCTCCGATATCGGGCCTGAGCAACAGAGGTGGGAAGGGAGCCAAAGGCCCCGGCGCCCAGGCTGGCGTCTGTCTCAGGCCTCTGTAGCTCCTCTTCGCTGATACCACCCCCCCCAATCTACTCCAGGTTCGGGTCTGGCGGTATTTGAAGGGCAAAGATGTGGTGACTCAGGAGAGCCTACTGGATGGTGGCAACAAGGTGGTGATTGGTGGCTTTGGAGACCCCCTCATCTGTGACAACCAGGTGTCCACTGGGGACACAAGGATCTTCTTTGTGAACCCTGCACCCCCGTACCTGTGGCCAGCCCACAAGAATGAGCTGATGCTCAACTCCAGCCTCATGCGCATCACCCTGCGGAACCTGGAGGAGGTGGAGCACTGTGTAGAAGGTGCGTCGGGCACGGGAACGCTGGGATGGGGGGCTGAGGCTGGGCGCACTGCATCTCACCGGCAGGGGGTCTGACTTCCTCGGTGCCCTGGCTTCCCTTCTGTCTCTGCTGTGTCAAGGTCAGCTCCAGTCTCTGATGTCAGCAGTGCCCCCCAAGCCCCCAGGACACTGCCATCTTTTGTCCTAGAGCTGAGCAAGTCCCTAGCCCTGCACAGGGGCAGGTCTTCTCCCCCCCGCCAGCTCTGCACCTCCTGGAGGGTCTGTTTCCAGGGGAGAGGCTGGGACCAGGTGAATGAACACCAGCTGTTCCAGTTCCTGCAGAGGCCCAAACATCTGTCTAGACAGGGCCCAGATGTTGGAGCAACCGCCTGTGGGTGGGGTGTATGGATGTGGGGCTGTCCCTTTGTGCGAACGAGGCCTGTCACTTCTGGGAAGGGGCAGTTCTGTGGGGTGGGGGGTTTGAAAGAGGTGAAGGACTTCCGTCTGATGCCTCCACGTGCCCCTCCCCCCCACCGCCCCTGGGAGGTGAGCTGGAATCAATAGGAGCAGGGTCCCTACCCCCACCCTCCCCAGCACCTCAGGACAATCCCAGTGAAGGGTTGACATCCTTGGCTGGCAAACGTGTCAGGGACAGCGTAGGAACTGCTGGTTGTCCCCACATCCTGTCTGTCTCCTCGGGACTGCCTGGGAAGGGATGTATGGGGGTGGCGCAGGGGGGCTGGAGGGGTCTCTGACTTCCTGTCTTAGGAAGGTGACCCTGTCCCTAGGTTTGCTCTCCCGGACAGCAGGGAAGTCCCACCTTCCGTCTAACTTGGTGCTGTGGTGCTGGCCTGGCTTTTGGGGGGTTCTGTCTGGCCTTGGGGGGAACTGTAGGGGGCGGAGGCAGGCCCGAGTGTCTTGCCCAGCCTGTCGATGGTTGGCTGCCCCCGGGGCTGCCTCAGGGTCCCCCGCTGCAGCGTCACAGAAGCCAGCCAGCAGGGCTGTGTGTCCCTGGTCCCTTGCCAGCATTGGCTTGGCGGAGGGATCTCAGCCTGGCCGTCCCACCGGGCCAGAATATGAGGCCCTGGCTCCACTCTGGAAGCTTCTAGTCTAGGGAGGAGATAGGAGGGAGACCTGCAGGTGGGCTGCTGGGTGATTGTGACACCCAGTTTGGGGGTTCGTGGGGGCTAAGGAAAGGCTGGAGCCGAGGGGTCAGGACGGACAGTCCCCTGTTTGTGATGGAGGATGGAGAGGGCGTACCACTGAGTGCACGGCCAGGTGGGCCCTGCCTGAGGGTCCATGACTCAGGAACTGCAGTTCAGAACTGAGGTTCTGTCGGGTCAGAGCTTCTGTGGCACAGGGCCCACCTCCGGCAGAACAAGACTGGCCAGCCGGGCCGAGTCTGACTCTGGCCACGCCAGGCTAGAAGGGACAGCCAGACAGGAGGACCCACAGGGAGGGCCCCCCAGCCGGGACTGAGGCAGACTCGACCTACTGTGTGTGTGCTGCCGGCCTTGGCGGCCAACCCTCAGGGGCCAGTCTAGGACTCAAGCTCCAGCTGCGGGTGGGTGCCGGGACCCGTAGGCCCGCGTGCCGCAATGGGGCGAGTACCCCGCAGGGGCAGAGGCCGCCGAATTCTCCTGAGGTCAGCCCACCAGGGAGGAGGGTCTCGGGGAAAGGAGTTCACGGAGAGGGAGGGAGAGGACATGGCCTGGAGCCTTGTGGGTGGAGGGGCCCAGAATGAGGAGCTCCTTTGAGCTGGGCCGAGTGGATCTCTGCTCTGGAAGCAGGTCAGGGCGCAGAGGGGGGGTGGGCTGGGTGCTCAGACAGGGTGGAGATACATCACTGGGGTCTGGGGTGAGAGTGGGTGCTCCAAGCCTGAGAGACACGGTCCCTGGCAGCCAGGCCCTGGCTCCTGGGGGAACAGCTGTGGGCCCACGTCCCTCAGGCTGGCAGGGCAGGAGGACAGGCCGCCTCTGGTTCTGAGGAGGTGAGGGCCTCGGACCCCAGCCCGGGCCCTCCAGGACCCCGGCCTCACCCTGGTGAGGACGCGCCCTGAGATCAGCTGACCCTTCTTCCCCATCTGACTCTGACCCCACTTTGTTCCCAGGGGCCCCAAAGGCCCCACTGTGAAGTCCGGCAGCCACTAATCTGTGGCAGTCGCCCCAAGACCCGATACCAGGTCTGGCCTTGTCCCTGGCCCGCCTCACCCCCTACAAGGCCCAGAGCAGCCAAGGGGGGACCATGTCTCCTGAGACCCACCTCCTGGGGTGTACCCTCTCCTCATCCCGGCCCGGGTCTGAAGGGGCCGCTGCTGCCGTCGGCGCACCCGGTCCCCGGCCCCGCTAGGACCTGCCTCCCCCGGTTTCTCTCCAGGCCCTGCAGGGTCTTCCTGGCTCTGCTGGCTAAGCCCCTTCCCCAGCCTCCAGCCCCTAGACACGCCCCTCCCCTATCCCTGACCTGGGGAGCCACATTCCTGGCATAGCTGAAGACAGGTATGTGTCCCTCCCTCTGCGCCACCTTTCCGTGAGGGAGGCCTGCTACCCTTCTGGAAGGGGACATTGCCCCTTTGTCAGGGATGTGGCCTAACTGCCCACACTCTGAGCCCGCCCAGGCTGCCGGCCAGCAAGCAGCTCGTCCAGCCCTCAGCCACCTTGTCCTGGTTGTCTGGACACAGCCCCCTCACTGCCCCCACACTCCCTGCTCCACCGGATGGAGGTGAGTCCTGGGCCCCCCCTGCATCACCCAGGAGGACATAGGCCTAGGTGGGCCAGCCAGCCTGGGGCCCTCCCCCCCAGTAGGAGCCGGAGCAGAGAAAGGAAGTGTTGTTTGCCCCCGCCAGGCCTGGCACGGGGACAGGGTCCTGGCACGGGGACAGGGTCCTGGCACGGGGACAGGGTCGGAGTGAGTCTGGCGCTGGCCCTGCCCAACCCTGAAGCCTGGGTCCTGTCTGGCCAGGCCATGCTGGCTCCCCTGGCCGGGCCTGTGGTCCAGGGCCTCCGGGAGGGCCTTGCTAGGGCTCCGGCTGCAGGGATGTGGGCCCTGCGGGGGGTTGAGCCGGCTCTCCGCCCTGCGGAGGCGGGGAGATGCCCAGGGGAGTTTTCTGTGCCGCCTCCCTCGGGGCCGGGCATTTAGCCTCTGTACCCTCATGGTTCCGTGGCCTGTCCCACCCCCTCCACATTCCTCCCTGCTGACGTGGGAAGTGGCTTCTTCCTGTTCACGTTTCCCTCTCCTGCCCCGTCTGTACTGCAGGTTCTCACCCCGCCCCCCCCCGACCCCACCCAGCCCCCTGCCTGGCCCCTCCCCCAGGCCGGGCCTAGAGGAGGCAGGTTCGGGCCCGCGGCTGCCCGCCTCGCAGGCCTCGCTCCTGCCCGTGGGCCGCTGGGGGCGGGGTCTGCCCAGGTGCGGCGAGCTTTCCCACCTGAGGTGCCCGGTGGGAAGTCGGTGCGCAGGACTCCACTTGCGTTCGTGCACTGGCCGCCGCGTGTGTTCAGGGGGCAGGAGGGGTCGCGATCTCCCGGCTTCCCTTCGGGCTCAGCTGGTGGAAACAGCTTGGCTTTTTCCATACCCCACCCCACCCCTCGCTCTCCACCCAGAGGGGAGCCCGGCCTCCATTCTCTCCACGGACTGGAAATGGGAAAAACATTGGGTTTGAAACCGCCCGCCCCTTCCCCTCCATCTGTAGCTCAGGGTGCCGGACAGAGCATTCAGGTGGGGCCTACCTGTGCCCTCTCGGCCTCTGTGGATGCCGGGACCACACTGCACAGGTGACGAAGCCGCAGGTCACCTGGCCAAGGCTAGCTGTCCCAGGTCTGGGGCTACAGACCCCGCCCCCTGACGGTCCTCCCGGGCAGGGGCAGGAAGCAGGGACTGCGGCAGGGAGGGTTCTGGGGGCGGCTGGCACAGACCCGAGTGTGGCTCTAGACAGTTATCCCACCACCTCTCTCAGTCGGCCATCAGCCATCGCGGTGTCTGCTTGGTTTCCTTTCCGCAGGGTCAGGCCCCCTGTCCCTGCAGGGCGTGGCAAACAGCCACAGAAACAATCTATCTCTACGCTCCCCAGCCTTTGCCTCCACCTGTGGGGCCCAGGCCAGCCGCCACCTTGCCCCGGAGGCCTGGGTGGAGGGGGATGGACTCCCTTCGCCCCCAGGCCCACTGGCCTTGGTACCCCCACCGCACTGGGATGGAGGAACCCCGGCTCCCCACACCCACACAGGCCACTGGGGCCAAGGCTGCAGGCGTAGTGGTGCCTGGCCCCCCAGAGTCCCAGGAGGTGTCTGCCTCTCACACAGAGGCATGACTCGGCACCCCAGTGACAGTCACCCAATGACAGGATACAGCTCAGCTGTGAAGGGGGCTCTGCCTCACTGGGACCCAGAAGGGGCCATGCTGGAGCCAGGCTGTGGCTGGGATCTTGGCCTGTGGTGGGGGTGGGGCAGGGAGCGCCCCTCCGGGGGCCTCTCCCCCCTCCAGCAGATCCTGAGAACTTCCTCTGAGGAAGGCCCCCTGCCAGGGGTGGCTGACAGCTGGACCTGGGAAAGGGAAGAGGCCCCTCCTAGCCAGGCCCCTGCCGGCCCCCCGTGGAGAGAGGCTGGGAGAGGGAGCTCCGTCCGGTCCAGCTGTGTGGCCCCCACTCGCGCGTCTGTGTGTGCGCGCCTGTGTGTGTGTCTGTGTGTGCACACACCCTCAGCGCCGATGCTGCCATCTGTGCATAGGAGAGTTCTGGTTGGAGCCCCTACAGGTGGCCTGTGGCTCTGCCGCACTCTCCCCTGGCGCCATCGAGGGCCAGGGCCCTGCGGGTGCCTGACAGCAGGCTGGTAAGGGGTGGCCTGTGCGTGTGCACCAGGGCCTTGGGGACAGGCCTCCAGCCCCTGTCCTCTGTGGGTCCCAACCCAGCCTCTGCTGGCTGCAGGTGGTCCCGTCTCCTGCCTGCTGCCCCTGTGTCTAGTAGTGCCCTGGGCCTGGCAGAGCCCTGGGGGCCACTTGGGTTCACAGTCCCCCCGTGTGCCTGCCGGACCGAGTCGGGCCCAAGGCTCTGGGGGGGGTCTGTCACTGCAGTGAGTGGGCACCAGCCATTCCAGCTGCTCCCCCAGCAGCCCCCCTTTGTCGCCCCACCCTGGGCCCTGGTGCGGCTGTGTTAGCATCCATCACTCTGCCCACGGGTGGGAGGCCCCAGTGCACACCTGGGTCCGAATGCGGCCTTCCCTGACCCCCATGGGGTGGGCCCACTCCTCTTCCTGGAGGGGTAGGGGTGAGGCTCAGCGTGTCGCTCATTAATTCACTTATCGACTCCTTGCTCATCCACACTCCCATCCACCACCCTCAGCAGATTCTCCAAAGGCCACTGGGAGGGGCTGCCACCGCCGCCACCTGCCAGCTGCACTGGCCCCTGCTGCTTTGTGGATGTGCCTCCCAAGGAGGCCAGGCCTGCAGGGGCGAAGGCACAGACAGGGGGCAGGGCCTTCTGGGCAGAAAGACAGCGGGGATGAGGCGAGCGGCAGGTGGTCCTGTAGCTTGGACGAGGGGTGCAGGGTGGGAGAGAGCTGCTGTGTGCTCAGCGAAGGGGTGAGGGCTGGGGACCCACGGCCACCCCCGTCACCCCTGGATGGGAGCGGAGCTGGTTCCCCCTCTGCCTGACAGGTGGCACCTGGTCCCACTAGAACTCTCCCATCTGCACCCTGGCGGCCACCAGAATCTCCCTGTCCCGCATCTGTCTGTCTTTCCATCTTTCCAGCTCCCTCCTCTCTGGGTCTGTCTCTCTGCCTCCTTACTCCCTGTGTCCATCCGCCACATCTCTTCACCCTAACACCCAGCCGGCTGCTGCCTCCAGGAGGTGGTGCCCAGCTCAGCCCAGCTGGGCCCTCGGGAACACGGGGCCTTCCGACTCACCACTGACTCACTGACCACACCTGGGCACCTCCCAGGCTGCCCTGGCTTTCTCTTTCCTGGAGACATGCAGGACCCGGGGGCTGTCCTACAGACGAGGGACAGAGGCGGGGTCAGCCCCATCTCATCCCTGCCTTTTCTCCAGGCACCCACTCCCCCCTCCTCTGTTCCACAGGCGCCCCCTCGTGGCTGTGACCCAGGTCCTGGCTGGGTCCAGGCTCCCTCCCCTGGGCTCCCCGGAGGACTTGCCCACAAGCTCCTCTCTTTCACCGGGGGCCCTCCCCACACTGGCTCTGCCTGGCCTCCGGCAGCCTCCTGCTGTCATCTAGGCCCCTGTAATCGCCTGTCTGGGGACCCTTCCTCCAGACCTGTGCCAGCCCCTGTCCCCACCATCAGGTCTCTGCAGACAGGATACATCTAGCACGCCCCCTGCCAAGGGCAACCTCCCTTGTGCAGAAAGCTTATCTGACTCCGGACACACCTCCCGCACTTAGCCCTTCAGGGGCGGGGCTCAGGGCTGGGTGGGGAGGGAGAAAGGGAGGGAGGGGCCTTGGGCAAAGACAGGCAGGAGGAGCTCCAATGAGTAAGGACTGTGTGTGTGGGGGGGGGTGTTCGGGCCACTAGTTCAGCAGCTGCTTTCAGAGCTCTCAGCCTTAGGAGCCAGGAGCTCCGAGTAACCTTCCCGAGACTCATCCTGGCGCCCTACTGTGTGGGCTTACTGCAGCAAGAGCGTGCAGTCAAGGGGGGGCGTCTCCTGGCCTCACCTGAGGCTGTGATCTGGGGTCTGGGCCTGACGCCATCTCCTTCCCGGAGGCTGGCCTGGGTCCAGCAGCGGCGTCCTGCTGTGAGATGCCAATTGTCTGCTGAGTCTGGGGGAGGGGGCTGCCGAGCCTGAGACCAGACTCCAGGAGGGGGTGGGGGCTGCCCTGCTTGTCCTGTTCCCCTCCCACACCTGTGACAGGTGCTCGCTCTCTTGAGAGGTGCCTGCCCTGAAGCGGTGTGCGGGCTGTCGGAGGGGCCGCTCTGCCCGCCCCCGCCCCCACCCCATCCTTTAGGAAGGGGCCGGGCCGCAGCTCCTCCGGACGGAGCCGGGGGTTATCTGCATGAGAAAGGAGCCAGCAGGTGGCCAGCGGGCCGGCCTCCCGCCCCCACATTCCTGCCCGTGGCTGGAGAACTGGAGGTGCCCGAACAGAGCCTGCGAGAGCACAGGGCGCAGAAGTTGTGCGGAGGAGGAGTGAGCTGTGACGCATGAAGGCGAATGTCTGTGTCAGTGACGCCGCTGTGCACGCGTGCCGGTGACACCAGTGCCCAGGCGACACCTGGAACCTCGAGAGTGTGCCCTTGTGGGGCCCAGGGAGCGGGGGCGCCGACTCCCAGCTCAGGGGTCCTCCGTTCCTTCCTGGGGCATGAGCCTGCCTGGGCTGCTCAGGGCTGAACGATTTTGAGTCTGAAAGATCCCAAAATAGCTCTAGTAGCCTGTGTTCCCCTCCCCCAGCTGGGTCTGGGGCCTCAATGGCCCTTTGTCTCTGAAGGCTGCCAGCCCCTGTGGGGGGCTCGGACTGGGGCTGGGAGGGAGCAGGCTGCCTGCCGGTCCCCCTTCCCTCAGGCCCGCCCTGTAGGCCCTGAGCTCCACCCCTGGGTTGGCCGCCTGGCCAGTCCATGGGGGGCAGGTCCCAGGGGCTCTGCTGGGAGGGGGGCTCCCCTGCTAGCCCCATCCTAGGCTCCCACTGGTCCCCAGGCTCACCCCTCCCGCACCCTGGCCCCTCCCCCCCTCCATGGAGCCCCGTGATGTCCCCAGCTGCCATGGTGGCTGCAGACAGGGTTCCTGTGTGTGTGTGCACCAGACTCTGGGCACCACCTGTGGTTTGACCTTGGTACTGTCTGAGGGGTCCCCTCTGTGCCGAGGGTGCGGACCCAGCCCTGGGATGGGGGCGCTGCAGCCAGAAGTAGATGGGAGAGTGTGTGACCACCTGGGCCCTGGGCCAAACTGGGTGAAGAGTCAGACCCTGCCCCGGGTGCTCCCAGTCCAGGGCAGTGCCCAGGTCCCAGGCTGTGAGCAGGGCTGGGAGGTCCCGAGGAGAGCGAGGTGGCCCAGAGTCAGGCCTCCAGGAGGCCTGATGGGTTGTGGCTCTGGGCCCCTCTGGGGTGTGGGAACCACTTTGTTTACTGGCTTTTCCCGCAAGGCTTTACCAGAACCCAAGGTTCCAGGGCTCTGAGAGATCTGAGGCCCCCTGCTGCGTGACCCCGGGTGGGGTGTGGTGCTGGCCTGCCTGCTGACGAACGGAAAGCAGTCAGGAGAGAGGGGCCTGGCAGGCTGGGTGCTGGCTCTCGGCGGGGGTGGGGGCGCTGCCCGGCCCAGGGGGCCTGGGGGTGTGTGTGTGGAGGGGCCGCCTGACCAGGAGGTAGTGACCAGGGCCGACTCCAGGGCCCATTCATGAGGCAGCTGGACACCTGGGAGGGTGAAACAACTTGGGGGGGTCCAGCCAGAAGTACAGAAATGGCCGTGGGTACCCTGTGGTGCGGTGGTCAGAGGGCAGAGAATCAGGATGACGCCAGGAAGGGTCTGTTCCCGGGGCAGAGGGCAGAGGGCACTCCAGGGAGATGGGTGTGGTCAGTGCTCCCTCTTAAGGTGGACTGAGATGGGCTTGGAGAGTGACCTGGGTGGCACTGGTGGCCATGGCAACAACAGTGTGGCTGGAAGGAGACCTGCAGACAACAGGCAGCTGCCCCACCGGGGCCTGCGTGCAGTGAGTGTGGCTTCGAGTGTGAGGGGGTGGCTGTGACTGAGTGTGTGTGGGGGGGCAGCCAGGATGCGGTTCAGTCTTTGACTGGGGTGGTCAGTAGCCGTTGGAGAGAACCCACCCAGAGGGATACTGGGACGGGGTGGGGTGTGGCCCGACCCCAAGAACAAGAGGGGTCCTTCTACTTTGTTGATGTAAGAAACTTCCAGACCTGGAGGGAATTTTGATGAGTTTATTTGAGCCCAACTGACAGTTGCTGGGAGGCAGAATCTCAGGATCGAGAACAAGCTGCAGAGAAAGGCATCTTTGCAGCTCCTGTTGCGCATCAGAATCGAACTGGAGGAGGAGACGGGGAGGAGGTGCCGGGCACCAGGCTGCAGGGCTGGGAGGAGGCAGAGCGGGAAACCTCTGGGACAGAACGGAGGGAGAGCCACTGTGGCCTTGCACCGGGTGTGCCTTCTGGGGGCTGGAAAGGACATTACTCTGATATTTCAAAGGTCTGTTGTCACCTTAGATGCAAAGAGGCCACAGACTGGCTCCCTTCCGGTTCAGCGCTGCCCTTTGTCAAGTAAACATCGACCTTTGTCCAGGAAGCTGCAGGTCTTCCCGTGAGCTTGGCAGGTTTAGGGGTTTAGTATGTGGGCCCATTTTTCCTCTGCCCAAAGCTTCCTCTTCGTCCCCAGAAAGGGCCGGCAGACTCTAGGAGGAGCAGGTGGTGGTCTTCGGGGGCATGGGGCCGTGACCAGGTCCAGGATGCAAGGGGCCAGTCTCAGTGGGGTGGCCGCTGGTGGTTAGGGGCAGACCTGAAACTGCCCGAAGTGGAGGGATGGGCGTGCGAGGGAGTGAACTTGGCCGTGGAAAGGGTCGCCTTTGGGGTCCTGGCCTCGGTGGGTGAGCTGGGATTGGTGTGGACGTCCCGCCTCTCAAGCAGGCAGGGAGCTGAAGACCTGACATCCGGACAGGGGCTGGGAAAGGCCATCCTCAGGGGGCGGACGTGGAGACCCGACTACCGCCCCATCGTGACGTCATGGCCCCGAAGTTCCCCAAGCCGCCTCTGAGGGGCGCCCCAAACTCACGGGGACACTACGGACAGGCACTCATTTGCGTGTTCCTTCAGCCCGGGGAAGCGGGCGGTGGGGCGCGCGCGGGTGTTTTGAAGGGTTGCTGTCCGTTCCTCGGGAAAGGCGGGCGCACCGAGAGCCACTTTCGCCCTCCGGGTTGGACTCCGCGCGCTTCCCTCCTTGTCTGTACCTGCGGGCCTCCCTTCCCCCACCGCGTTGCAGGGCGGGCCGCACACAGTGACGCGCAGACAGCAGCCTGGAACCGGGTCCCACTCGGAGGTGGGGACGCAGACCTCAGACCTTGCGCCCAGCCCAGCCGGGTGGGAGCTGGAGGGGACCCGCCCCTGACCCCGCCCCACTGTCGCCCCCTCACCCACCCCGCGCCCCAGCACCTGCCTCCTCTCCACCCGGCCGCCCCTGCTCCCACCTCTGCCCTGGCCCCACCCCGGCCCCCTTTTCGGCCCCAGCACCCCGCCACCTCCTCTGCCTCCTGCCCGCGCCCCAGCCCCTGTTCCCCAGCCCCGCTGCTGCCGTGCCTGCCCCCGCGGTCCCCTTAGTGCCGCCGCCTTCCGTGGTCCCACCCTCATCCTCCCGATCTCTGCACTGCAAACCGCGACTCCCCGCCGGCACCGGGGTCCCTGGAGGCGGCTTCCTTTGTCTCAACTCTCCGCCCTCTCTCAGCCGCGATCTTGGCCCCTCACTCACCGCCTCACCAGCAACGTGGGCGCGGGGAGCCTGGCGTCTGGAGGTGGGAGCCCGGCTCGGCCCTGAGCAGCGGGGCTCTTTATTCTCGGCCTTGCTGACGCGCGGGCTCCTCCCGCTCGCTGCCATCACCGCCCCGCCTCTGCCGGGCCTGGAGCTGTCAAGGGTCCCATCTCCGTCCTGCCCTCGCTCACCTCCCCACCAGGGGCGCCTCAGGACAGAAGAGCCGCCTTCTGGCCCCCTCCGACCGGACCAGCCTCTCCAGGGTGGTCAGCCAGCCTGGGACTGGGGCTTCGGGGCTTTGGGGGGCTCCAAGGACTCCAGGAAGACAGCTGTCAAGCTGCTGGCGACTTCGGCCTGCCTGGACAGCTTGTGGACAGCAGGGGTGGCCGCTGGCTCCCGGTTCCTCCTGTGCGTTGCTCTGAGCCCAGATGTAGGATTTCTACTCACCAAGAATTCTGCACACCTCCCATCATGAGCCTGGAGGGTGTGGAGGGGGCCTGGCACCCCCCGACTGGGACTGGAGCTGAACTTTGAGAACACAGCTGCTGCCAGCTGTCACAGGGTTTCCGGAATGGGGGAAGTAGCCTTGAGACGGCCCGAAGGCACCCCGTGAAGACCTCCGCACCCCAAGAGTGGAGGCCATGCCCCCACTGCCACTGGAGCGGGACCCCCGGCGGCAGCGCGGGGTCTCCCTGCTGGTGCGCTGCGTCATGGTCCCGTGCAACGTGTGCCTGCTTCTGCTGGCCACCGCCACGCTCGGCTTCGCCGTGCTGCTCTTCCTCAACAACTGTACGTGGCTGCGGGCGTGGCCACCCTGGGCCCGGCCCCAGTGACCCCGCCTCTGCCTCTGAGCTCCCCAGCCTCAGCTGTCAAGGACTGGGGGACAGGCGGGGTCGCAGAGAGGCCACTGCCTGGGGTGCAGCTCAGATGGGCCATCTGCACTTGCTGAGGACAGGACGGTGCTTTCTTTGGGTTCCTGGGCTCTCAGGGCTGGCCATCACCCTGAGCTGCAGAAACAACCTTCTTTGGGCAGCCAGCTTTGGCCAGGCCTGGGCTGGGCTCATCTAGGGAGCAGGTGGCTGGCTGCCCACAGGCCTGCAGCTGGGCCCCGCCCGTGTGACCAGTCGGGCTGACCATACAGCAGAGGTCCAGAGACAAGCAAGGGCCTCTGCCTTTGTCCACCCCCAGGGCTCAGGGTGGGGCCAGGGAAGGGATGTGGTCAGGCAGGTGTGACCCCTTCAGTCTGGGTGAAGGGACAGCTGTGGAAGGACCTAACTTGGAGTTCTGTTTCTTCCCAGACAAACCCGGGACCCACTTCACACCAGTGCCCCCAACACCTCCGGACGGTGAGTAGACACATCAGTTGGTGACAGGTCGAGCTTAGGGATCTGTTTCTGGAGGGGCAGTGGCACTTTGGGGTGTCAGAGGCTATTCTTTGGGTGTGTCTGGCGCAGGACCGAGGCTGGGTCGGGGGTCTGGAGTCCTTGGGCCTAGCGGCGTCTCAGTGCCGGCCATTACACACAGCGCGGCTCTGACGCCTGAGGAGTGAGTCCGGAACCTGCGGCTTGTGAGACGGGCCGACAAATGCAGAGGGTTGGGGGCTGGGCTGGGGCCTCAGCAGGACCAAGCCAGCTACCTGTCCCCGGGACTGAGCAGGCTGGGAGCCTGCCGGTGTGATGCGGGGGAGAGAAAGCTGTTAGGAGGCAGGGGGCACCTGGGGTCCATTTGCAGGAAAAAGGGCTCCCAGGTACCCAGGTTCACGGAAGTCACGTACAGGGGCCAGCCGCCTGTACGTGGGAGGAGAAAGGGCTGGGCTGGGCTGGGGCAGGGGCCCAGGACTGTGCCCTAGAGATTGGGCCAGAGGCCGAGGGCCACCAGGGTACAAAGACGGGGCTGGGTGGGTGGACACCCTCCCCTTGAATCTTTAATTCCTCTCCTGAAGCTGGAAGGGCTAGAGCGTCTCCTGCCCTTGCACACACCGGCCCCGCACCTGCACTGCGATCCATTGAGCACTCGGGGACAGCCACACACCATGACCATGGTCATCCCTTCCAGGCACACACACCGCACGCTTGTGACCACAGGCAGGGCTCGGGGTGCCTGAGACCTGGCGGTGGGGAGCACAGGGCCCCTGCTGCAGCAGGTGCTGATAGAAGGCCACTGGCACCTCCAGCGTCGCACAGTGAGGAGCTGGAGTGAGCAGAGAGGCCCCTGCAGGAGGTGGGCGGGGCAGGCTCACAAGGCCTAGAGGGGACCCGCCCAGCACAGACCCAGGTGTGTGGTTGCTGCCCGCACCACGCGGGCTGTGCCTGCAGGCAGGAACGCGCCTATGTGACGTCACACCTGTGTCCTCTGTGCTTGTATGTTTTTTACGTCCGATCGCGAAACCAGCCCTGAGACTCTGAGATCCTCTCGTCCCTGGGGGTGCGGGTGTGTGAATGGGCCGTCATGGAGCTGGCACCGTGGGGGTGCACAGGAGCAGCCCTGGCCTGGCTGAGAGTGGCCTGGGGAGGGGAGCTATTTCATCCTGGACAGGGGACGAGTCCGTTATGCCCTGAACCTCAGCTTTGCCCAAATCGAATCACCAAATGCCATGCGGCTGCCCCAGAAGCCAGGAGAGGAGACTGCCCCCCGGGAACTGTCATTCTGGAGGGTAGGTGGAGAGACCAGGACCTGGGTGTCAGTCCTGGGGCCTCAGCTTGATGGCACCCTGGCCCCTCCTCTGCCCTCGGCTAGGCCCAAGGCACCTGTGGGCGGCCTCTGGTCTCTGGCCCTTCCGTCTGTCCTCTGTGCACCCACCCCAGGCCCCAACTCTGCACATCTGCTTCCTCCCCAGTGTTGGGGGCAAAGCAGACCCCTGGGCTATGGAGGAAGGCACAGATCTTGGCAGGTGAGGAGCATGCTGGTCACCCAGAAGTAGGTGTCCTTGGCAGGGGTCTGGTTGCACCCAGGTGGCCAGAGGGAGACAGAGGCCTGAGCCCAAGAGTACAGACACAGCAGCTGGCTGGGAGCCTCAGGTACAGTGAGGTGACCAGGTCCTTGGTCATGGAGTCTGGACCCTGGGAGAGACCCTGGTCTGCAGGTCCAGTTGAGGCCAAAGAGAAGAGCCAGCTGGACATCAGCAAATGCCAGGGGTTTTGGCTGGGGGTGTGAGGGGCCTTGGGTGAGAGACACAGGTTGGGTGCACCAAGGAGGCCGGAAAGTGTGCAGAGGGGCTACGGGTGGGCCCTGTCGGAGCAGGGAGGCCCTGTTATCGACTGTAGTCGTCCTGGTTGCTGGCTGTCCCCACAGTGCGGTGCCCCGGGCACCCTGCAAAACTTTGCTGCCTGGAGGCAGGTCCCACGGCCCAGGTGTCCTCGGGTGCCCCTTTCCCTGGAGGAGATACTGGGGCGTGGCAGGTGGATGCAGAGCTGGGGAGAACCAGGCTCCAGGGTCTGATGAGGGACTTGAGGGGGTGGGGCAGACAAGGGTGAGGTGGCAGGGAGGAAGCATAGGTGCACAGGTGGGGTGTAGGGACTTCTGGCTGGGTGTCCATGCTGGCCCCTGGCTCTGGCTCTGGCTCAGGCAGCCTGTGCGGGATGGGGGTGGGGACGCCCAAGCAGACAGCAGGAGCCTGGGGTGGCCTGTTGCCATGGCAACAGCGAGCTCCAGCGCTCCGTGGAATGGAGGGTGCTTCCTCCCACCCAACTTGCTGAGTCTGGTGGGAGGTGATGGGGGCGCCTCCCGGGTCCCCATAACTTATTAATGCTAATCGGACCCAGTTGCACACACATTAGTTCCTGACAGCTGCGGCCTGCAGTGCCCACCCCCACCCCCGCCCATGGGTGTGCAACCCTCTGCTGGGGTCCGAGGAGCCAGCCTGCCTGCCCCCTGCACACTGGGCACTCGCAGCTCCAACTGCAAAGTCAACAGCGCCCTGTGCTGGCCTCTCTGAGTGTGAGGAGCAAGGATGGGGCTGAGCTGGCGGGCTCGAGAGGACAGGCGGGGAGGACACGCACACGGGTGCCCGGGGAGAGGAGCTCGCAAGGCTGGGAGGCCTGGGGAGCAGGAGACCAAGAGGGCCAGCCACACAGAGGGAGGACCTGGGCAGGGCCCGTGTGGGGACAGGTCGGAGGGGTGGGAGAATAAAATGTGGGAAGCTGGGGGCCAGGGCAGCGGGGTTCCTGGCCTGAGGCAGAGGGTGGGCCATGTGACCCGACCTCCCCACACCTTCCCCCCAGCCGTGTGACCTCAGGTGTCCTGGAAGGGCAGGGGGAGCTGGTCCGTGGGGAGGTGGATGAGTCAGGTATGCGGGTGGGCACTGCAGGGTGGGGGCTGAGTGGTCAGTTACCTGGTCTCCTGTCAGGGGATGGGGGAGGCCCCCCAAGCGGTGTGAGGGGGCCAGTACCTGCAGCGGAGCTGGCCGAGGGCTGGCTGTCCACCAAGGCAGGCGGGAGGCGTCCCCTGCCCAGCAGGCACAGAGGTACAGGCAGAGAGGGTTCCCCAGAAGGGAAGACCCAGGAAAGGCCGGGGCCGGTAGAAGCCCTGCATTGGGCAGGGTTTGATAGGGGAGGGCCTGGCCCTGTGACAGTGCCCACAAGCGTGTGTATGTGGGCATGATGGGCACACACATGTGTGAATGTATCTGTGGGATTTAATGAGATGGCCTCGAGGTGAGGGGCTGGCAGGGGCGGGCTCTGACCTTTCCCCGCCCACGCTAGCCTGCCGGGGGATGCTGTGTGGCTTTGGCGCCGTGTGTGAGCCCAGTGTGGAGGATCCCGGCCGAGCCTCCTGCGTGTGCAAGAAGCGGCCCTGTCCCGGGGTGGTGGCGCCGGTGTGCGGCTCTGACGCCTCCACCTATAGCAACGAGTGTGAGCTGCAGCGGGCGCAGTGCAGCCAGCAGCGGCGCATCCGCCTGCTCTCCCACGGGCCCTGCGGTGAGTGCACCCGGCGCAGCGGAGGGGCACCGGTGCAGGGGGGCCGGCCAGCGTGACCCTACCCCGCCCTGCCCACAGGGCCCCGCGACCCCTGCTCCAACGTGACCTGCAGCTTCGGCAGCACCTGCGCGCCCTCCGCCGATGGACAGAGAGCCACGTGCCTGTGCCCTGCCTCCTGCCGGGGGACTCCTGGGGGCCCCGTGTGCGGCAGTGACGGTGCTGACTATCCCAGCGAGTGCCAGCTCCTGCGCCAGGCCTGCGCCCGCCAGGAAAACATCTTCAAGAAGTTCGACGGCCCTTGTGGTGAGCTACGCCAGCACGTCGCGTGACCTTGGTGCGTGCACCTGCGCACAAGCCCTGACCGCCGCCCTCCCGCCCCAGACCCCTGCCAGGGTGCCCTCAGCGACCCGAGCCGCATCTGCCGCGTGAACCCTCGAACCCGGCGTCCCGAGATGCTGCTCCGGCCAGAGAGCTGCCCGCCCCGGCAGGCGCCTGTGTGTGGGGACGACGGAGTCACCTATGACAGCGAGTGCGTCATGGGCCGCACAGGGGCCGCGCGCGGCATCCTCCTCCAAAAAGTGCGCTCCGGACAGTGCCTGCCTCGAGGTGAGCGGCTCCCCTGGAAGGGCCGCCCTGCCTGTGCTCACTGTCCCCTGTGGGCCCTTGGATGCCCTGCATGTCCCGCAGTGGAGGCTGGTGTGGCTCTCACGCCTCTGATCTCCTGGCCTTCTCCTCCCATCCCCAGACCAGTGTCCAGACACCTGCAGGTTCAATGCCATGTGTTTGGTCCGCCGAGGCCGGCCCCGCTGCTCCTGTGACCGCATCGTCTGCGATGGGGCCTACAGACCCGTGTGCGCCCACGACGGGCACACCTATGACAATGACTGCCGGCGCCAGCAGGCGGAGTGCCGGCAGCAGCGCACTGTCCCCCCCAAGCACCAGGGCCCTTGTGGTGAGCACTGTGGGGGGCCCGCGCCTGGAGCAGGCCGGTCCTGCGTGGGTCCCTGCTGCTACCATCACACACCATCTCCATCCTGAGTCACACTCCCCTGGGGTCTTGGGTGTCGGCGGGTCCCTGGCGGGCCTGGCAGGGCTCTTGCCTGTCGGTCTCTGGGGCAGAGGGCTCCATCAGCAGGGCGCCTGGAGCACCTGGGGTCAGGGAGGCAGCGGTGGGGTCCGTGTGGCACCTGCAGCCTCCTGCGTCCCTCAGCTCTGGGGCGACAGAGGTGGGGGCTGCTGTGTTCTGCCCACCCCAGCTGTGTCCCGGGTGTCTCTGCGGCCTCTCGGCGCCTGTCTCCTCTCCCCTGTCCTTCCTTCCCTCTCGGCTGCGCCTCTTGTGTCTTCCAGCCTGACCTACGGGCAGGATGAGGCGCCGCACCTGCCGCCCGGAGCCCGCAGCCTGAGGTCTGCCCCCAGTGCGGCGGGGGGGTGGCTCGCTGCTGCCTGGCCTTGTGGTCCTCAGAGCAAGTGGACAGACACCTCCTCCCCTTGCGTGGCCCTGGGTCTGACCCTAGGTTGCATACTCTTCCTGTCCCCGGAGAGAGCCCTCCCTACCTGCACACACACCCCAGGGTGGCCGGGGGTCCGGTCAGCGGCCTGGGCAGGCCCGGCCCTCACACGGCCCACCGTGGGCCTTCAGGGTGCTCCTGAGCACAACCCATACTGCCATCGTGCGGGGACGGGGGCCGTCGGCTCCGTGTCCGTCTGTGTCTGTCACGTGTCTGTCCCTTTCTCTGCTGTGTCCTGTACCTCCGACCCTTCTCCTGGTCCACCCCAGGAGAGGGTCTGCTGCGTGGAGCTGGGGGTCTGCCCGAGCCCGGGGTGGGGGGGCGGCCTGCTGAGAGCCGTGTCGTCCACAGACCCGCCCCGGTCCCCGTGCCTTGGGGTGCAGTGCCTGTTTGGGGCGGTGTGTGTCGTCAAGAACGGGGGAGCCGAGTGCGTGTGCCAGCAGGCCTGTCCAGGCGTCTACGCTCCCGTGTGCGGCACCGACGGCGTCACGTATGGCAGCGCCTGCGAGCTGGAGGCCACGGCCTGCACCCTCGGGAGGGAGATCCGGGTGGCTCGCAGAGGACCCTGTGGTCAGTGGTGGGCATGTGGGTCTTGCTGGGGGGAGGGCGTCCTGGGCACCGAGGTGACGGCGCCTCCTTCCCAGACCGCTGCGGGCAGTGCCGCTTTGGAGCCCTGTGTGAGGCGGAGACTGGGCGCTGCGTGTGCCCCTCCGGGTGCGTGGCCCTAGCCGAGCCCGTGTGTGGCTCAGACGGGCACACGTACGCCAGCGAGTGTGAGCTGCATGTCCACGCCTGCACACACCAGATTAGCCTGCATGTGGCCTCGCCTGGACCGTGCCGTGAGTGGGGTGGGCTGGGAGGCTGTGGTCCCTGCACTGCCCAGCTGGGGCCTGCTGACTGGGCCCGGCTCCGCCTCTGCAGAGACCTGTGGAGACACGGTGTGTGCCTTCGGGGCAGTGTGCTTGGCGGGGCAGTGTGTGTGTCCCCGGTGTGAGCGTCCCCCACCCAGCCCCGTGTGTGGCAGCGACGGCGTCACCTACCGCAGCGCCTGTGAACTCCGTGAGGCCGCCTGCCAGCAGCAGACACAGATCGAGGAGGCCCGGGTGGGGCCCTGTGAGCAGGGTAGGCTCGGAGACGGGAGTGGGTGTGGGGGCCCACTCTGACCGGCAGCCCTCGGGACACCATCCCCTTTCCACAGCCGAGTGTGGCTCCGGAGGCTCCGGCTCCGGGGAGGACGGCGAGTGTGAGCAGGAGCTGTGCCGGCAGCGCGGTGGCGTCTGGGACGAGGACTCGGAGGATGGGCCGTGCGTCTGCGGCTTCCGCTGCCAGGGTGTCCCAAGGAGCCCGGTGAGGACCCCACCCGCTCCGTCTTGGGCAGCGGTGAGGCAGGGACCTTGGCCACCCCACTGACACCATTCCTCCAGGTCTGTGGCTCCGATGGTGTCACCTATGGCACGGAGTGCGAGCTGAAGAAGGCCCGCTGTGAGTCCCAGCGAGAGCTGCACGTGGTGGCTCCAGGAGCCTGCCAAGGTGGGTGGACACGTGTGTTCTCATGTGTGTTCTCTGTGTGTGCATGTCCAGAGCTGTGTACACAGGTGTGAGGCAGGTGGGAGTACGCCTTGTTCACGGGTGTTGTGTCTGGCAGAGATGTGCGAACACACTCATTGTAAGCGTGTCACGTTGGTGCACACTTATACCCATGCAGCTGCATGTGTGGAGTGGTGTGTCACCGTGAGCCAACAAGTGTGCACTGAGCACCTACTGTGTGCCAGGCTGGGCTTCAGTGCAGGGAGGCAACAGGGAGTCAACAGGGCCCCTCCGGGCAGTTTCTCTTTCACAGTAAATGTTACGGGTGCACGAGTTACATTTCTGCACAGGGGTGTGAGCGTGGGTGGTTGGAGGCACATGGGTGGACGTGTGTACCTATGTCTTCATTTGTGTGCGTGTGCTTGACCTGCAGTGTGTCCTGGTCCCCTGTGGACGGACATTCTCATGTGTGGCCTTAGGAGGGTGATGGCGAGGACCGGGGGAGGCTGAGGTGGAGTGGCCAGGCCTGGGAGGGTGTCGGGCACTGTCTGGTGTCTTTCTGCAGGCCCCACTATGGCCCCGAGGCCACCGGCAGTCCCCCTGCACTGCACCCAGACCCCCTTCGGCTGCTGCCAGGATAACGTCACTGCTGCCCGGGGTGTGGGCCTGGCTGGCTGCCCCGGTGAGTGCCTGAGCCCGGCCCCGACCACAGCCAGCTGAGCCTTGCTGCTGTGGTGACCCCGTCCTGCCCTGGCCTTGCAGGCATGTGCCAGTGCAACCCGCATGGCTCCTACAGTGGCACCTGTGACCCAGGCACGGGCCAGTGCTCCTGCCGCCCGGGTGTAGGTGGCCTCAAGTGTGACCGCTGTGAGCCTGGCTACTGGAACTTCCGTGGCATCGTCACTGATGGCCGGAGTGGCTGCACCCGTGAGTAACAGGACCCGGGGCTGGTGCTCCGCTGAGCTCTCCCGCCTGCCTGGACTGCTGCTGGGCCCCGTGTCCCCTACTTGGGCTCTGGCCTGGCCCACATCGGGTGGGGGCAGGGCTCCAGGGCCAGTGCGGAAACCGGACACAGGCCTCAGGTGCCCCCTCCTGTCCGTGTCCCCTCAGCTTGCAGCTGTGACCCCCGGGGTGCTGTGCGGGACGACTGTGAGCAGATGACCGGGCTGTGCTCCTGTAAGCCAGGGGTGGCTGGGCCCAAGTGCGGGCAGTGTCCAGGCGGCCGCGCCCTGGGCCCCTCTGGCTGTGAGACAGGTGAGGCCTGGCCCGTGCTGGGGGGCTGCCTGTCCTGGCAGTCGGCCTCCTAAGCCAGTGGGGTCTCCTCTCTGCCCCAGACTCCTCGGCCCCCAAGACTTGTGCTGAGATGCACTGTGAGTTCGGGGCGTCCTGTGTGGAGGAGGCTGGCTCCGCCTACTGCATGTGTCCAACACCCATCTGTCTGGGGGCGAATGCTACCAAGGTGAGGGGTGGGGCGTGTGGGGGGTGGTGGGGATAGGGAGGGGCTCCCCCGCAGCATCCTTGCCCTTGCCCTTGTCCCCCAGGTCTGTGGGTCGGATGGAGTCACCTATGGCAACGAGTGTCAGCTGAGGACCATTGCCTGCCGCCAGGGCCTGGACATCTCCATCCAGAGCCTCGGCCCCTGCCAGGGTGAGGCCCGACCCGCTGCCCTGGACATGACCAGGAAGGCCTGGCCTTGCCCTGACTCAGTCGCCCACCAGACTCTCCTCTCCTTGCAGAGGCCGTTGCTCCTGGCGCCCACCCAGCACCCACATCTGCGGCCACCTCAGGGCACCGTCTGAGTGAGGCGCTCCCGCCCAGCACCCGTGCTCCAGCCCCCAGCATCGCCCCGCATAGCCAGCCCATCCTTCGACCCTCGCCACAACCTCAGACCACCGCCAGCATCCCTCAGACCACCTGGAGGCCTACACTGACCATGCCCCCCACAGCACCCTCCGTGGCAGCTGGGCTTGCCACGTCCGCCTTCAGTGAATCGGGCAGCGCTGACGGGAGTGGTGACGAGGAGCTGAGTGGGGACCTGGAGGCCAGTGGGGCCGGCTCAGGGGGTGAGCATGGGCTCGGGATGTGGGGGACGGGGCCCAGGACGGCTTGGCCTGCTTCTGGGCTCAGACTGCGCCTCCCCAGGACTTGAGCCCCCTGGGGGCGGCAGCGCTGTGACCCCGGGGCCACCCATCGAGAAGGCTTCGTGCTATAACTCACCTTTGGGCTGCTGCTCAGATGGCAAGACACCCTCACTGGATGCAGAGGGCTCCAACTGTCCTGGTGAGTGGGTGGCCAGGGCTGGGGCGCAGTGTGAGGAGCGGCCTGGACCCTGCCAGGGATGCCGTCTCCCGCCAGGAAGCAGGCCTGCTCCGTAGGTGGGCACGCAGGGTGTCTGGTGTTCTGATCTCAGAACTCGAGCGTGTGGCCCTCGGATTCAGCACATGCACACGCACACGCGAGGTCTGGCCCCCAAACACACGTGGGTGCCGCGGCCCCTGCAGCTAACCTGTTTCTCCTGTCGCAAGCTGGCCCACGGAGTCTGCCTGGTAACCGACGCCAGCCCCGCCCCGGGCTCCCCACTAACCTCATGACCATCTGACTAACTGCCACCTGCCCTGCACCCGTGGGGCTTGCTGCCGGGCCTGCGTCCGTGGCCAGTCCAGAGGCCGGGTCAGGGCCAGGCAGAACCTCACTGCCCCCTTCCCCACAGCCACCAAGGTGTTCCAGGGTGTGTTGGAGCTTGAGGGGGTCGACGGGCAGGAGCTGTTCTACACCCCAGAGATGGCCGACCCCAAGTCGGAGCTGTTTGGGGAGACGGCCAGGAGCATCGAGAGCGCAGTGAGTCCAGGGCCCTCGGGGCTGGGTCGCGGCCCTGCCTCCCTCCCAGGGCCGACCCAGAACAGCACCGGGTGGGAGGGCCCGACTGCCCAGTCGGGGCAGCCCCCAGAACCCTCACCCACCCCTCACCCACAGCTGGATGACCTCTTCCGGAACTCGGACGTTAAGAAGGACTTCTGGAGTGTCCACCTGAGAGACTTGGGGCCTGGCAACGCTGTCCGGGCCATTGTGGACGTGCACTTTGACCCCAGTGAGCCCCCAGCCTGCTCCCCCCAGGAGGTGGGGGGGGCTGCACAGGGCTCTGCCATGCTCACTGTGCCCCCTCCCCAGCCACGAGCTTCAGGGCCCCTGATGTGGCCCGGGCCCTGCTCCGGCAGATCCAGGCATCGAGGCGCCGGTCCCTTGGGGTGCGCCGGCCCCTGCAGGAGCACGCACGCTTCATGGACTTCGGTGAGTGCCCTCCTGGCCCGTGCAGCGGCTCCCCCACCACCTCCAGCACCCCGCTCACTGGCCCTGCCTGGGCCCCCTGACGGTCCTCCCTCCCTCAGACTGGTTTCCTGCACTCTTCACCGGGGCCACCCCTGCTGCAGCCACGGCCAGGGCCACCACCTCCGCGTTTCCCGCGGTGACCCCTCGGGCCCTCTACCCCAGTCACACGAGCCGGCCCATCAGCAGGACCACGGCGTCCCCCACCACACGACGGCCGCCCACCACAGCCCCCCATCGCACGCAGCGGCCCCCGAGGCCCTGCGACTCCCAGCCCTGCCTCCATGGGGGAACCTGCCAGGACCGGGACTTGGGCGGAACCTTCACCTGCAGCTGCCCAGCCGGCAGGGGGGGCACCATCTGTGAGGAGGGTAAGGGTCATCCTTGCCGGAGAGGGGCAGGGAGGCAAGGGGGGGGCAGGTCTGAGTCACCATCAGCAACAGAATGTAGGAAGTAGGCCTAGGGGCGCCAGGTTGGGGTAGTGGGCAGGAAGCCAGGGCCTGGGGGTTCGTGCTAGAGGACAGGGCCACTGGGGCCCTGGTCCTCTGTCCCCTCCAGCCGGTGCCTGTCTCACAGCACTGCGCCCCTCGGTGCCATCCTTTGGGGGCCACTCCTTCCTGGCCTTCCCGACCCTCCGAGCCTACCACACGCTGCGCCTGGAGTTGGAGTTCCGCGCGCTGGAGCCGCAGGGGCTGCTGCTCTACAACGGAGGGGCCCGCGGCAAGGACTTCCTGGCGCTGGCCCTGGTGGGGGGCCGAGTGCAGCTCAGGTGGGCGGGGCCGAGGCCGGGGTGGGCGGGGCTGGAGCAGCTGCAGGGTGGGGCAGTGGTCTTGGCTCCTTGTAGCTGATTGGAGGATCTCCTCCTTCCTCTGCCCCAGATTTGACACAGGTTCCGGACCCTTGGTGCTGACCAGCACAGTGCCTGTGGAGCCTGGCCGGTGGCACCGCCTGGAGCTGTCCCGGCACTGGCGCCAGGGGAATCTCTCAGTGGACGGCGAGCCCCCTGTCCTGGGCCAGAGCCCCAGTGGCACCGATGGCCTCAACCTGGACACAGAGCTCTTTGTGGGTGGTGTCCCAGAGGACCAGGCCTCTGTGTGAGCATCAGGGAGGGTTGCGGTGGCCCTGGCCCCATTCCCAGTGTCTGGCCTTCATCCTGACCTCTGACTTGTTGCCTACATCCCGGTAGCCCAAGCTCTCTGAATAGCAAAAGAGGTGGAGAAACATGTGTGAACCATGGCTGTGACCCTGACCTCAACCCTAGCTCTTGATCCAGGTCCTGATTCTGCCCCATCTGTGGGTGGCATTCCTGAGGACAGTGTGACCACCAGGGAGGGACTGGGCTGATGTTCAGTCCTGACCTGTGACCCTCAGCCCACACCCTATCCTGGGGACTGGCTGTCTGAGCGCCAACAGGGGGAGATGGGAGCAGCCCTGACCCCGGCCCTCCTCCCGGCGCAGGGTGCTCGAGCGGACATCTGTGGGTGTCGGCCTCAAGGGCTGCATCCGCCTGCTGGACGTCAACAACCAGCGCGTGGAGCTCAGCAACTGGCCAGGGGCTGCTACCAGAAGCTCCCGTGTGGGCGAGTGTGGGGCCCACCCCTGCCTGCCCAGCCCCTGCCTCGGGGGTGCCCCGTGCCGGGCCCTGGAGGCCGGCGTGTTTCACTGTCAGTGCCCTCCGGGCCGCTTCGGTGAGGACAGGTCCTGGGCTGGGTGCTGGGGGGACACCTGTGTTACTGGGGGCAGGGACTCCAGCCTCCTGGGACCCCACCCCGTCTCTCTCCAGGCCCGACCTGTGCGGAAGAGAAGAACCCCTGTGAGCCGAACCCCTGCCAAGGGGCCGCCCCCTGCCGTGTGCTGCCGGTGGGAGAGGCCGAGTGCCAGTGCCCCCTGGGCCGGGGGGGCACTCTCTGCCAAACAGGTGGGGGCGCCAGGCCTCAGGGCAGGGAGGAGGGCTGGGTCAAGCGTTTGGGTTTGGGTTCTGCTGGGGGTTAGGGTTGGGCTTCAGGTCAGGGAATCACAGCATGGTGGGCATGCAAGGGACCCCATGCCAGGGCCCAGCACCCTGTGCGACCCCTGTCCTGTCTCCCACAGTCTCGGCACGGAACGATCCCCGGCCCTTCCTCGCTGACTTCAGTGGCTTCTCCTACCTGGAGCTGAAAGGCCTGCACACTCTTGACCGGGACCTGGGGTGAGTGGGGCGGAAGAGGTGCAGGAGAGGAGGCAGGCCCGGGCATCGCACTGCCCCCCCCCCCCGCCTGACTCCACGTGACCCCAGGGAGAAGATGGCACTGGAGGTGGTGTTCCTGGCCAGGGGCGCCAGCGGTCTGCTCCTGTACAACGGGCAGAAGACGGACGGCACAGGGGACTTCGTGTCGCTGGCGCTGCGAGACGGCCACCTGGAGTTCCGTTACGACCTGGGCAAGGGGGCAGCAGTCATCAGGTGCGCAGGTGTGGGTGGGGACCAGGCTGGGGACCCAGGGCAGGGTCACTGGGGCGCCTGGCGGGGCAGGTGGTGGGGCTCACGGTGCCCCCTCCTCACCAGGAGCAAGGAGCTGGTGCCCCTGGGCACCTGGACCAGGGTGTCCCTGGAGCGAAACGGCCGCAAGGGTGCCATGCGTGTGAGCGACAGGCCCCGTGTGCAGGGCGAGTCCCCGGTGAGTGTCCCCTGGCCGTGGGCCTCCCCCTCCCCCTCCCCCTCCTCCTCCTCTTGCTCCTCGTCCTGGACGGCGTGGCGGCTCCGCCGCGTGGCTCTCACTGAACTGTTTTCTCCCCCATCTGTCCTGTGCCTCCCTCTGCTCTCTGCTCTCTGGCCTCGCTCTGCAACCCCCACCCCGCTCCTCGGATGTCAGAAATCCCGGAAGGTACCAGTCTCCCTGCTCCTCCTGCCTGTCATCTTCTGCCGCCCCCGTCCCTAGAGTAGCCCCCATCCCGGCCACTAAGCCCCACGTCGGCCACGCCCGTGTGATTAACTCTGCCTCGTAGATAGGCCGGAGGGTGAGGGGGGCCCTGGTGGGCGTAGTGTCCTACACCTGCCTGGTGGGTGGCCCCACAGTGGCTCACCCAGCACCCCGCCCCCCCAGGTGTCCCACACCGTCCTCAACCTGAAGGAACCGCTCTACCTGGGCGGGGCTCCTGACTTCAGCAAGCTGGCCCGGGCTGCCGCAGTGTCCTCTGGCTTCGATGGCGTCATCCAGCTGGTGCGTACGTGGTGGAGGGGGCATTCTGGGGGGCCTGCCGTGGCGGGCTGTGGTTCTCATTCCTCTGTCCCCCCCAGGTCTCTCTGAAAGGCCACCAGCTGCTGACCCAGGAGCATGTGGTACGGGCAGTGGACGTCTCCTCCTTTGCCGACCACCCATGTACCCAGGCCTCGGGACATCCCTGCCTCAACGGGGCCTCCTGTCTGCCCCGGGAGGCCTCCTACGAGTGCCTGTGCCCTGGGGGCTTCTCAGGGCCCCACTGCGAGATGGGTGAGCACTGCCGGCCAGGCCGAGGCTGCACGGGGGGCCTCGAGGCCCTCCCTCACCCTGACTCTCTCTCAGGGCTGATGGAGAAGTCGGCGGGGGACCTCGACGCACTCGCCTTTGATGGACGGACCTACGTTGAGTACCTCAACGCTGTGACAGAGAGGTAATGTGCCCCTGTGCCTTCGGCCGGCCGTCTTGTCCTGTCCGCACGTGTACGGGCGAGAGCCTGGCTGAGCCCCGTCCGCCCTCCGCTCCGTGGCCAGGAAGGGCGGCCCCGCAGTGCCTGCCCACCACCCACCTGCACCCTCCCTCCTCTCACCGTCTCTGTCTCTTTGTTTCCAAGCGAACTGACCAATGAGATCCCAGCGTAAGTAGCCTGGGCCCCCTTCCACCTTCTCTCTCGCTCACTCCTCCGTTCTCTGCTCCTCGCCAGCCCGGCAGAGGCGGAACTCCCCCCCCCAGATGCAGGACGGGGCTGGGGCTGTGTGGGCTGCAGGAGGCTGAGGGTGGTCCCCCATCCACGCCCTCAGGCACTGCGCTCACTGCGTGAGCGTCTGTGTCCACGTGCACGCATGTTTGGTTGTACGTGTGTGCCGGGGTATCCAGGGCCTGGAAGCAAGGAGCCCTCGGTCTCCATTCCTACCACCCGTGTCTCACCTCGAAAGCTGGGGCTAGGCCATGCCTGCCAGCTCTGTGTCTGCACATGTGTGTTGCACGTGTGTCATTGCCAGGGCTCTGGTGGGTGGAGCGGGTGGCCCGGGGTCCTCCATGTCTTCCGAGGACGCTTGCTGCTCCTGCCTCCCACGTGTGGGAGGGGGCGTGGGGAGGGCTGCTGCAGGGCCCCACCCTGCACTGCCGCCTGCCTGTCCCCTGCTCACCTGCCTCCCTCTCTTCCTGCTTCTAAGCCCCGAAGCGCCGGGTTCCGGGGCCCTTCAGAGGTAAGCACGTGCTGCCCTGGCCTTGCTGTCTGCCTGTGGTCACCCGCCCCCTGTCTCTGCTGAGCTGTCCTTCCGTCCATGCACCTCTCATGTCCGCCAGTCTGGCCCTAGCTGCCACTGTCCATCGCCCCACTGTTGGTGTCTGCCCGTCCCCTGCCACCTCCGCGAGGCCCTGACGGCCCTCTGCCCCACAGCGGGAAGGCGCTGCAGAGCGACCACTTTGAGCTGAGCCTGCGCACGGAGGCCACGCAGGGGCTGGTGCTGTGGAGCGGCAAGGCCACGGAGCGGGCCGACTACATCGCGCTGGCCATCGTGGACGGGCGCCTGCAGCTGGCCTACGACCTGGGCTCCCAGCCCGTGGTGCTGCGCTCCACCGTGCCGGTCAACACCAACCGCTGGCTGCGGGTCCGAGCGCACAGGTCAGCCTGGACCTGCCCTGCCAGGCTGTGCTGGGTCCCTGGTGGCTGGTGGGAGGCGGGGCCTGCGGTCTGACCCAAGGTCACAGCTAGAGGTGGGGAGGGACAAGAGGACACAGGTTACAGTCAGGGAACCTCTGATCTGAAAAGGGGGCCCTTGCTGTTTGGGGACGTGTGGCTCTGGTCTGAGCCTACCAGCCCTTTCAGCAAAATTGAACCCACGTGACAGCCCCTGCCCTGGCCACCAAGCACTCTCCTAAGGGTCAGTGCCACCTTGTCCTGGCCCTGGGTGACACTGGCTGGGGCTCGGGGTCTGGAGGCAGCAGGGTGGGCTCTCTGGAGTCGCCTGAGGGCCTCACCCTGTCCACCCCTCCAGGGAGCAAAGGGAAGGCTCGCTTCAGGTGGGCAACGAGGCCCCTGTGACCGGCTCCTCCCCTCTGGGCTCCACGCAGCTGGACACAGATGGAGCCCTGTGGCTGGGTGAGTGAGGGGAGGGGGCGGGGGAGGGTCTCAGAAGCTCTGGGGGACAGACCCCATCTGCTGGGGCCAGCACTGAGTGGCACCTGAGTCAACCCCACTCAGCAGCAGACGGCCAGCCAGTGTTATGGCCCTGTCCCCTGCTCTCAGCCCCTGCAGTTACCTGTGCGGGCGGGGTGGGTGCAGGAGACGGCAGCCCACCTGCTAGTCACCTGTTCGCCTTGGGTGCTGACAGGCCCCAGGTGACTCACCTGGTCTGTCGTTCACGTGCTGGTGGGTCCCTCCACCCACCAGGTCTGGCCTGCCCATCGAGGTCACAGGGCGGCCTTCCCATGTTTGTCCGCAGGGGGCTTGCCGAGACTCCCCGTGGGCCCCGCCCTGCCCAAGGCCTACAGCGCCGGATTCGTGGGCTGCCTGCGGGACGTGGTGGTCGGGCGGCGAGCCCTGCACCTGCTGGAGGACGCCATCACCAGGCCGGAGCTGCGGCCCTGTCCTGCCGCGTGAGCCGCCACAGCCTCCGCCACCTGCTGCAGTCCTTTTATATTTTTGTACACTTGTTGCTTTTTTGATATGATTTTCTTGCCTACATTTGGCTGGAAGGACTCCGGGCCTGGCATCCCTCCTGTCCAGGCAGGCGAGCTGCAGAGACACACGGTCAGGGCCAGTGGGGCAGCTCGGAGTGCCTGGCTCTGCCTCAGGGGGCGCCCGCCACCTCCACCCAGCCCCGCCTGCCGTGCTCCCTGCCCGTGGGCAGACGGACACACCGCCCTCTGCTGGCGGGGCTGCACCTGGCAAAGCACCAGAGGGGAAGCTGCTGCAGGGGTTGGAGAGGACCCTCCCAGGCCTACATTGAGCTGGTCCTTCTCCTGCTGTGAGTGGGCCAGGCTCCCCAGGACTAGCCTCCCGCCTGGCCAGCCCCTCCTGGGCCTCCTGTGCCAATACTGTGACTTAGAAATGACGTTCCCATTGGGGCCACATGGCGCCACATCCCCCCTCCCCAACAGTGTCTACCAGTCCCAGGGTGCTGAAGAGCAGAGGCCAGACCCAGGCCTGTTCCAGGGCCCTAACCCTCAGCTGGCCCTGCCCACCCACCCAGCCAGCTTGGACATGGCTGTGTCCCCTCCCCGACACCTCAGGCCACAGGAGGGACAAGGAGGCAGTGGGCAACTGTGGTGTGGACGATGCGCGTCACCTGCTTGCCTGGGCAGCCAGTGTCCCCCCCTACAGGACAGATGTCCAGGCGACCACCAGCCACAGTTCCTAATGCTGTTGCTGTTTGGCATCTGGGGTGACGGGCCGTCACCTGGGGCCAAGCGGAGCTGAGGACGCTGCGTGGCAAACCCTCCCTCTGGCTCTGGGGTGAGGGGCAACTGTCCTCATCTGAGGACAACCAGAAGTCAGTAGGTGTCTGACCGAGGCCAGGAGGCAGGTGCAGGGACGGCAGTGAGGCCAGAAACGCCTTAAACTGCAACACCGCGTCCTGACCCGCCCCGCCCCCTCTGAGCACAGCCTGCACCCCCGCACTGGTGGGCTGCTGGTCCCTGCTCCCATACCTGGGCCTGGGCTGTTTGGCCCAAGGGCTGAAGGGGCCCGAACATCCCATTACTAACTCCAGTCCGTGTCTGTGTCAATCACCGTGAAATAAAGTCTGAACATGTCACGAGGTGCTTGCATCTGCCCCACTGGTGGCTTTTCAGTGTCCTGATGGGGCGCAGGCCTCAGGCTCCTTCCGCGGCTCTGGGTGGAGCCTGCTTCTGAGGAGCAGACCCGGCAGTGAACTGACCAGTGGGTAGGGCAGGGCCTGTGGAGGCTGCACCCTAGGAACTTCCTTGGGGGTAGCCTTGCCCCCGCTCTGCACTGCCTGGGGGTGGCAGGGGACCCTTCCCACTGGCTCAGGCCGGTCCACTTCCGTCCTGCTTGGGAGACCCTCAGCAGAAGGCCTGAGCGGTGGCCTCGGAAGCACAGCTGTGAGCCTCGAACCAGGAGCAGGAAAGGAGAGCTGTGCGGCCTCCCTGGAACCCCTGACCCCTGTAAGAGCCGTGTTTCTCCCCGGGCTCCCCAGGCCGGCCTGCAGGACCCAGAGGGAGCTGTCGGGCCCTGTCCCTGGTCGCCTGCAGCCCCAGGCAGGTGCTGGAGGTGCGGCCGAGCCTGTCCCCGAGCGCACCCATCACCCAGTGTGCACACTGCCTAGATGGGGGTCTGGGGGCCGTCCCTGGCAGACCGAGAGCTCAGACGGGAAAAGCCCAGGGACGGCTTTGGAAGCTGAGGGTGGTGACCGTGGGAGTTCCCCCCCCCCCCACTTACCAAGTGCCACAAAGTGTTGACCCACAGCAAGAGCCAGAGCACAGGCAACTGTTGTGACCTGTGTGGACACTGGCCAAGCTGGTGCAGCTCTACATGGGCCAGAACTGGCTGGGGGGGGGGGGTGCATGGGGGTCCTGCCGCCAACCTCACCCCAGCCTCCTGGCTGCTAGTGTGGGGCGACTCAGTACTTCCAGCCTTGGTGTCCCTGCTGAGGCCTGACGGTGGATCTGCAGGGGAGTGGGGGTGGGGCTGCTCTGGGTGGGGCTTACTCCCCTCTGTGCTGAGGACCAGGCTGCCACCTGGTGGCTGCCCCAGGCCCTACAGAGCCTTCTTGCTCTTACCGCTCTGGAATAGGGGAGGGTCAGAGAGGTGGCTGGGGCAGATGGCTGGCCTGGGTCCTGAGGTCTGTGTGGGTCTGTCTGGGAACTTTCTGGCTGCAGGTGGGTCTGTGTCCCCCACCTGGCCAGGCTGTGACCCCCTGTCTCACCCGTGCACCCACCTCCTGTCCCAGGTCAGGGTGTTTCAGGGGCAGCTTCCTGTCAGAACAAGCCAGGACTTCATACTGTAGGCTCACATGGCAGCCCGACCAAGCAGACCGCTGGCCACCTGTCGCCCACTGTATGATCTGCTCCCAGATAGGAGGTGTCAGCCAGGGCGTGGGTGTGACCCTGGGAGGCAGTGGTGGCCGGGCCCCTCACACTGCCCCCACAACTGGACAGGAATTACAGTGTCGGAGGCTGGGAGGTGGGGAGAGTCCACTCCCTCAGTGAACTGGTCAAGCTCTACAAGGAGAACCCCACGGTGCGGAAGTCAGGGCCTTTGGTGCCCCTGAAACAAGGGCACCCCCCGCCCCCCAATGTGAACCTGGAGATGCTCCCCTGGGGACTCAAGGGACGCCAGCACAGCCCCGCCCAGGGAAAAGGGGGCAGGATGGCTGAGGGCAGGGTAGCCAAGGGGCGGGAGGTGGGCCCGGGCAGCTGCCCCAAGAGGGACCCCCCTAAGCTTGGACACGGGCCTCTCCCTGCCGGCCCCTCCAGGCCACGCAGATCAGCACCCACAGCCGCACGGGAAGCTCTGCCAGGCCACAGACGTCAAGCAGGGCTTGTGGGAGGAGGTGGAGGGCGGGACGGTGGCAGGGTGTTGTGGGCTCTGGGGAAGCGTCGGCTGTGGTTGAAGTCTCGTCATCCTGCCAGATGCTGCAGCCACAGGGATGTGTCCAAGGGAGTGGCAGTGGCCAGAGAACAAGCCGAGAGTCCATACGACACCCTTATGGCACCTCCCCTGGCAGGGCCTCAGGGTGGGGGCAGGGGCCGTTTCCCATCACGAGTGCGAGGCTCCATTTGCACACTAGGGGCTCCTTGCTCACCTGGAGACCTAAGTGGCACCTGACCCTCCCAGTTGACATCATCTGTGCTGTCCTGCATGGTGTGGACAGCAGCGTGCCTGGAGCCCACCCCCTGAGTGCCAGCTACCTAGGCGTGGGTGTGCATGAGACAGCTGGGCCTGGCCCACTGCCACTAGGGGGGCAGTGCCCCAGGCTGTGGACCTTGGAAGGACCGCAGGTTTTGGGGGGGAGGGATATGGCAGTCCTCAAGGCAGGCGTCCTCAGAGGGGACTGGGCTAAATGGACATTGGTTCTAAGCACCTCCCTCGCCTAGAGTGGAAGGACTGTGTGTGAGCCACCTGGGGCTCCTTTGCATGTCATTTGCACTGACTTGCATTTGTTTTCTCTTCTTGGATATAGTAGGCAGCTGACCCCCGCTCCCTTCCAGAGTGACCCAGAGAAGAAGCCAGGCCAAGGACTAGGCAAGGTGGACATTGCCACCCAGGGCTGTCTGCAGATCAGTGCCTGCCATCTGGACCATGGTGCACCAAGAACACACGTGTCATCGTCATGGCCACCGGGGAGTGGAACGAGGCCAGGTGGGAAGGCAGGCTTGTTCCATGTGCTTATCTGGACTTGTGATGGTGGCTGGTCTGGCCTTGGTCCTTGTCTTCAGGAGCCTCTGGGGAGTGGGGAGGGCCCTCGAGAGCCCCCGTGTATTCACAGGTGTGTGTGTCCCCACAGGGTAAAGGGACAGGGGTGCTGGCGGTCTTCTAGCACCATTGATGCAATGCACTCCCCACCCCCAGAACAAGTGTTTTCCAATACTGGCCAGGGCTGAGGGCAGCCCAGAGTATGGCTGGACACGTGGGTGCGGCACAGCTGACTGCAGCACAGCTGACTGCCAGGCCTCAGGCTGCTGTGCGGGAGTGTCAGGTGTGGTGGCCAGACCAGGTGAGCCTTGAGGGCAGCAGGCTGTTCGGAGCCAGAGTGGTCAGTAGCCCCAGGACTGCCCTGGGTTGAGGAGGGTCCTACCTGGCTTCACCAACCCCACTGGCCTTGCTGGCTTCCCTGTCCCTCAGCTCAGTGGGCACAATCCTGGCTTGGGCTCTGCTGTGGGCAGTGTTCACAGGTGGACCATTCTCAGCCCCAGAGCCCAGACACCTGACTCCAGGGTGGCCTCACACACACGTGGCCTCCACAGTCTCTTCTTGGGCCATCTCAGCAGCTTCAGTCTCCTTGGTTTACCAGTGCCCCTGTCTGTCCCTGGCACAGGACCTGTCCTCTATGGGGGTGGAGGTCCTGCAGACCCCTCACCTTTGGCCCTTCCCAAATAGAACTCAACTGTCCCCAAAACCTGCTCCCTCTTCCTCAGGCAGCTGAGCCACCAGGAGCCATCTGTGCCCCCTCACCCCCAAGCCTGAACCCCATCTTTTCTTTCCAACTCCTCCAGCTCAGTCTGGGCCCTGCTGATCCCTCCTGGCCTCAGTTTGCCTCCCCCTGATTTATCCCCTGTACCTCTCCCACCTCGGGGTTACTGCAGCACCCGCTCTGACTCGGTGGCTGGCCCCACCTGGGAACTGCCCACAAAGGCCTGGATGGGCGTTCAGCAGCCCGGCCCTGCCCAGGAGCCGCCGCCACGCACAGGGAAGCAAGGATTACCCGTACTTCAGCTGGCCCGACCACGGGGTCCCCACGGGGCCCGCTGGCGTTCTCGGCTTCCTGGAAGAGGTGAACCGGCCCCAGAGAAGCGCACCTGGGGCCAGCAGGCTCACGGTAGTCCCTGCAGGTGCAGCTGGGAGCCAGGCAGGGCGGGGTCACGCGGTGCAGGTGAGACCGGAGGCGGGGCGGGGCCACGAGGGCTTTGGATGTGCAACCCGGTACAGGGCCACGGACCTGCCTGCGGCTTGGTCCTGCGAATCGCCACGGGTATTCCCATCCGCCCGCAGAGGACAGGGAGGCACCACCGTAGTGACTGACATCCTGATGGGCGTCAACCGAAGGCAAGGTGAGCCGCCCCTCCGACAAAGCTCCGCCCCGCAGCCCCGCCCCGCCCCTCCTCCCCATCGGCTCCACCTCTCCTGCCTAATCGCGCTCCACCTGGAGCACTCTGGTTCCCAGGGCTGGACAGCGACATCCAAGTCCCCAAGACAATCCAGCGGGTGCGGTGGCCGCACTCGCGGATGGCGCAGACCGAAGTATAGTACGAGTTCGTGCACCTGGCGTGGCCGCGGTACTTCCGGGACCAGCAGGTGCGCCTGCGCAAGTGGCGGGGCCGGGGGCGGGGCCAGACCCGCGGGGCGTCACCGCGTGACCAGCGGGCCCCACCCACCTCCCAGTCTAAGCACTGGGAAGACAGAGAAACCCGGCGCCGCGTGAGTGGGGGCGTCAGGGAACAGGACCAGGTCGGGGTCCCGCGTGGGGGCCGGGCGATGTCCCTGCCCCGGCCAGGAGGCCGTGGGGGCGTGGCCGGGGTGTGTGTGTGTGTGTGTGTGTGTGTGTGTGTGTGTGTGCGCGCGCGTGCGCAAACCAATGGAACCGGGTCTCCACCCGCAGGACTCCGGAGACCTCCGGCGGCGGGGGCGAGGCCCAGCGGAGCCTCAGGACGTGCGGGGTCCGTGTGCACGCGCCAGGAGCGGCTGGAGCCGCGCGAGGAGGCCCAGAGCCCAGGAAGGCCGGCCTCTGCATTCTTGGAAAGTGCTGTCTTTAGAACAGTAGCTTGGAGCTTGTCCGGAAGCCTGACCGCCTGACTCCCTACGCGACCTGGACGCCTGGAAATGCGGAGAGGCAGTTGGGAGACCTTGGTGTCCCAGTCCCTTCTAGGGCTCCCAGGTGAGGGTGGGGGGGTTAGGGCTTCAGGGCTGTGGTGTGTCTCTCAGTGTGGGAGACCACCAGTGACTGCCCGTGACAACCCGCACAACACAGTGACCGCGTGTGACCCTGTGTGCCACGTTTGAGCGTCGGCCTGTATGCGTGACATAAGTACTCAGTGAGCTGGTGGTTTGTCCATGCTTGTCACTCCCACCCCCAGAGCTGCCTCTCAGCCCTGTCCACGGCGTTGTGGTCTGTGACAGCTCAGTCCCTGTCGGGTCCAGACCATGACATTGTGGTCACAGGTGTGTAAATGCTTGTTGAATGAGGGAACGTTTGAGATGCTCATGTGACCGCATGTCAGCCTCATGTGCCTGGCTCTGCCTGTGACAAGGGCAAGGCTCTGTGTATGACGGGTGCAGAGTCACTGTCATGTGCTCCGGGAGTGCACTCATCGTCCTGTCCCCACGGGTGCTGTGGCTTTGTGGTGTTCTCAGTAAAATGCACTGTTCCCAATTCTGTGTCGTTGCTGGGGCCTGGAACGGGGTGCGTTTGGGTCCCTATGGAAGCCCAGCTTTTCCAGGGTCTCCCCACCCCATCAGAGGCCCGGCTGGGTGGAGCAGGAAGTCCAGGGCTTTGGGGTGAGGGGTGAGGAGGCTGAGAGCCAGAACTTGCCTGGCCTTTCTTGGCCGTGCCAACCCACTGGTACAGGGTCCCTGGGGCTGATAGCAAAACTGTGGGGTTGGGGTGGGGCTGGCAGGACACTGCTGCTTGGCCAGCAGGCCCAGCGAGGGTTGGCTGGATGGACCTGTTGTCTGTGAGTTGTCAGGACACACTGGCTGTCACCACTTCTGTTTCTGTTCTCAGTCCCTGGGGAGCCATGGGGTTCTGCAGCCCTGTGGTCCGGGCTTCCCGCAGGAAGGCTGAGGACGGGAGAGGGTGCTGGTCTAGGCCAAGGCCTCCCCATCTCAGGTGATCTGGGCCCTCCCCTCCTCCCTGGTGGAGCCTCATGGACCTAGGGGGCAGCCAAGTCCTGAACTGCTCCCACCCATCCACAGCCTGGAGGAGACGGGAGTTGGACCCCCTAGCACTTGGGGCCCAGCTGCCCTAGGGGCCACTGGGAATCAGCACGCTGTGGATTGAGGGTCTCCGGGGCAGGGGCGACTGTGGGCTTTTCTGGAGGGAAGGGCTTGGCGGTGCAGGGGAGAGGACGCACAAGGTGAGGACCCCTTACCAAGTGTGGATACAAAACAATTTATTTAAAAATGTACAATTGAGGAGGGTGGGATGGGCACTGGGAGGCTTGGCTCTCAGCCACTGTCCTCTCTGGCCCTGTCAGAGGGCACGGTCCACGCCCACCCGACGGAAGGGGCCAGCCCTGCCTGGGCACTCACCGTCTGGGGAAGGAGCCGTGGGTGAAAGGTGAAAGTAAGGATGACGCGCCCCCCCTTCTCAGCGGGGGGCTGCCCTGTGGGCGTTTCACAGTGTGTGTGCAGGGCGGGCCTGGCCAGGCCATCTCTCCTGGACTGTTTCCCCAGCTGCATGATGGCAGTTGGGGGGTTCTCCCTGGGGCTCACGGGAGCCTGTGACTCCTGGAGGCTGGGAGAGCCTTTTGTTCTCCCCATCAGGACCCAGCCCCATAGAATGGGGGCAGTGAGCCAAATGGGGTCCTCGGAGATGTTGGGGGTCCTCTGGGGTCCTGGGGAGCTGACGCCCAGTAGCTGCTGCATCTGTGACTCCAGCTGTGGGCTGTGAACCCACGACTGGGCCATGGGACAGCCCTAGTTGTCGGCCAGGGATCCGAGAGAGAAGGTGGCTGCGTAGGTGACAGTGGCCGGCACAGTGCTGGCAGGAGGCCGGGACAGGCAGTGCAGGTTCCCGGTCCTGAGCACACAATGCACGGGCCAGAGCACCACGCAGAAAAGCACCAGCAGCAGGGCTGTGACGAGTGCCATGCGCCTCCAGTCCCTGCAGCGTGCCCAGCAGCGGGCCAGGCGGCCCCGGCGGCTGGCAGGGCCCGGGATGGGAGTGGGTGCGGTGGGCTCGGCGGGCTTGCTGAGGCCCACGTCCACACTCACGAAGCCAGGGGCCGAGAGGCCAGGTGCAGAGGGCTGGGGGCAGCAGCACAGCTTGGTGCCCTCCAACCAGACAGGCTCCTCCAGCCGCAGGTGGGCCGGCATCCTGGCCTGCAGCTGACGGCTGGTGCGCAGCCCAGGGGCCCCGGTGGCGGGCACAGCTGTGGGCTGTCGGCAGAACGGGCAGGGCACAGCCTCACTGCCGGGTCGGCTTGTCGGCTGGGCAGCCGCCAGCCGTGCCAGGCACTCCAGGCAGAAGACGTGAGTGCAGGACAGCTCCTTGGGTGTCTTGAAGATGTTGTCATAGCCCGAGAAGCAGATGGAGCACTCCAGCGGGGAGGCCACCTTCTCTGCGCCAGGGGTGCCGGGGGACCTGGGGCTGCTCACTGAGCCGGGGGACCTGGGGCTGCTGGCTGAGCTGACAGACCTGGGGCTGCTCACTGAGCCGGGGGACCTGGGGCTGCTGGCTGAGCTGGCGGACCTGGGCACTGTTGCTGTGGTGCTGCTCCGGCTGGGGGGTGGCGTGGCCGTATGCCACACCTGCTCGTCTGACGCCATGGCTCTGAGCTGTGGGACAGAGATGACTGTGAGTGACCACGGCTGTCCTAGCCTACAAGGCGCTCCCTTTTGTCCGGCACCGGTCCCAAAGATCCCAGCAGAGACACTGCCTGCGGCGGGCACCTCCAGGAAGTCCCACCTGTGCCTTGTCCCACCCCCTCCAGCCCCTCCCACACTGAGATGGGGGGGTGGCATCCCCAGTGCTCAGGCCTGACCGACCCAGACGGGGCCCTGGGCACAGGGTGTGGTGCTGACTGCTCAGTGGACACCTTTTGGTGGACCCACCCTACCCGACTCTGCCCCCTGGCAGAGATGAAGGTGACAACGACAGTGGCCCGCAACAGTTACTGTTTACATATGGGCTCTGCCAGGCTGGGCCAGGTCGTGTGACAGAAAGCGCAGCATGGAGGGAGGGGAGAGTCGGCCAGGTCACCTGGCCAACGGGCCCCGGGCTGTCCCAGGCGGGTGTGTCTCTGGGTCAGGGGGTGGGTTTGCACACAGATCCCAGGGCTGGCGGCCAGTTGTCAGGCAGCTGGGTGAGGACCAGGTGCCAGGCCTGGCTGGACCAAGCCGTCAGTCCACAGGAGCCGGCGGGGGGGGGGGTGCCTGAGCAGGGGTAGGGGCGAGCCCCACCAAGGAGGGTTTGTCTTCCAGCCGTGCCCTGAACCTGAAGGGCTAGCTTGTCTGGCTAATGAGGAGGGCCTTGTGCCAGCCCTCAGCCCACTGAGGGGATAGGACACAGATGGCCCTCTGTCCTCTCTCGGCCGAGTGCACAGCGGTGCCCTCCTGGCTCACCCCCGTTTCTATGGGAGACCCTGTCTGTCTCCCTGGCCAGGCTCAGGTGACCGGCCTGCGGACCAGGGCCTTGCCCAGCTCTGCCCCTCCACAGGGCCCAGGTCTCCACCGCAGGCAGCCACAAAGTGGACAGAGGAGACCAGGGCCTTGGGAAGACCCTGACCATATGACCCCAAGAAACTCAGGAGGCCCCCAGAGGTGACCTGGCCCTGACTTTCTGGTCAGTCCAGGCGAGCCAGCAGGGTGACTTCCTGGTGGCATGCTGTGAAGGCACAGGTGTTGCTTAATCATGATTGACTTAATCGTGAGTCATGGTGACATCACTGTGATGTCATGAGTGTCCCCCACATCGTGACATGAGATGTCATCGTATCCGGGTGACAGCAGTGGTGGCAAGTTAGGCAGCAGGCTCGGCAGGGTCGAGGGGACTGTGGGCTGTCCTGGCCCAGGCCTGTGAGCCCCACATAACCGGTTCCTTGGCCTGAGGCCCCACCCCTGAGGAGCTGCCCCACCCGGAGCCTGTACAGGTGAGAGGCGAGTGCCAGCTGAGCGGGCCTTACCTGGTGGGCAGGGGTCAGCGGGGTTGGAGCATGGTCCTCCCAGTTGGCCACGGCTGGGCTCCGAGGCTCCAAGCTCTCCTGCTCCAGCAGCACTTGCTCCTGCCTCTGGGGCAGTCCCAGCCTCTGCTCACCTGGCAGGTGTCCCTCCTCGGGCTGGTCAACAGCAGCTGGCCTGGCAGGTATGTTCCAGGCAGGCGGGGTTCGGGGGTTTGCGTGTGCTCCTCCAGGTGTCAAGTGCTGAGGCAGGTGTGAGTCTCTGGTTGTGAGTCCTGGCAGGTGTATTTATACGCTCAGGTCATGCTGGCCAAGGGTGTGGCCTTGGCTTTGGGATTGGCTGGCCTCCTGTCCTCTCCCTGGCAAGCAGGCAGCAGAGGGCGGGGAGTCAGAGGTGAGAAGTGAGAGCCGGGGGTGGAGCTACTGGGCGCGGTCAGGTCAGTGTAGGCCTCCACAGTCTGGGCAGGTCCATGGGGGGCCTGGGGAAAACTGCCCCCTGCGGCCCCTGCGATGCCCCAGTGGCCCCCCCAGAAACAGATCAGCTCACCACCCTGTTTGGGGCCTGGTGGCACCTGAACCCCTCAGGGGGCTGCCAACCCCCACTCACAATCTCAGCCCAGCTTATCACACCCTGTAGTCCACTGACACCCTCCTCACAGCCCCTGTCTGGCCCTCCCACCTCGTGTACATGGCCCACTAACGTGTGTCCCCCGGTGTGCACGCGCATGGCTCTCCCAAACCTGCCACCCCTGCCCACTGAAGCCTTCGGGGGCAGGGAGGGATCTCCCTGCTCTGGGCCCAGGGAGTGGGGTGAGAGGTCGACCCCCCTCAAGGGGTGCAGTCAGAGGTGAGCATGCGGCAGGGACCAGGAGGGCCACGAGGACTTGTCAGGGGTCAGTGTCTGCTGGGGGCACCGTGGGCCACACACGTGGGACCCTGGAGCCCAAGGCAGCCCCACCCAGCCGGGGGGTTGGAAATCTTCCTGGGGGAGTAAAGAGGTTTCAGCCAGTCAGCATGGGGGCCCGGATGTGCTGGAGGGGCCGGGGCTGCAGTGCCGGAGATGGCCCCACACCTGATACCCGGCCCTCCCTGCAGTCATGGCCCACCTCCACCCCCAGCCACGCGCAGCATCTCAGTGCACGTCTGAGCTGGTCTCAGGGTGGTGGGCCCCTGCCGCTGAGAAGTGACCCCAGTGTTGAGCCTGTGGGAGCGTGGTGTCCAGCCTGGGTGGTAAGGGTGGCCTGCCTTACACCCATAGGCTGCCCCCACCAACCACCTCGGCTGGTGGCCTGGGACCCCTAGAGGCCCCCCAGTCCCAAAAGCACTAGGAGCAGCACTAAGAGACTACAGAGGTCAGAGGTCAGCAAGAGGAAGACCAGCTTCAGGAGGTGAGTGGGGGCACGGGAGCCCAGGAGGAGCCAGGCTCCGGGAGATGGGGTAGGTGGACGGCTGAGGCCCTCATGTGGAGGCAGAGGTGCCAGGTGACTGCAGGAGGCGGGGACAGTGGCCTCCCCTTGTAGGCAGAGAAGGCGGGGCCTGGGTTCAGGAAGGGACCCCAGCTCCTCTGTATGCCCAAGAGGGGAGGACGGCGGGGCCCAGAGAAGGGCGGGCGCTCAGAGAGGGGGTGGGGACTCAGTGGGAGGAGGGTGGGCTCCCGAGTCGGAGCTTGGTCCAGCCCAGCTGTGCACCACAGGACCAAGTTCCCATGGGGACCTCCAGGACATGTCCTCAGTCCCTCTGCTCTGAGGACACCATCCTGGGGACTCCTGGGAATGTCCCAGCTCTGAGGTCACGCAAGCTCCCCAGGGGACAGTCAGTGCCCAGAGCCAAAGGGACAGGAAGATCTGAGGAATGTGCCCCCTGGGGGTGACCAGGCCTCACTGGACACAAGGCAGGGCCAGAGCCAGGTCCCACGCCTGCTCACCCTCCAGCCCACTGGGGGGCAGCTGTGCCCATACACGCACGGCCGTATGTGTCCTCCTCTGGGCGGGGTGGGTGTGCACACGCCAGCACATCCTCCCGACTGAGTGTGACAGTGCATGTGCCCCTGCATGCGCAGGTGTGTGCACACGGGTGAGGGGAGCATGGATGCCAGTGTGCCACCCCATAGCCCTGGGACTCACTGGAGGGGGGAAAAGACAACGCCCTCGCTGACACCACTGTCCAGACGTGGCTCTTAGACGTGGGGGTCCTGAGCCCTCAGCCACTCGGGCAGAGAGGACTGTCCTCCAAGGCCTGCCCTGGCCTGGCCCCTCCCCAGGACTGGGTGCCACCTGGCACAGGTGTGGCTGCATGTGGGAGGCACTGCAGGGCTCGTCTGGGGCTTGGGGGACCAGGGCTGCATCCCCCACTTGTCCAGCACTGGCTGACTTGTCGACTGCTCCGCTGCCCTGTCCCCGTTGGCCAGGGACACCGGGGCTCTGGGACATGGCCACACTGCGCGAGAGGCCCCGACTCTGGACCAAGGCTTGGGATCTGGGTGGGATCTCCGCCCCACCCCCGGGCACTGGGCTCTGGCCCAGGTGGCTCTGCTGGCCAGTCAGGTGGGCCCAGCAGTCCCGCTCCTCCCGTGCCTGCAGTGAGAGCCAGGTCCCCACAGGTCGGCCTGGCTGCCCGTCCCCAGCCTTGCTGTGGCTGGCTTTTTCTGGGGCCCATGCCCAGGACCCCACCAGCACCTCCCCAGTCCCACTCAGTCCTGCCCTGTGCACTGACCTCTGCTGGCCGTCAGGGCTTCTCCCAGCGCTGAGGATGAAGGAAGAAATGAGCGGCAGCAAACCGTGCTCACCTCCTGGGGCAAGGTGGTGAACGCAGCCCCCTGCTGACCTCCGTGGTGGTCGACATGGTGCCCCACCTGTCTGCTTTGGCCTGAGCTATGACCCCACAAATTGGCTTGACTTTGGCCTCTTCTGTGAGGGCCTGGAGCCCAGATGAGGGGCTCTGGATGGAGACAGACTAGGGAGAGGGCTGTACCCCACCCCCACTGCAGACCACCTGCCCCTTATAACATCCCCATCCCAACCTCAGGCACCTCTACCACTTGCTTTCTGGCCTGGGTGCCCAGGTCATAGGGTGCTGAGTCCAGCAATCCCACCCCTACTCCCTGGGCCTGAGACAGTGCACCAGGCCCAGGGTGCCCAGTGGCACAGGTCAGACTGGTGTGACTGAGGGCGCAAGGGCCCAGGCTGCAGCCTCAAAGGTCCGGGGAAGGGCATCCCAAGTGTGGGGCTGGGGGCGGGAGGAGGAGACAAACTCCAAGAGTCGATGGGGTCTGCAAGGTTGTGGGAGGGATGTGGCCAAAGAGACCCTGGGTTTCAGGGTGGGGGGAGGTGGGGAGGGTGGAGGGCACCCTCCAGGCTTGGGCAGCTGGACCTGCCATCCTGGTCAAACATGGCTGTTTCCTGTTTTTCCTTCAAGTTAGGGGCGTGGCTTGGTGCCAACTTAGGAGCAGTGGGCATGAGCTTCCTCCCCTAGAGGGCTGAATGGCCCCCTTGATGGGTGGGGGCGTGTGGGGGCCACACACAGACTGGCTCTAAGTCCTCTCCCTTCCCTGCGGTCCCTGAAGCCACTGGGGACCCTGACCCTGGTCTCCCTTCTCAGGCAGAGAGGACCGAGAAGAGCAGCCAGGCCCACGGGGCACAGCCCAGGTCCGTGACGTTGAAAAGCCCACGTCGGACCTCTGTGAGCACAGAAATGGGTGCTGCTCCTCTCAACACCCCTTCCTTCCTGTCCCTACCAGGGCTTGTCCTGGGGCTCCGCCTGTGCCCGATTCCGTCGGGCCAGGCCGCCCTCCCAGCTGCAGGTGCTGCAGGACCGGGTGCCTGCCCCCTTCCTGGTCCTGGGCCTGGGGAGGCTGGTGGTCACAGGCAGGCAGTGCCCAGAACACTGGACGGAGCTCAGGGAGCTGTCCTGCAGCCCCCGGCGTGTGCACATGCTCCGTGCCCGCCACAGCCCAGCAGACACTCCCCCAGCTGCCCGGTGGCCATAACCTCAGGCCAGAGTTCCCAGGGGCAGGTGAGCAGCAGGCAGCAAGGTGACAGCCAGCAGCCAGGCCTGGGAGTGGCTCTCTGCTGCCCCCACCAGGGCAGGGCTGCCCCCTGCAAGTCAGCAAACATCCCCTCAGGGGCCCCTCCAGCTGGCGCTCTGCCCCCGTCACTTCCTCCTGGGGCCCACGGGCGGGCGTCCTGTCTGTGCAGGGCCTGCGGCCTCCCCTAAGCTCCACACTCCCCATGAGGTCTGTTCGGGCTGCAGAAAAGCCCCTGAGAAGAGGCCGCGCCTCCCATCCCAGGTCTGACAGGCCGGGGGCCCCCGGGTTGTCCTGCCTGCCTGAGGCCGCTTGGGACAGACCCCCTTCTCCCAGGAATGGCATTCTAGGAGGTGGGGGCTGTGTGTGGGCACCTGCCCCGGCCTCAGCACAGGCTTTCGAGCGGGGGTCCCGGTCCTTGTTGAGGGCCCTCCACACCCCCGCCCCGGTGAGGGGAAGCTGCTCTGGACGGTGGGGCCACGCCTGCTCAGGGACCCACGAAGCCTGGAGCAGCAAGGAGAGGAAAAAGTCCAGAAGTTTATTGGACGTGGTGTCGAGGCGGCTGCCCCCTGCGCTGCTGGACAGGAGGACGCACGCACATCTGCCCACGGGGACAGCCTGAGCCGGCACTGCCGTGAGGAGGGCACAGGAGGCCACCGCCAAGCCCTGCCTCGGGCTCCTCAGACTCGGACCAGGTACCAAAGGAGGGAGTGTGGGCCTCGGCTCAGGGTCTGGGAAGGACGGCCACGCCGGGCGCAGCGCCGGATGTGGCCACACACATGCCTTTCTCAGGAGCCATGGTCCTTGCAGGATGATCTGGGCTGCACCCCAAGTAAGTGGGCCCCAGGCAGACGTGCCCTGGGCGCCTGGCAGCTGCGGGCAGTGCTGTCCTGGGTGGGCAAAGCCCACTGTGCATGGGGCCCCGGCTCTTCTACAAATGTATTTCACTTACATACAGAAATCTACAGGACCCAGGTGACTCGCTCCTGCAGCTCCTGGAAACAAGGGGTCACGGGCTTGGGGGGTCTCAACCTTGAGGGCTGGTGCTGAGTCCCTCCTGTCCTCCATCCCAGTCTGGGCACCGGCTGGGACACCCAAAGGCCTCTGCTTCACCGCCCTTAGAAAGGTGTCTGCCCGCCAGGCTCCTGACGGGCAGTGGCTGGCCCGGCGGTCCCTCACTGTCTGTCCTTGGGCAGGGGCCCTCAGGGCCTCCCTTGCAGTCTGGCTCAAGAACACAGCACCTTCAGGAGCCACTGGTTTCTGCTCAGCAGCGCCTGTCGCTGGGAGACGAGAGCTAGGCCGGGGCAAGTCCAGGACCATGCAGAACCCTCCCAGGACACAGCCTGGCCCTGTGTTCAGGGCCTCCTCCTCGGCTTCCTCCTCGGCTTCCTCCTCGGCGGTGTGCAGAGCTGTAGGCGAGCCTCAGGGTCAGACGTTGCTGACCCGGGCCTCCACCAAGGAGACAGCAGCAGGGCCCGTGCCCCTGTCCGAGGGCCTCTCCCGCCTGACATAACGTGGCTTCCGCACTGAAACGGTAGGAGACAGGTGGAGTGAGTGCAGGGCCCGTGACAGGGAGCACACCCCACGCGGCCTGCCCACAGGCAGGACACTGCAACCGAGAGCTTCGAGATGGACTTAAGCTGCCCCTGTGCCCCACCCCCCAGCACACCCCCAGCACCGTGGCCTGGGCAGTGCCTATCACACCCAGAACCCAGAGCCACAGGTCACATGGTGCATCACAGGGAGCATGGTGGCCCCCAAATGTGTCCACCGTTTCAGCCCCAGAACCTGTGATGTGACCTCATTTGGGAACAGGGTCGGTGCAGTTGTGATGAAGTTGGGGGGCGTGAGTTGAGGCCCTCCTGGGTCCTCTGTGGAACCATAACTCCAGGGACCAGTGTCCTCACAAGGAGCCACAAGCCCAGCGATGCCTGAACCACTGGGGCTGGGAAGGTGGGGAAGGACCCCCTGCTGGGAGCCTCAGAGCGGGCAGCCCCAGCTCCGACCCCAGGTCTGCACAGCAGGCCACTCCAGGGGCTGCAGCCAAGTGCTTCGGGGAGCAGAGCGGGCCTGGACTGGACCCAGTGGCTTCTCTGTCCCCCAGAGTGGCTCAGTCTCTCCTTTCCGGGCCACAACCTTCGAAACAGTGGTGAGAACAGGGGCAGGCAAAGGCTCACGGCCGAAGCTGGGTGACTGCAGTGCTCGTGGCACCGCCCGCTGAGGCAGGACGCGCCTGACGCAGTAAAATGAAGCCCCAGCCCTCGGGGGCCACAGGAGGCGCGGGACCCACCACTCAGGTAGGGCTGGGGCTGCTCCTCCTGCTTCCGTGGACCCAACATCCCAGGAGAGAAAGGGAAAGGCACACAAGCCGTGGCTAACAAAGGGGCCTGGCTGGCACCCCAAGCAGCTGGGGTGGGCGATGTGGGGCCAGACACCACCCAGCCCAAGTCCCTGGCCGTCCCTGGCCCCATGGGGCAACTGATGCCGGAGATGCCCAGCACTTCGACGGGTGAGGGCAGTGAGAGCCGACGTACCTGAGGACTGTGGTGGGGGGATCATCGCGGCCTTGAAAGGAAAGAGGGACAGTGAGAGGCCGGGCCCCGCAGGGTGCAGGGCAGCCAGCCGGCCCAGGTACTTACGGCTTCTCCAGGCTGCAGGGCCGGGACTGTGGGGAGAGCACAGGTGTCAGGTGGGGACCCGGCAGCCACCTCAGCCGGGGCTTGGGCAGGTGGGGGTCCCTCCACACCCCTGCCTAGCAGCGCCCTAGGCCTGGCGGTCAGCCTGGCCACACGTCCCACCCCAGCCCCTGGGTGAACCACCCCCAGGCCCCTGCTTCCCCCCCTCAGCGGGGACCAACTGGCCCTCAGGGCGCTTCTCTGAGCCACCAGGCTGCCACGCTGCCGTGTGAGCTGTCTGTCTGGGCTCCCACGCAGGGCCTCAGCGGGGACCACCTCCACCCCCACCACCCTGGCTTCTCCCGGGACTGCGGCTACTGGGGCTGAGCAAACACTGCTCTGCGGCAGCGGGTGGCCCTGCGCGGCGCACACAGGCCTGGGCCCACACGGCCAGCAGGCTCCCAGCGCTGACCCCAAAGCCCCTGTCCCGGGAGGTGGGAAGGGCCAGCCCCCCGCTCAGGACGGGCTGCGGCAGCTCCACGGAAGTGCCTGGCTGCGGCGGGGGTGGCGGTGGACCTCACCCACTGGCACTGTCTGCGGAGGAGTCTGGTCTGCTGGCCACCCCCTCCTGGGCACCGTGAAGGGCCCAGCAGCAGTGACACCCATCGTCAGGAAGCGGGGCCGGCGTCTAGGCCCTGGGTGTGGAGTCACAGCAGCACCCTCTCTGTGGAGACCCCAGGAGGTCCGCACCCCTGGGCCGGGCCAGCCCAGCCCCAGCCCCTGAGTCCACCAGGCAGCACTTGGGCCTTGGGGGGCTGCAGCTCAGCAGCCTGTGGCCAGGCAGGCGCTAACTACCACGGCAGGGACAAGTACCTTTGTTTCTTCCGTAGCAGAGCCTGGGCAGTTTACTGGCGCGCTTGAGGTAGAAAAAACCAGCCACTGAGAGGATGAGGCTGGAGCTGAGGAAGAAGGTCCCCAGGAGGAGGGAGGCTGCCACTTGAGGGCCCCCTGCGGGCAAGGGCAGCGCGTCAGCCCTCCCTGCACACACCCGGGCCGAGCAGCCAGGAGGAGGGTGAGTCCCAGCAAGTCGGCAAGTGTGTCTGCTCCAAATCTGCAGCACCCGGGCCAGGTGTACGCAGCCTTTCCTGCAGCCGGCGGCCCTGCCGCCAGCCCGGCCCCGGGGACAGGAGGCTGGGCTGTGTGGGCAGACCCCACCCTAAATTCAGCTGCTCTGTGCCGCGGGCCTCTGTGGTCCAGCTCAGCGCAGGGCCCTCAGTCCAGGTGCTCAGGGAGCAGGTCCTAGGGGACAGGACCCTCTAACCAGGCACCAGCACACCTGCCTGCAGCGGCCCCACTGGTCGTCTCAGGCAGGACAGATGCCCAGCAGCCGGCCCAGGAGGTTAGGGCACTTGTCTGGGGCAGCGCCTGCAGTCCCCCTCCAAGCCCCGCATCCTAGAAGAGCCCTGGGGGTGGGGGGCCTGCCCCTGGATCTCCGGAGAACCACACGCCCCAGATCCCCATGGACCAAGGGCTGGGTGTGCCAGGAGGGAGGCAGAGATGGCAACGCACTGCTCTGAGGGCTTCCGCCTGCTGGGACCGTTCAGAGCTCCCCTGGGCAGCGCTCACGGCCGGCGGGTGGTCTGGCCCTGGCGTGGATGTGGCCCCACTGGCGCAGCACCAGTGGTCTGTCTGCACTGGGCACAGCCCCGAGGATGCCCGCCCCGGCCCCACGACCTACGCAGAGGCCCTGCTCTGGTCTGGGAAGCAGGGACGCTTACCGAGACTTGGCTGCCCGGGTGTCCCTGTGTTCCTGTTCACAGGGGGCTGTGTGCCCTGGCCAGCAGCTGTGGGGAACACGCCTGTTAATGCTGGGCCATGCTTGGGGACCCTGTGAGGTCCCCCAGGGGAGTCACAAGAAAGGACGACGACGGAGGCAGGGCAGCCCTCAGCCTGCAGCCGTCCTGACTGGAGACGAGACGGGGAGAGGGTCCGGGGCCAGTGGGCACCCTGCTGCCTTGGGGACGGGAGGGCCGACCCCACGCGTCCCTCCAGGACTGGGAGATGTGGACTCGGTGTGAAGTGGGCGGGGGCGGGGGGGCAGTGACCTACGGCTCCCGCGCCCGCTCCTGCACCGGACGCAGCTGGCACCCCCACCCTCGTTCTGGCGTCCGAGCAGCCTGGGCGGCAGAGGCAGTGGGAGATGCCCAGCTCGCTGCCCGCTGGCTGAGCGTCTGCAGTTTCCGATTATACAAGTTTTCATTCCAGGCGCTAAATAAGACGTTCCGGAGGGAAGGCCTCAGAAACGTCTCCCACTCAAGACAGGGCCTCCCGTCTCCACAGCCTTGACCACGTTGAGCCTTCCCCTGGGGCCTGCACTCCTCACGCAGGCAGTCGGGTGTGACCTGGCCCCGCAGCCCGCCCCTGCCCCAGGGTCCCAGCACACTCAAACCCACCTCCCGCCCGCACTGCCCTTGTCACCAGCAGCCACCCGCCCAGGACTGGGAGCAGGCCGGCTCTCCCTAGCCCATGACTGACGGACAGTCCGTCTTGCCAGCTGCACCCTCCCAGGACAGGAGTTTTGTCCCACTCCATTTATTATTATTATTATTATTATTATTACTATTATTATTACTTTAGAGAGAGGAAAAGGGAAGTAGGAAGACAGGGAAAGAAACATCAATGTGTGGATGCCTCTCACAAGTCCCCCACTGGGGACCTGGCTTGCAACCCAGGCATGCGCCCTGACTGGGAATCGAACCAGCGATCCTTTGGTTCACAGCCCACACTCAATCCACCGAGCTACACCAGCCAGGCCCATTATTATTTCTTAACTCCCTGACACTCGGCACAGAGGCAGAGCAAGCATGCCCCGCCCATTCTGAGCGTGGGTGTGGAACACCAGTGCTGGCCGGGCTGTGTCCAGAAGGAGGCAGCAGGCGTGGGCCCCACAGAGGACTTCAGACATTTAGCCCACACAGAGGGCCAGTGCAAGAGGAAGGCCCTTTTGCCGTGACACCAAGCAGTGGCAGGGCCTCGAGGGTGATGGCGCAGCCAGGACCCACTGTGGCGCCAGTGAGGCTGGGCACCGTCCGGGCCAGTAGGCCCCCAGGTGGAGTTAGTCTTCTGCTTCCCGTGTGAACACGGCTTCTCTTCTAAAGCGGTGAGTTTGGCTCTGTCCCTTGACCTTTCTTGGGAGGGGCGGGGCCAGGCAGGCTGCCAGGAGGCACCCGCAGTCGGCTCCAGGAGGCCCAGGACTCGGCCTGGTGCCAATGCAGCGCCTCCAGGAGAAGCCCCGGCTGCGCTGAGCGCAGGGACACGGCAGAACCGGAGAGCCAGGGCCAGACGCGCTCTGGGCGCTGAAGCTGATGCTGGAGCCTACGAGGCACTTTGAAAACCCCCTGCTGCCTGCTTGGCTGGTGAGGATGGCCACTTCCTAGCAGGGTCAGGAACCTGCAGGTAGTGGGGACTTGCAGGCCAGAGGGTTACCCAGGTCTACAATACAGCCTGTCAAGTCTGTGGAGGAGTCCTCGGTTGGCTTTTAAAAGTCTACTCTGGGTTCCTCGTGAAAAGGCCCCACCTTGCAGACTGAGAGGAGCACACCCGGCCTCACAGCTCCCGCCACGCTCACGGGGCACTGGGCCCGCAGCGAGACCGGACTGACTTCAGGAGTGAACCAGTCCCCCGGGGGCTGCCTGCAGCAGCAGGGCGCAGGGGAAATGGCGCCGCAGCAGGAGCCCTCCTGCACCCGTGTGCACACGGCAGGCCAGGCCTGCTCACGCCTGAGGCTTACCCACCTGTGGGCTGGACCAGACGGGACTCACTAGCCGCCCCCCAACACCTGCCTACAGCCCTCCACACTGACGTCTGCGACTGCCTCCCGCCCTCCGGCTGGGAATCACTAACTGCCCTTTGCCTGAAGCCCTGCACACTGAGGCTGGGCAACCTGGTATCACCACAGCAGGTGACATGTGACATCCCTCGCACCGGCTGCCAAGTGGGCCGCTCACAAAGGACACCACCAGACAGCTGAGCAACCGACCAGGAGTCCGTCACAGATGGCCACCGCTGTCCTCACTCCACCTGCATCTGGAAGTTGTCTCAGCTGGCCGCTCTCTGGACTCTGGTCTGGGCCTGCATTTGCCCGACCGTCAGCCTTCATTTTCCCTTTGTTTCCACAAAGGCACCTCTCACTCCCAACCTGCTGACCCCCAGCGCACAGGCCTCACTGGAGGGGGCCCGCCCGCTGGGCTCCCATCTGCTGGTGCCTCTACCGCTACTGACTCCTGGTTCCTTCCTTCCGGGGCGGAGGAAGGCAGAACATATTGCTGCAAAATGTGCCTCTTTGACATAAACATCATTTTTAGCACAAGACACTTAAAAACACAGGTGCAGGAAGGGCGATCTCACCCTCCTCCTCTTCCTCCTGAGGGCTCCGTGTCAGGCACACTTGCTCACATCTGTCTGACTGCTTCTCCCGTCACTCTCTCCCCCATCAGCCCTGTCCGAGGGCCCAGCTGGGGCTCCCTAGGAGCAGAACCAGCGTCCTGCCTCCCCCCCCCCCAGTGCTTGGTGCCAGTCTCCCCGTAGGGCACTGCCCGAACCACCCAGGGTGAGGTGGCCAGGCCAGGAGGGAGGCTTGCATGGGGCCTGCCTCTCCCACTCCCCTCCCAGCGCCCTCCTGGCCCCCACTGGATGTGGGGAGCTTGACAGAACCACCCCCGCCAGCTCATGCCAAGTGCCTACCTGGGCCACACAGGCTCGTGCCTGGGCAGGTGGTGTTGGTGTCCACCACGTCCACACAACACTCAGGCTGCTGGCCCTAGAGGGAAATGGCAGTCAGCACCCAGACTCTGCGGGCAGGCGGCTCATGCAGGACCTGGGGGTGAGACCCTAGGGGAGGGTACAACCTCTGAGGGGCTGGAACTAGACGGCTCCAACCTCCCTTCCTGGCCCCTCAGCATGACCAGGCGATGGGGCACCTACCACACTCTCTGAGGATTTGCTGGCAACTTCCACCAGGAGGCCGGCCAGGAGGACGGCGCGCTGGAGCGCCATGTCCCGGAGCTCAGGGTCTGCAACAAAGAGGGGCGCTGTGGGGCCATGGGATTGGGGGGTGGAGGGCCTCACCTGCCCTCCAGGACGCCAGTGGCGGACATTCAGCTCCCATCCGCCCAGCACTCAGGGGCCAGGACTGCTGAGCTGCCGGGAGTCCTGCAGCCCGAGTCCTGCTGGTACGAGGCCTGGGAATCGTAGTACCCAGCGGGGCCCCCGAGGGTCACTATGCAGCCAAACCAGGTGGGGCCTCAACTGGACTTCCCACAGGGAGCCTGCCGGCAGGGTGACCATCTGACCTGGGCTCTGGACGGCACCCCCAGCAGCTCCCCACAGGAGGGAGGGCCTGAGCAGAGTTGGGTGGGCGGGCAGGATGAGCAGTCCCTGCATGTGAGCTCAGACAGGCCTGGCCACCCGTCGCTTTGTTCCGTCCCCCACTGGCTGGGCCTGAGCTGCCACGTTACTATGTAAGCCAACCTGCATGTCCCTGAAATAAACCGTCGGTCTTAGCAAATTGCTGTCAACTTGTGGGTGGGTGGTGACCACAGTCACAGCATTTTCACACATCAAAGTCACCTCTAAGAAGACCCTGCACTTGACAGGAACAGCTGAGGGGCAGCCAGGTGGGGAGTCTCGGGTCACGAGCCCACAGGAGGAGCCCCGGGGGAGCGGCACATCCGGGGCTGGGCAATGGAACAAGGGTTCCTGCCTGGAGGGCCCTGGGGGAGGGCCCACTGCCCAGGGCTCGGGCCAGCCTCCTGGAGCAGGGCGGGGGGGGGGGGGGGGACGCGCGCACGCGCGCGCACACACGCACACACAATGGGGAGCTGGTCCTGAGCAGCAACAAAACAACCTCCTCTCTGGCCTGTTAAGCACCGCCCCCCCTTGCCCCTCCCTGAGGGACCTCCTTTCTGCAGTGAGACCCCTCTGTTTACCCAGCACCTGCTGACATCATGCTTGCAACGACCCCTCTGGGGTGGGATCTGAATCGTTTACTTAGAGACTGCCTTTCCTGACTCATGGAAAAGTCCAGAGATTGGGGCCCTTCCGTTCACTCTCCGGTAAGAGGCACCCCAGGGTCACACTAAGTCACAAAACACCATTTCTGTTCGGGGATTAAGGACAGCGGGACAGTGGTGAGTCCTGGGGACGCAGAGGCCAAGGCCGGGCACTGCGAGCAGCAGCACGAATAGCTAAGACAACACTCACGACTCCACAGGGACAGACGTCAGGGGAGGGCGGTGCCCTGTTGACCTACACACAGGACACGGGGTCCAGTCTCTCGGTGACAGGAGGGGCAGGAGGGACAAGACGTGGAGCAACTCCACTGGTGACACCACCTGACCCAGGTGACTCAGGAGGACACCCCGGAACGTCGTGGTGCAGACGTCAGGTGCCCCTGACATTGTGCAGTTTGGGACCACCTCAGCTGTGGGGTGCTGTCCCCACAACCCACAACCCCAGGCTCACCAAAGAACACACACAAGTCCAACGTGAGGGACGCTCAACACAACACCTGAGCAGTCTCCGCAAGCAGTCACGGCCATGCCGACCCAGGAGGGGCTGACACACTGCTACAGAGCAGGGGGACAAAGGAGAGTGTGGCCTCTGACACAGGCTGGGCAGAGGGAGGGGCAGGAAGCACAGGCAGTCTGCGTCTGGGCTGGAGGCGGCAGCCGTGCTGCTCCTGAGTTTTGCCGAGTGCACCAGGGTTAGCACGGTACCCTGTTCAGAAACATCGGGCTGCCCGCAGCTCTCCTGAAACCCGAAACTGCTCCACAATTTCTAAAGGTAGTTTTAAAAGGGCCGCAGGCCATTAAGAAAATGAACAGGCAGGTCAAAGGATGGGAGATGACAATGGTGACACATCTGACGAGCCTGTCTCCAGAAGGCATGAAGGACTTCACAGCTCAATAGTTTGGGAAAAGGCAAAGGCAGGATCGGGCCACGAAGCAGTCGGGCGGGGCGGGGGGGCGGCGGGTGTCCAGGTCAGTGAGCTCAAGGAAATGCAGACAGAAGCTGCTACTGGGTCCCGGAGGCCCCGTGCGGCGCCTCCACTAGGCATCTGCCCCACAGCACTGAGAACTCGTCACAGGAAACAGGTGCGGGAATTGTGCCGCCTCTGTCGCAGGAGCCAAACAGGAGGAGCCCCCAGCTCGGTCAGAGGCCTATGGCACATCCCCAGGAAGGGAGGTGATGCAGGAACCTGACCAGGAGGAGGAAAGGCAGGTGCAGCGCAGCTCCGTGACAACGAGGGTGCACAAGGCAAAGCTAAGGAGGGGTGGCGGGAACCAGGGTGCTTGCTTCTGGAGGTCAGGTCTGTAAAGGCTTACGAGGTTTCTGCCAGCTCTGGTGGCGGTGACAAGTCAGCAGAAACCACGCTCGATTCTCACGGTTCGGGGGTGGGAGGTCCAAGACTCCAGCCAGGAGGTTCGGGGTCTGAGGCCCCTCCTGATACACAGACGGCGTCCTCTCACTGTCTGCTTCCGCGGCCTCTCCAGGGAGCATGAGCCAGGACAGGGGTCCCTCCCCTCTTAGCAGAGCACTGTCCCACCAGGACCCACCCTTCTAACTTCATGTCACCCTCGGCTACTCCCAAGGCCCACCTCCAACCCCACACAGGGCCAGGGCTTCGACTCATGGACTTGGGGACACAAGCCTTCAGCTCACATGAGGCGACAGGAATGTTTTCCAACGTGATGGGGGTGCAGGTAACACAGCTGGGCACACCTGTCAAAACTGGTCAGGCTGGACTGAGCTTGTCACTGATGGGAATTACACAACAAAACCAACCGAATAAATGCAGTTCACTTTCTGTTCTGAAAACCTTAGTGGGGCCAAAAAGCTACACAACTGGATAAAGCAATTTCTACAAGGTAGTGAGAAATCTGAGAATTTAAATCGGACTCTTTCAAGCGCCTATTTTTCCTGTAAAGCGCCCTCAGGTCATGGGGATTCTAATCGAGTCACACGTGATGGGGGGATGACCCTCAGTCAGCCGGTCAGGGGTTAGGTGCTGGCAGGACAACCACGTGCACAGGCTCCCCTGGAGGAAGGCCCACCTGGCGACCACAAGGACCACGGGGGTGGGGGATGGCAGTCTGACAGCTGGTTGCAGGTTCATGGACCTTTCTGCTTTTCCCACCGTTAAGACATCCATTTGCTCTGCCTTCAGGAGGAATGGATGGGAGCGGAACGAGGTGGGGTGTGCACGTGCCAGGAAAAGAAGCTTTCTGCACAATCCAGACTATTTTCTTCTAGGAACGAGCTTCTGAAAAGAAGCCGGCATTAGGACCCTGGCTGAACCCCGAAGCCCGACAGGAACAGACCAAGGTTGCCTCTCTTCGCGGCGGCGACAATGAGAACAACTCAAACAAACGTGAATTCGCTGGGACGCGGCGGTTAAGAGTTGTCACAAAACAGCTTTGGGGGCAGAAGTTGTATTTGCCAAAACGCTGTTCCTTGAAATGCTCTCAAAAACGTACCCAAACCACCTAGTCTCAAATCGCACCGGAACTAAAACATCTATTACATCCTTACGGTGACATCGCTGAACTGCGACGGGGACACCTGCGTTAGGCTAAACCTGCACTATTTTGGGGAGAGGAACGCGCTAACCTCTGAGAAGAGGCCCGTCAGGTCCCGGTCCGTCCAGCGAGGCCGGACGCCGCTGGGGGGCAGTTAGGGGACGAGGTTTCCGGTTCGGGTACGGGGGCTCCCTCAGGCCACGACGCCCGGGTATCCGGTCGCTCTGGGGTACCCGTGGATTTCTGTCCGGCTTCTGCGCTCCGCTCCCGCACCAAGACTGCCGGGCCCGGGCGTCCGTGCTCCTAAGCCCCTGTTCCCGCAGTCACCACAACCCGCCCGCCCCAGCCCCTCACTCACCCCCGCGCCCTTTGGGTTCTTCTTTCGTACCCCCCGCCCTCCAGGCGGTCGCGCCGTACCCCCTGGGATTTGTAGTCTCTCCGCTGCCGCAGCCCAGGTTCTAGGACACAAGACTCCCAGCCTGAAACTACACATCCCGGGGGTCCGTGCGAGAGCTAATTTTCACCCGCTGGGTTCCGGCACAAGGCTCGCGACGCCATTGGAGGAGCGCGCGGAGCAATCTGGGAAGTGTAGTCTAGGGCGCCTCAGTCCCAGGCTCAGGGCCCTGGAGTGGAACACGGCGTTAGGGGAGGGACTACGGAGTCAGGGGAGGGACTACACAGCCCAGGATTTTCTCGCGCGCGGGCCATCTTGGGTGTTGCTAGGAGACCGGAAAGGGTAGCTGCAACAGGCCATTAGAGGCGCCCGAAGGCCGCGTTCTGGCCGCTCTGTGTCCGTCCGGACAAACCGAGCTGCTGGTTCTAGTCCTGCTGTACGCGCGGCGCTCCTCGCGAGAGGAAGCCATGGATCTCTTTTCTTGGCTCGCTTCCCGCTTAACAGAGGCTGCTGCGAAATGCTGACAGCAGGTCCGCCCGCGGGGCGACGGCGTTGGTGGTGTCTGTCTGTGGTCTTAGGCGGGAATGGAGAGCTCCGGCCTCTGGCCTACGCGACCCCGGGCGCCTCTACCTCTTGACGGGACTTGAGAAAGTGACAGCAAGTGGGACCCGCGGTGCCGCTCACGTGGCAGGAGACGCTGCTGCCTAGGGGTACCGCAGAGCCCGAAGACGGACCTGCCTCCCAGCGGAGCGCCTCGGTGACGCCCGACGTCTGCCAACGACGCCTCCCGCAGGACGCAGACCTGCCGGCCCCGGCCCCGACGCCCCGCTGCCCGCCAGCCCCGTCCGTCCGCAGGGGCGGGGTTTTCCCTGCGGGCAATTCCCGATGGGAGGCCTCGCAAGAAATCTTGTTCCCGGGCTGTCTCGCAGCCCAGGGCTGCCACTCTTGGGGTCCTGTGGAGCCTTTGTGGGGTCAGGGTTAAATAGGATTTCACCGTGCCTGGTCAAACCCCTCTCTTAAGGGCATGCAAAGCTGGCCCGGGGCCGGGGGGGTGGGGTGGGGGGGAGGTGTCAGGGAGCTTCTGGGAGAAAAGATCGAGGCGGGCCACTGCCCGTTCAGTGCCCAGCACGGTTCTACCTTCCCTGGTGGTGAGGTTGGCCCACGGACCACAGCCAGCAGGAAAAGTCACCAGGGCTGCTCTGTGCCACTGGGCGGAGCCGGTTTGCCTCAAGGGCCACTGCTTTGAGAGCAACGCCTGGACTGGGGAGTCTGAGCAGAGAGACCTGTGGCCTTGGCCTGGGCCAGGAAAGACATCCACCCAGTGCATGTCCTGACTGACACCCGCTCTGCAGGACTCCCCACACGCACTTCCGTGTGAACGTGGCAGGCAGGTGTGGCCTTGGTTCCTCTCAGCTGGTGAAGCTGATGGGACTGGCTCCTCTTCCTGCTCCAACTTCACCCCATGGACTCCTGGGTGCTCCCCACTCAGTCCCAAAGGCCACCGGGACTAGGTGAGAGGACTGGCACCCTGGGCTGGCTTTGTGCCAACACTGAGGCAGGCGGAATGCATGTGTGGTCTCAGGCTCTGCCACTGAGCCACCCTAGACAGAACAAAACAAACGCTACTACTGAGTGTCCTGCAGAAGTCACCACCTCTCAGTGAGTCGAGTCAGATGTGTGCTTGTGTCAGGGATTGGACCCTGTCAGCGTCCCTGAGGTCACCTGGGTACCAGCTAGGTGCTGGTCAGGGCGAGGAGCTGCAAGTGTGGGCCACCTGGCTGAGTTCTGCGGGTCTTCTTCCTGTTCTGATGCCGTCTCAGGACATGTGTCCCCAGTGTGAACACCCTGAGTTCTCAACACACACAGAGCACCGGTTTCGTAAGCGGGTGGGGACTATCCCCCAAGCCAGGCTGCCTGTCTTCTCTTCTGGACGGCAGCATTGGCTGAGCTGCTCTGGTCGGAAGCCGGAGGTCTGATTCCAGCACGCCCGCCCTGGGCCTCTGGCAGAAGCTGGTCTGTCTGTCTCCAGGTCTGGTCTCAGAATGACACCGTCTCCACCCTTCAGAAACTTCGGTGTGAGTGCCCAGGACAAACAGGCAGCAGATGGTGGCCGGTTTTCATGACAGTGTGGCTCTCGCAGCAGCGGCAAAAACACTTCAGAGCCGAGTTGTACCTGGGAATGTGATCGCTCAGGGGGACCGGCACGATCAGGAGGAGCCCTGGCCCTGTGCCCCCCGGGGCACCCGAGAGCCGAGATTCCTGTCTGTGTGGCAGCACCCGCTCTGCTATCTGGGAAGTGGCTCCCCAGGTGCCCCGCCTGCCACGCATGCGTCAGAGGGCGTCACTGCTTCACCTGCCTAGGAGCTGCTGCCTCGCTGGGGTGGTTTTCTGAAGCAGTGGACACAGTGGTTCCCAGCATGCGTGGCGTTTCACTGGGGCTGCCACCTTCAGCCCCAACCCTCCCCAGTGTCATCTGTCCACTCACAACCAGTCATTTAACATCAGAAGTGACGTTTGCATGCCAGCGCTTCTCAGAAATGTCAGGCGCGGGCTCTCAGAAATGGCACCAGAGAAACCTGCTGGCAAGAGGGTGCCGAGCTCCCTCTGGTCCTGGTCCTGGGTGGGGCAGGTGGTGCGTTCGGTGAGGAGGAGGCTTCGTCGGCATTGGGGAAGGGTCCCGTGGAGTTTCAGGCTGGTGGGCACAGCTAGGCCAAGGTTCCGAGGAGACTTTTCATGTGATCTACTGAAAGCCTGGTGTCAGAATTTTTTTCTACAAAATTCCTGAGTGAATGGTAATGTGGTCCCTAACTCTTTATGTGTTGGAGTGTCTTGAAGCCCTATGAGACCCCTGCCCCACATACAGCTCTGCTGGGAAGTCAAACATTTTTTTAAAAATCTATCGAGATGATCATAGGTTTTTCTCTTTGGGTCTGTCCACGCAGTGAGTTACATTGGTTTCGTCATGGTGAGCCAGCCCTCCATCCCCGGTGAAACCCCCCTGGTCACAGTGAGTCGTCTTGTTGCTGTGGGCAGCCTGCTCAGACTGCAGGCTAAGAATTAATTTGCTAAGGATTTTTGTGTCTGCGTTGTGAGGGACACGGCGTGATTTTCTCGGGACCTTCGTCCCATTACCAGGGCGGTGGCCCCTCCTCTGTGCTGTCACGGTCCCCCACCCCCTCCCCCCACACACAAGCCCACAAGGCCTCCCGGAGCTGGAGTCTTCCTGGTGAGAGGTTCTCAGTCTTCAGCTTCTTCAGTGCAGTTGTCTGTCTGCAATCTCTGATGGGCTGCCAGCTGTGAACTTCACCTTGTGGGGGCCAGACAGTTCCCTGGTCTTTGCCCTGCCATGTGCAGGAGTGAGTGGGAGGAGATCTCCCCCCAGGGCCTT